GGGTCTATTTGGGGCTTATTGAAGAAAAGATGGATCAAGTTCAATACAGAAATTTATTTGAAGAAACAATGTTCCCCTTTGCTATAGACGTTCTTCCAATTATTTTGAAATTTCAGCATGATAATGATCGAAAACATACAGTCCGCTTGGTAAAGGAATTTCATTCTCAATCTGTTGCCGTCTTAGAGCGGCCAGCTAACAGCCCTGATTTAAACCCAATGGAAGATGTTTGGTGTGAAGTTAAAAAAAAGATAGCAAATCGACTGTGTGGTTATTTAAGGAAACTACTTATACGAAGTATTCTCGGAAGAATATAATTCTATATGTATAAAATGTCAAAAATTGATAAAGTCAATTCCTCGTCAATGTTTGATTCAAAAGGACCAAAGTGCATAGATCACAGACATCGACCATAAAATGAAAATTAACTATGTTCCTAAGAAACGGTGATTAAAATTTGAAAAAAAGTTAATTTTGTCAAAATTATTATTTATTTATTATTTTACTATTATATTATTATACTCATTTATTATTTATGATTGAAAGACCGCGGTCATATCACTTTGGTCTCATCAAAATCAGCATCAACTTATTAATTTCATCACTGCTGGGGCACAGGCCTCCCCAATAAACGAAATTGTATAGGGAGAATGGGCGATCAAGTCATACATCATATTACCCTTACGAAAGTTGCTTAACTTCCGACCGTTGATCGAACACGCCAACCACTGCATCATCGAGCTCCTATCTCATTAGACTAAATAACCGTAATCTGTAATAGATACACGTGTCCAATAAAAAAATAAAAATTATATGAGTACAAAGGACCATAATCATTAGGTTAGGTAAATAATTACCTAATAAACGATTAAGTATAATAACAATGTGAAGTAACTTCAGCGTGGGCCACAGATACACGTGAGGTTCATTGTTAACATTTTTGCACGCTTAAATATGAAGACCGCGCGACTTCTGTCGGGTTTTCACTCACTTTGATGTTGGCATAACGTTGCCTCATCTTTCCATAGCAATCCATAATTAACAATTTCTGTGGCCGAGTGTATCACCGCTGGTTTCAAGGTGTCGCCATCTCTAAGATCCCTGGCTCAATTCCCCGTCGAGTCAATGTAGAAAATGAACTTTTCTGTTTTGTGTCAGGCAGAGTTTTGTATTACTTACGCTGTTTCATATATAAGTAGGGGAGACCTAGGTGAGTTGTGACAGAGGTGAGTTGTGACAAGGAGGATTTCTCTCTACCTATTATAGTAAGCGAGATGGCATTAACGCTTGTTTGTCGTTCTCGACACCCGCTACACGACTCAGTACCTGTCGACGGTGCATATGGCACAGTTGCGTAAATATATCGTCAGTGTACAAAAAATTGCGAAAAGTAAGTTTTTCTTCAAAATATTATTTGAATATATATCATATCTTAGTATATGTGCATTGATGTGTTATTTTTTCTTAAGTTATGTAGTTATTTAAGTCTCAATACGTGGCACTGATTTTTTGTATGCGCATCGTGTTTAGAAAATATGAATTATTATTCGGACCAAGACGTCATTTTGAACACCTAGGCGAGTTGTGACAGCCTGTCACAACTCTCCTATCTTACTCCATATTTCTGCTGGGCTATTTTTACAATTTTTTTTTATTAACTTTAGATGTTTGTTGGTGTGTTAGTAGCTTCTTAAGGTGTATAATGGCATACCGCATACTTATTTTTTTTGAGAATGCCAAATAACTATACAGCGACTGAAAATCTAAGAATGTTAAGAAGCGTGTCTTAAGCGAAGAAAAAAAAAAGAAACCTAAAAAACCAAAGAAGACTAATAAGAAGAATAGAACAAGTAATGCAGACAATAATTTCTTTTATTTGGTTTGCCTTAAAGCCTATGCAGACAGCAGATCGAATGATCAGTGGGTCCAAAGCCTTGAATGCAAAGGCTAGGCACACGTAGATTGTACTGGGAACGAGCTGCATTACGTTTGGCATAATTGTGAATCTGATTAGATTAAGATTTTATACTAATTATAACAATAATATGATTAATCTCAAAGCGATACCATATTTAGTTAATGAAAATATTATAATTACTTGTTATGAGAATATTAATACTATGTTGTTTTAGTTGGTAGGTATTAAAAGATGATTAATCAAGTCAAATCAAATCAATCTTTATTGTTGATCGCAGGTTATATAAAGATATTGGATGCAAGGACTGAATAGTTACACCGTGATCTGCCTAAAAGGCATACAATATTAGTAGGTTAGTAATTGTCAACTAATCTAATCAATAACATGTTATGTCAAAAATTCAATTAATTCATTAAGTATTTATACATTTACAAAGTACTGTCAGCTAGATAGTCGTTTACACTATAATATGCTTTAGCTACCAATAATTTACAAAGTTTTCTTTTAAAAACATTACAATTATCCAGATTACGTATTGTTTTTGGAATTTTATCAAAAATTTTTGGAGCCATACATAAGATACTTCTGTTCAACAGAGCTGTCTTAGAGGGTATCGTACACAATTTGTCTCGATGACGCAATCTCGTCTTATTTTCAAATAGTTGTTGATTCTGTTTGACAAAAATACCAACTTCGAATATATAGATTGATGGCAGGGTCATAATATTTAGTTTAATAAAATATGGCCTACAGGTATCCGTACTCTGTAAATGACATATGCTCCTAACACATTTTTTCTGGGCTCTAAAGGCAGTTACAGAATCAGTCGAATATCCCCAAAATATAATGCCGTATCGAACAGTTGAAACTACGTACGCGTGATAAGCTGTAAGGACCGTGCACTGATTCGCGATCCTACTAAGTTTGTACAGTGCACAAGAATACTGGGACAACTTTTTGCAAACATGTTCAGTGTGTGTTTTCCAAGTCAAATTTATTATTATAGTACTGATTAAAGTACTGATTTGATAAAAAAACGTGCTTGATTTATTTATGTCGTATGTAATGGTATTTTTATATCTTATAGCTTAAATACAATGATGTCACAACTTACCTCGGTACCTGTCACAACTTACCTCGGTGGTAGGAGAGTTGTGACAAGGGGAGTGGACTTGAATTTTGTTATTTTTTTCAGAAACTATTAAACTTTAATTAATTTTAGTGATGGTTTTGAAAACAGAAAGAATGGCGCTAAACTAATTCACATAAGTCATAACTGTGGAATGTTTCTTAAGCGAGATAGAGCCCCTTATGTAAAAATTGTCACAACTCTCCTAGGTCTCCCCTACTTAAGCTTGGGGTCTAATTTATTGCGATTACGTATATGTGATACATTATAATTAGAAAAACATATTTTAAATACTGAACCAGTTTCCTTGACGCATCTTAACATAAACAACAAGTTATATCTCAAAAAACGCTGTTTAGTCGCTGGTGAATTCAAAATCAATTATCTCAATCTGGACTTATCGATACGACTAGAATCGCCTACCGTACTATAATTTGTAGTATGTTTATCTTTCCTGCTCTCCATTGCCATATTACTCTTGAACGCAATCTGAATATTAATTTCAATCCAGGCCAATGATAATCTTTTCGTCAAATCGTAATATCTCCATCTGCCCAAAACGGCTGATCGCATTTGGATGAAATTTGAGGCACCTGTCCAGTTTACAAGATTTTAAGACTAGTGGAGTCTGCTCTATCAAATGCATTAGGAGGACAATTAGGAAGCAAAATTTTAAACACTCTTCTTTGCCCCATCAGCAAGGCAACTTAGTGGGTTGAAAACTAAGTATATGCATAGCTAAATAGGATTTACCACCAACTTGCACTAATGACTGATTAAAAAGGAAATAATGTCCAGTTAAAAAAAAAACTTATTGTGTCGGTTTAATTATCAACGGTATTTTCGAATCACATAAAAACTGCCCATCAATTGTGTACGACAAAAGTCCCAACGTTCATTTTTGCGAACAAAAACAAATACAGATATTTTTTATGCGGCGAGCTACAGATTACGGACGCTGGGAAAAGGTGACACGCAACAACGACGCATTACAAACGAATATATTATTTGACTCTATGAAAAAAAAGAACTAAAAATATACAATCAAAATAGCTCAGACTATAAGCCATTCAATATTGTCTATATTAGTTTTAGTTCCTAAAATAACAGAATTTATTTAAAAATTAAATGTTTCAATTTGTTTTCTGTAGTTTAAAACAACATGGCGAAACAGTAACTGTTTAATTCAAATTTTAACGAATTTTGTTAATTTATTCAGAGAAACAAAACAATACAGTTTGCAATTTCTGCTCCTGAGGAGCGTGCTCTTGCTGAATATTTACTCAATGATTCGTTCAGTCTCCAAGACATATAATTAAGTATATGTCTTGGAGACTGAATCAATCAATTTATTGCAAACATTTTTTGTTTTATTTTAAATTAGATAGATAGAGTTAAAAATCAATTGAAAAAAATTAATATATTAGTAGTCTGACGTGCAGAAGTGTGTACAATTAGTATGGTCAAATTTCGACCACAAGCACCTATTGAAAAAAATATATTAATAAATAAATAAGTATACCCGGCGTGGTGTAGTGGTACCAGCCAAGAGGTCTTCGACCTGAGTTGTATAGGTATAAGAAAATATCGATCATCAGCTGACACCTCTTAACTTTTTAAAAGAACAACTATTGTTTATTTTCATTGACTTACGCACCCCTCTCAAATCCCTGCCCACATTTTACTATGCGAAATATTTTTATAACATGGCAAAATTTTAAATACAACGAATTTGTACCTTAACTTTAAGTATCACGGTTCCATCCCAAAAATCCTTTACCTTCCACGTCGAAATGCCATGAACGCACGATGACCGGTGCGGCTCATCAACATACATAAATAGGTTTGTCGTTGCCCGTTTCCTCACAGTAGGTGCTCAGCTCTACGACAGACAATTGGCACGAAGGATAATTACAAATTAAAAAAATATTGAATCCTGTCGTGAGCAGCACAATGCAGTCTACATTCAGTTTAGTGATTCTCAGTTGCATTTGTGTCACACTAGCGGATAACAAAGCATCCTTACGTGAGTAATGTTTATTTAAAAGCAGCAAACATTGACAAATACACATGTCTTTACTTATCATACATATCTAACACGTTTAACTTTTTCACCTTAATTAACAGTTAACGTGGCTTATATTTATAATTAAAATTAAAGTTAAATATCCACAGCCCATCGGCTATCTTAATTTTAATATTGATCTTAACAGATCTGTTTAGGCACTAGTCCTTTTGTGCTATACATGTTTTTAACAAGAGTAAATGTGAGCTATTTTGAAAACCCCCTACCCCGTGTCACCCTTATATATATCTAACTAAATTGAAAAACCGACTTCAACACTCGGGAACAAACAACTTTAAATTAACAACTTCGACAAATCCTCCGCTTTTAGCGTTTTTGAAGTTTTTTATTTTTTTAATTATGTGGTTCATTAATTTTGGTGTTATTCGAAAATTTCATGTAACATTACACAGGAAAACGGAATCGCGATTTTTTGTTTTTGTTTTCTCCAACGATATAAAATTGTCATCGCAATATTCTTGTTATTAAAAAAAAACGAATAATTATAATAATTAATAATTATTTTCTTACAAAAATAAAACCGCTAATCCCATTTCGATAATTTTATAAGTGACCCCTCAGATCCCTAAGCTTAAAATTAAAAAATAATTTTGAAAATGAGTTTGCAATGAGCGGATAAATCGATAAACTGTAAATTTATAGTATTTTCAGTTCATTGATTTATATACTCGTAGAACGTATAACATTCCCTTTTTGTTTTTAAGCCGGTTAAAAATACGTTACTCCTACTCGTATTTGTAACTCACTTTAAGGAACATTGAATGCAAAATAATATATTTGCGTGCGTTTTCCGAAGTAATCACAAATATTATAAAGTCATGAATATTGGATAAAGATTTTAGAAAGTATAAGATAAAACTCATTTATTTAAGAAACATTTTAAACTAATCATCTTTTAGCATAAAACAAAGTCGCTTCCCGCTGTCTGAACACTGACATATCTACACAACAGATTTTAATGGGGTTTTCATCCAATATATAGAGTGATTCTAGAGGAAGGTTTATGTGCATAATACTCGTACAAGAGCACGCTAGCGAAACCGGGCGGCAGAAAACTTTATCTGTAGGCATACAATTTATTTATTTTAAGAGATTAAAGCTACAACTATTAAAATTTAAATTACTTTAAGATAGACTTATGATATAATTGTAACTAATGCCTTTGTAATTACCTATATAAAATATATCACATATTATTTCAACATGTCAAGGACACCAATATAAAAATCCAATTCCAAGTGCTCATGCAACGTCATATATGATACAGGTACATTAGTGATTAACAGTAACAATATTTATTATAAGACCCGTAAATTGCTAAGGCGCTGGAACCTTGTCTAAATCATAGATAGCACAAACTGCAAGAGATAAATTAATTATTGTAATATATATATGATTATATGGAAAATAAATAAATGTGAAAAGATAATATTTTATTTGTAATATCTCGAAAACTAACGAAAAAAACAGTTTTTTAAAACACTGTTTTACTGTTGGCTGCCAAGCACATTAGCAATTTGCGGGAATAATACCATTCTTATTGTAATACGAACTTTTTAATTAATTACTTCAAAGAACCAATAAAAAATATAGATTGTGTTTTCATGTCAAACAATTAAAAACAAGGACTTGTATAGAAAATATACCTGTTTAACTATAGATTTTATTGTATATGATAAAGACTTCTTACAGCACCAAATACTGCCTAATTTAAATGTATCCTGGAAGAAATTGCTTTGTAGCAATACTGTCTGTCTGACCACCACTTATACTGTCTGTTACATTATCATGTTTGTTACTTTACTTATCGTGTGTATTGTCTATACAAAAAAAGATATATCATTCTTCAAGTAACAGGGACTTGTTTGATTAACTAAGTTATGTAAATAAATCTAAGCCTAATTTAACAACAAAATGTACAATTTTTTAAAATAATCTATATACTTACCTAAACCTTCGTTAGTAAAATTTTACAAAAAACACTTCGTAAATCTACTACCATCTTTTCTAAAAAGAGCACAATTGAATCAGAAACTTCTAGAAATTAGAAGCGTTGATATCAAAGGTAGGTTTTGTTAGCTTTATTTATTTAAGTTATTCAAAAACTATTTATTGTTTTTTTGCTTAATGTTAACACATACAAGTTTTTTTTTTTTAATAATCAGTCTTGTTTACCTTCAAACTGTTATTTTATTCTTATTTCAAAATAAACGAGAACAGTCAAGATCCAGTTTTAGTTCCAATTACTGACACCTCATTACCGATAATTTTTTTATTCAGCTCGCTTTTAAAGTTGTTTGGTGACAAATGCAAGCAGCTATATCGATATAGCATTTTTTTAATTTACTACTATTTAGTCTTTGTTAGTTCAATTTGAATCGATCAACAAACAACTCAGTGAAGTTACATGAAAGGATGTAAACCGCTTCAGATGCCATCACGTCGGAACGGTTCTCGGGGCAAGAAAATTTTGAGAGTTTGCACAAAAATAAAAACTTTTGGACAGTTTAAAACTTTTCGACGCATCAAACATCGCATTTTTTTTACTACTCTTTTTTCGTTTGTGGTGGATTCTATAATTACTTTGGGGCAATTTACAAACGACTACGTCAAGTATCAGGATGCGGCCCGCTTCAGATAGCGTCACGTCGAAACGGTAAAGTTAGGGTAGGAGACTCTTATTTTCCGCACTTAGACGCTTTAGGCGATTCATTGTGCATGGAAAGTTGGTCCGTCCGGCTATAGGTATTGATCCGGCGTAGAGTATTGATTGATTGTCCGGTGTACTGCCAGGCAAAAAAATTAAAAGAAGGCACTCGAATAATAAGAACATTAGGGACTTTGAAGTTGGAAGTGAAAAACTACCCGATACATCGACCATAAAAGTCAACTAAGGCAAATCATTGGTCCTTACCTAAACGACACACTGGTAACTTGTCCCTATTTGAGGTGAAAAAAAATCAACTATGGGATTTAAGTCCTCAATAAGCCACTACGGGATTGACAAGTTGACACTGTTTGAAGCGATGAGTGATATTGTATCTTAACCCAAACAGTTGCCCAACGAGCCTTGAGGTGTAAACCTTGTTATATCTAAAGCTCTGCTCAATATTTATAATAATAGAGCGTGATTTTGCTATATCTGTAAAACCTGATCCCTTGGTCAACTTTAAAATCATGGTCAATATATATTTTTCCTTTCTCTACCTGACTGAATAGCACGTCATTATATTGACGTACCTAATAGAGATGTGTTGAGTATTAATCGATACTCGGCATAATCTGCAGATTTTGCACTAGATACTTGCTTTTATTCGCTAAATAGCACGGATCAAATGCCTATCGTCGATTAAATTGAATATAACTAATGTCATGCATATACAAGCATTTTAAAAATCTCCACATACTTGCATATTATACTTGCATATACCTGAACAGAGTAACTCAGCCTAGTAGTCACTGGGGTTACCTGATATCTACATATATCAGCGGTGGTCAGATGTAAGTTAATTTGTATATCGGCAATAAAGAGCCGCATCCAGAGACGAAAAAGTGTTGGTCGCTGCCACTCGTAAATAGGCAAAGTACGAATCAGAGTATGAACTCCTATTCAAAATAATGCATTCCTACAGAGGAGATACTTATCAAATGTCTACGTGGGTAATCGACATTACTAAACGTTGAACTGTGACGTCATAGCTATATTAAGGCTGTGAAAATATCCATCGGTTTCATAACGGTGAATCCACCCTTATCATCATACCATCAATTTAATATTTTGGAACATAGACAGTAAATAACTGTAGCCAATTTAAGAAAATAAAAAATTTAAATGTCCTCTTTAAAGCGATGTTCATAAAAACCCCAATTTCATCGCAAAATAACACTGTGACGATAATTATAACGGAAATATCGATAGGGATAGGTATAAGATAATCATTTTCGCTTTGGTGTTATCGATCGGCCGTTTAGTATATCGTTGTAACACGGGTTACAAACCTGATTTAAACATTGTTTCACAACAATAAAAAAATTCACAAGGTCAAACAGTGTTATTAATAACCTTTGTTTACAAATTGTGAATGCTTAGGTATTTTTTTTTTTTTGTATTTAGCGCACCAAACGCATGAAGCGAATAAACTTACTGTTGTCAGGTTTACATATTTAAAAAAAACATGCTTAGAACGTGTCGTACTCGCACTCCGAAAGTTCAGCACAAATATTAATATTTAAAGCCTTCAAAGCCTTCTATTTGGTGTTTTGTATATATATAGTAAAGAACTTTACATTTTCTTATATAACTCCAAAACTATTAATTGGAACATTATGGAAAAAATATTTCGGATAGGCACAATAAACTCTTTTGTCCGAGATCACACCTGATAGCATGTGTAAGTTGCAACCAATTGGTTAAAGTACAGTTCAATTGGGCGGCTAGCCATTTAATTGAATGGCGCCATTCAATTTCAAGCTTTCTAGTTGAATCATTATGACATTTAGACCGTTCAACATGACGACTGATTTAAAAGCCGAAAAAACGTTCATTTAGTTTTATTATCTGTTAATAAAATAACCTCGATACCTATTTAATGCGATCGTCTTAAATTTTTAACCTATTACGTGACCTACAAGACCAAAACAACTTTGTTGTTATTTATTTTTCGTTGTTATTAACTATTCTAGCACCAAATTTCGAAATCGTAATAAACATACTGAAACAATCGCAGCCAAATACATTACCTATTCTTATTTCAATATATGGCGCTATGGCCGTCTGAATAATTGTATTAGTATTAAGAATTTATTATGAACTTTTAAGCTTACTCACTTGCGTACTGGGTGTATACGTTATCTTTTTGTATTTTATCATACCAGATCAAGTAACATTAATACCTAGTCGCAAAAAAGCAGTTTGTTATATATAACCAATAAATATCAGTGTTCCCGGTACGTTGATAGTTGCCTCACTTTTGTTCATCAGTATTGTAGAAAGTTGTGTTCAGCTACTCGGCTGATCGAAAGTGAGATTTAATTTAAGAGCTAGCCGCCCAATAGGTCTGCTGATTATACGACTTGGCTGCGATATAGCTGTCAGTGTCGATTTAAAGTAAAACACATGAAATGATTTTTTATGGCCTTGTTCCGTTATGCACAAAAATTCTGCCAACATCCCGTAGTGAGACATGAAATGTTGCACGCAAACAAGACGCAAAGTGACGGATCAACATGCCTTCGCGGCATCTTCGCGATATGTGTTTTTTGTGAAACTAGACTTCTTAGCGCATGCTTCATTGCATGCTTTATAGTTGCTAAGGCATAATTACATTTAAGCTTTATTACACTTCCCTAAATATAGGAGCCAACTTATTAGTAGCATAGATTATCTTCATAATTGGAACCAGATATTATTTTTTATATATATATATATATGTAAATATTTGCTATAATCTCTGTATTATATATGGTGATACTAATATAGTTTTAAATTAACAAGCTACATAACAAACACAGTCTTTAATACTAATATATATTTCAATTTAATTATAGTCTTATATAATCCAAATGAATACAAATATAAATAAAAATAAATCAACTAAGTACTCTCAGTTAGCTATCACACTAACCATAAGATACAAATAGGGCATTTTGAATATAAAGTTGATAAAATATAATAATAACAATGTAGTTAATCCAAACAATGCTTGTATTATTTTTTATTGTTAGTGGTTTACAATACCTGGTTTACAATATGTACCTACTTATTATGCAAATTATCTAAGAAAAATCAAATTAAAGTCTCATTAAGTATGTGGGCCTATTAATGACCGGAAGTTGTTTGCCCTTGTTTTGTTAAAATAAAATATCACCTTGGTTAGACAACATTGTTAACACTATATAGCTCGCAGAAATTAACCTGAGTGAATTCGAATTCAGGTTCAGATTTTTACAGAATCGCAAAGCTGAGAGTCAAATTCAGAAAAGGATGACGATCCATACATAAAAGGCTTTCCAAACCGTACAGAAACTTAAAAATCATGTTCAAAGTTTATAATTCTGCATTTTTCGCCAAAATTCACCCCTTTTTGAAGATTCAACTTTCAACTAAATAATTTTATATGAATTCTAATTTAAATTTATGATAAAACACACCGAGATGACAAGCGTTGCGCCCTTGCGCTCATATATGTATATATAATAATAATAAGATTATGATATTGTTGATGGATTTTTTATCAAAATTGCTTAAATCATCCATCAACACCATGTTTTTTTTTATATAATTTTTTTTTTTTATATAATATACTCTGTTATGGGACTCGAACCCACGACCTTTCGCAATCCGCTAAAATAATTATAAGTTAAATCTTGAAAAAGGGATGAGTATTGGCGCAAAATAGACAAATTAAAAAATTTGGGCTATTAGAGAATAACAAGTATTAAAATAGGAATACATTAATAATTAAAATACAATGTTTGGAAATATTTAAATACTTTTTTTTTATGTATAGACGATTATTATGGAGTACCAATACAATTAATTTTTCTGTTGTACATCTATTAATTTTACATATGGATCAACATATTATTAACACAGCTAACAATCATAACACTCTTTCTTTCTTAAGTGAAAAAATTGTTTTTGTTGGGAACCATGTGTTTTTTCAATAATATGAAATAAAAAAATATTATTATTCATTTTCCGTATATAAAACATAAGTAAAGAATTCCTATTAGTCTTCTGTTTACACTCCATACCTATTTGGTTGAGTAGTAATAATCTAACATTCTAACGGGTAAATCCCCGTTAAATTATTGGTTTCTTTTTATTTTTGTAGCAAATTGATTTGATATGATTTTATTAAAATAAAATAATAACAATTAAACTCACTTAATATTAATATTGCTATAAATCGGAAAGTTCTGAAAAAAAATCAATGGCACTAACTTTTATAATATTTTGTTTTTCAACATAGTGAAAAATAAACAAAGTTTTTATCACATTAATCACTAAAATATTCAACAATCTAGATCAGTCAGACCAAATTCAGAGATCTATCTCTATAGATTCTGTTTACGCGTTCTGCCTTACCAAATAGCTTAGGTATAATTTATAAAATTCTCATATTAAAAATATATATATATGGTTTATGAATATTTCGTATATACTACTTATAGGTATATCTATTAATTTACTCAATCGAGTTAACCGATACAGGTCCTCCATACATCTCTTATAAAATTTTCGTTTCTATGCGAACAGCTGCGACAATTGCGAGGCTACCCTTGACCTCCGACTAAACATCATAGACGTCGTAAAAACCACTCTGTAAAACCTCCAACCGGAACAATATTTATTTACCTACCTACGATAATACTTACGCATTTATCGAAAATAATTTTAAGACTAGGAATAAAATTTCCCATTTCGTTTGACATAAATTTTAATCATGCCATCTATAGATAGATTTGAGATAAACAGTATCGATAAGATCAATCAATGACGCACGTTCATGGTCAAGTCCGGTGCAAGGTTAACGACAACAAGGTGAGTCGCATAAAACTGGATAGTGACAAAAGTTCAAGGTGGCCCAAACATAAAAGAGTGTCTAATTATACCACTTATTCATACGTCAGCACTAGACAGCCTACGAAAAGTTGTTTTTCAAAGGCACTGTTAATGTTCATAGGAATTAAATTGAATAAAAATTCCTAAGAACTAACTTAACGGAGTACAAGCTGACATGATATTTTTTAAGGACTTTAAAAAAGGAGGAGGTTCTCAATTCGGCTGTATGTTCTTTTTTGTGTATTTGTTACGCGTTTACTCCGTCAATATGAATTGATTTTCAATAACTTTATAATATGCTTTTCATAAGATATAATAATACCTCTACGATAAAAACAAAATGAAATATAAAGTCAAAATAACTTTTGATATGAGGAGGGTACGTTATTGTTTCCAAAGATTTGAAATATTCCAATTATGCTTCCAAATTAAGGATATGTGTCACAATTGTTATGGCAATATCGTTGTAAGTATTGTTGTAGCTTGATAGGCGGCAGGGAATGTGCTTAAACCATTTGCCCGATGCATAAAAACGGGCTGATTAGTAGGTACATGAATCCAATACTGAATGACTTTTGTAAAGGTCAGCCAAGGTAAAGCCGCAATCAGAGACTAAATGAGTCTACACTGTGTTGTCATCAAGCTACTAATTTTTGCAAACCTATATACACTTTTTATTTTATATTATGTAGTTAATTTCATTGTGTTTGTAAAGTCAATACACTTACTCATAATTAATTAAATATTTCCTCTCGTTACAGCACCATACATAACAGCATGCGACATAGATGACAAAAATTTGGCAACGTGTGTAAGAGAGCAGATAATTGCTAGTCTCCCGAAATTCACAAAGGGTATACCTGAATTAAAAGTTCCTGCGATAGATCCCATCAACTTGGACGACATCAAGATTGATGGAAACGGCTTAACTCTGACTTTCACTGAAGCCATAATGGAAGGCCTCAGTGACAGCGTCCTTACAGATTTAAAGTAAGTATTACCCTTCTACAAATTGATTGTACCTACTAATAAATAATGGTAAAATGTATTACTAACTACTCCGTGTACTAAAATATTCCGCTAATTTATTATAGGCTACCAGTTTTTATTGATACTTAAAAAATAATGAAGAGTATATTCTAGTGATCCGTAGGATAGTGATACGTAGGAATGATATTTTTTTTTCTTATTGTAACACTTCAGACTATTATGATTTTTCCTGCTTTTCACTACCTAGGTAGGTCCTTTTATATCTCAATAATAAGCGGAAATTATTTGCTTATGCTTCGAAGCCTGTCAATTAGTGTATGATTCGATTCCTATGTGCTTGTGCAACTGATGTATTGTTTGCGCATTGTATGCTAATCACGATTGTCCTTATAAACGTTCGTCAATAGATTTTTAATGTGTTCCATTAATCAATATAGCCATTATTTTGATTGTTAAAATAATAACAATATCTATGTTAAAAATAATTTAAAAACACGACTGTCAAAATTAAACTAAAAATCAAAGTAAGAAGATTTATATAACGGCTTGCCTAAACAAAATTGTTATTGCAGTCTTGGTATCGTTATATAGAACATTTGTAATATTAGAGGTTCCCCGACTGCAATGAGAGTTTAGTTAGACGGCTAAAAGATAGGTCCTAAAACTGAAATATTCCGTTATATAAGTCAGAGACCAATCAACTTTTGAGAACCACTTTCATACATTTAATATAAAATACGAAATGCATATTACACCTGTAGGAAACATATCTCAGATAATGAAAGAAAAATCGTGGTAATCATAATATTAGATACTAATACATATCTTCATGTTAACCGCGATCTTCTTTCTCTTGCTAATCGAGTACTTAAATTCTGAAAACATATAATTATGTAGCTATAGGTAATACACGGTACAGAAACATGATTGATATTATCGACGATCTACGTACTTAAACCTGCTGAATGAGTATTGTGATATCGTTTATCGTTTAATAATTTACTTATGTATGAATCGTAGATCATAATCGAGTTTAAACGTGTATCATGATTAATGTTGCTAGGTGTCCCGATTTTCAGGAGTCCGCCCCGATTTGCACCTGGTCGGGAAGCTAAATGTCCCGAAATAACAGATGTCTTTACGAAATATACTAAAGCTTGTAAAAACAAATACATACTTAATCAGTCATTCGACGTTCGTTCGTTCATTCAACAGAAGTATTTTTTTTTATCCATTCAATAGTCTTTCTTATGACTTCAATGAAATATTAGTACCCGAAATCAAAGTAGATGTCGCTACGGTACGTTCTTGATTTCTCCATGACAACCCTTCCGGCTTTCTTCCATTTTTAAAAGTAAATTAGTTTTCAAAACTCTAAGCTTCGAACTTTTCAAATTTCAGTTTTTTAATATGTTAGTTAAAGGAAACAGAAATGACTCTAAACTCACGTTGACTAAATATAAAACGTAATATTTCGTAACATACTTAATGTTATTACACAGTTATTGATGAGAGTTCTGGTTCGAGTCGATAGCATACAAGCCAGAAAAGCGCAACAGCATCTCAATAAAGAAAAAAAAACTATGGTTAATAGAGGTTCGTCATGCTGGTTGGCGATGTTTGGAAAAATATCTCGTCGTCGTCTTTACAGATGAAAAAAAGAATTATAATCTCCTGTAGTTTCCAGTGATAACGACGTGAAAATTAAGGACGAACTGTACCGAAGGATTATTTTGGAGAGTGCTCCAAGAAGAACTTCTTCTTATATGACAATTTTACCAGTTTCAAAGGCAGATCGTATTTTCATATGAGAGTCACTAAAACTGTAAACATAGTAGAAACTCTGAATTAAATCACTATTTAATAGATAAAAAGACATACATAGTTGCGCGCTTTAATGATATATTTATATCCTTAAATGCAAATAAAAAGTTCATGAAATGAAGTAGGCAACTCTTGCTCAAAATTGAGATCAATAAGTATAATACTATCCGATAATTAATCATAAGTTAGCGATTAGTGTTCAAGACATACTCGCCGATATACGTGATAGCAAATTATGATTTTGGATGTCAGTGATATAGATTTGGAATCATTTCCATGGCGCGATCCAATTTTAGTAGTAGTAATAGTCGTATACGAAGATCTAATTATGACAACCTTTTTCTAATTTTAAGGGCAAACAAATTTTCTAAAAATCCCAAACTAGTAAGAAATTGTCCTTAGGTGTACAATATACATATATATTCTAAATTTATCAACTATTTTACCAAAGCAAACTTCGAATAGTTAATTTGGAAACTTTGAACAGTAAATTTTCAAAACTTGGAATAGTTAAATTGGAAATACTTGAAAAATTGTTTTTGATATTACAATAAAATCAAACCAATACATAAAATGTTATTGTTTCAGGATAACTCTCGGAGAGCGAGACGAACGGTTTGTCTTAAAGTTTAAAAGCAACTTCACTTTAAAGGCGAAATATGAGGTCGATGGACGTATTCTAATCCTACCAATCCAAGGCAAAGGAGATGCATTTGTATACGCAAGTAAGTTGATAACTTAACTTATAAACTACAAACGCCATTGTAACTCAATAGCTCCAAGTTCGCTACTTTTTACAATAACGATAGATTCATTAACATGTAGCCTACTTACACAAAATAAATTATATTATACAAGATAAGTAACATATCAGTGTCTTTCATAAAACTATAAAAAAATATATCGCCGTCTTCCTCTTTTTCGATTTTGAAGTTTGTTAAAACGACTACATTCTTTAACATGCATATAAATGACTAAACTACAAATTTTGATTAAGTTTTAGTAGAGTGTAAATTAATGCCTTATAGGGTTAGTGCGTGTAGAGTACGAAACCTTATAAAAATACCTAAAGATATTTTTAACCAATCCTGTTTACAATAAACTAGCTTTCCGCCAGCGGCTTCGCTCTCGTGGTCCGCTGGTACCTTACTCATACGAGGGGTGCTCAAAAAGTAGTGAGAATGGCTCTTGGAGCTCTATGTTAGAGTTTTTTTTTTCAACGTTATCACCCTTTAGGTCAATACATTTAACAAATAGTATTTCTAGAGCCAAAATTCCCTTTTTAAAAAATCTTCATCTTGAGTACTTAAAATTAAAAAAATCGTTTACTTCATTTCTTCGTTGGCGGATGATTGAGGATCTCAATAGCCTATATTACTCGGGGATAATGTAGCTTTCCAATGGTGAAAGAATTTTTAAAATCGATCCAGTTGTTTTTGAGCCTATAAATTACAATTAAACAAACATACAAACAAAGTTTTCCTCTTTATAATATTAGTATAGATAACAAAATTGATTTAATGTACCTTTTCAGAGGGTGTTGAAGTAGAAATTTCCAGTAAATTCGACCACACAAAGAAAAATAATGCTGATCACTTGAAACTGGTTATGCCAACATACAAATATGATGTAGAGCGCACCACGTTTGATTTGAGGAATCTCTTCAATGGAAACAAACAATTAGGTGAGATTATAAATTAATATGTAAAAGAAATTGTGTAGGAAAATTTACGTCAGTTCTTTAGCCGTAAACCTTGATTGGAAAAATCTTTAATATGCACAAAGTATGCAAAAAACACAAACCTTTCTATGATTTAACAAATGTTAATATTTGTTACATTATTTTTTTCAGCGGACACTACTCTTCAATTCGCTAACCAAAACTGGAAACAACTGATGGACGATCTTGCACCACCAGCAATTAAGCAAATTGTTGTAACCGGCGTAAAAGCCATCAACAAATTCTTTGGTGCCATCCCTATAAACAAATTGGTCATCGGCTACAAACAAAGACTTTAGGTCCTAAACTATTCTTATTCAGATCCAATCTAAGGAGTATTAGAACATCATAATTCGAATGTTTCATTAAGATTTATGATAATTCAAGTAAATCTAGTGTCGCGATTAACTGTTGATCATACCAAACAAAAAAAATATTGTCCGTATTTCATACACATAAAGCCAACAAACATGGAACGGTGCAGGGAACCTTGAAAGAGTTCTAAAGCAAGATCTCTGCAAATATGCTTAAATGAATTTATTTAAGCTAATAATAATTACTAACAATTTGATCGAGTATTATGTAGGTCTCATTAATTTGTTCATAATTTATATAAATGTTATAATAATTAAGACAATATTATTTAATCTAAATTTAAGAAAATAGTGAAACGATGCGTTCGGTAAAATTGATATTAGCAAATAATAAGTAGAAACAAAGGATATTCGCGAATCGAAAATTACATTAGTTCTCCAAATAGGATATTATGATAATTATGATGACAATCATAAAAAAAATATCTCCCAGCACCCTCATAGCGAAGTCACATTTTTTTAGTTTCACTAACTATAGGTGTACCAGAATCTTATAGCAAATATGGAAATTTTAATTTGTAAGTGGCAACATTGGGAAAAAAGGATAAAGATGTCTTGTAATATTTTAATATAATAAATTTTTTCACTGACTCTAATATAATATAATAAAAATTTTCACTGACTGACACCCGCCTCGACAGAAAAACCTAAGAATATTACCTGACTCGGAATCTAACACGAATAAATAAAATAAATTTTACTATATGTATTTGTTTATTACTAATCTCTACTAAATTTACAACTGTCTGTTACGCTTACACTGTCTAAATAATCAAATTCGCTTTATTTTCTTCTTTTCACCGTTCCCCAGCGTATAAAAATGACTTCTCCTTCACAAATGATTCGTTTTATTGTAGTAGTCGACACTCCAACGAATATTTACTAATTAATGGGTTAAAAAAAATTAGGCATCAAGACCAGCAATTGCTAGTTATCGGTCAATTCATACTTTTTCAGCTTTTTCACAAATTATGATATAAACATTAAAAACAATATTTCTCGCCTGAGATATCAACGACTTTTTCAATATTTACACAAATTAATTAATATTTTCACAAATATTCACCACGATTTACACTTTGACTTGACAGTTGTCAACAGTTGACATTTTATATTTCCATATGAAAATCAATATTTATTCTTTTTATTTTGTGCCACCATATTCTGGTACACCTTTAACCAAATATGTACATTCTCGCTAAGAAAAGCGGCTGTGATATACAAAAATACCAAGGGCGGTTATATGCCCATACTTTGGCATCCTTATGATTCGCATAATATTATACTTCGACATAACAAAAAAGGAATTTTACTTTGGTATATTTAGTTTCTTTTGGGATACTGTTTAGTAGTTAAAAAATTAGAAATCTAAACAGCATACCGAAACCTATTTTATTCATATTTTTCTTTACCTATGGAAATTACGCTTAAATAAAAAAATATAAACTAAGAATTTTATGAGGACCAAGGTTGTGACTGCCCAACCCTCTAGCCGTGATTCTAACCATAGGATACGACATCTTAGCGATGTTGAGTCCGACCTTAAACATGTACTTTATAATAAAGAATAATTATTGTACATTTGAGAGCAGCGTTACCAAATTAATATTTTTATACCAAACTTATCCATCCAACAAAAGACATGACAAAGAAGTAAGAAAGACGAAATATTGCCATAACATCGATAACATCTCGTAACCTATGATACCATATCTTAGCGATGTCATAACGATATTTCGTTTCGTGATACTAATTTGACATGTCTTTTGTTGGTCTTTTGGTGGATAAACGAGTAAGTTAGCAACACTGCTGACAATCCATAATCATCAATATTTATGCTTCATTCGTTTTTATTATAGTAGATGTCAAAGTAGTAAAAAGAAACGAAATATCGATATAACATCCCGACATAATATCGTATCCTACCTGTGGCTAGAGAGTTAGGCTGTCGCTCCCCTGTAGATAGAGAACATTTTTTCTTTTAATTTTTTTTATAATTGGCTATGGATGGATATTACGTTTAAAATATATTGTTATAATTACATATTCATTTAGATACCTAAACTTACTAGATTATTGATAATAATATTTCTAGATTATATCCAGAAACACAGGTGCCGTGATAAAGAATCATAATTAATTGTTGTTTGAGTGCATTTTCTTTTGTACATGTATGTTGTAAGATAAGAAGATGAGTAAATAAATTGTTCTTTTTTCCTAACTTTTTTTTTTCAATTTAGCTCTTACTTGTAGCAACTCATCATAATCAATGTCCTGACATCTGGATATCAATTAGAAGTAATTACTTGATATATATAATAATAGACAACGTAACGATTCTATAATTTCATAATTAACAGATGAATGGGGGGGCACAGAGCAATCCATTTGTAATTTATAATTATACATTTCATCTGACATATAAATCCTATCACAAATAAAAATGCCCATACTTTTGTGTTTAAATGATATATCGTAAAATCAAATATTTAGACTATAGGGACATAGTCCAACCACTAAATCATAAAATAAATAAAATTCAATCATCCGATGATCACTGTTGTCAGGCGAACTGACAGTCTTGAAGAAGAGAATGTCTTACAGTCAGTTGCACAAACGTTCATTAAGGTCTAATTACGCCATTAAACTTTAATGAATGTCATATTTGTATGAGTAAAGGTAACCTAATGACAATTTTAATGGACATTTGTGCAACGGCTAGTATATTATCTAAGTATATAGTATAGTAAATAAGGACAGAGTTAATATTATCTATTAATTGCGTCTCTGTTATTAGCAAAAGCAACAACAACAATTTTCATAATAAATAAAAAAGTGGTCATAGTTACTTTGTTATTGAAAAATACCCTTTTCTTTTTTTACATAAAGTAATTAATACTTTACTTTTAATTACTACTGGCAATTCGTGTTTAGAGTACGTGAATATCTAACGGAATATGCATTGCGTCTGATTGGTCGCGGCATATTACAACTGACAAATTATAAGATACTTGCATACTCAATAGCAGTTCCTTCATGTAAACACTTGAAATATCTTCCGTCAGATTAGCACCTAACTTTATTAATAATAATATACTTTATTGGACACACAAGACGAATAACAAGCTTGAGAAAAAAAAACTATAAATTTCTAGCGCATTTTTTAAATACTTCCTCATTGCAAATGAAAAAACTATGAAAATACTTTTAATATTTTACATGATTCAAAATGGAACTTCAGATAAAATATTACAGTCACATCGACGTTGTAGCATCTAAAGAGTCCTGTTGATTTCTCAAAACATTATTTTGTGCAGATAAACTATTATCAAGAATTGTGCATTTGGACGAATCGTCGCTGTTATTAGTACTAACGCTGGATCTCATAACTGAATTAGTTGTGTAAGATACTGTATCGTAGGGTAGGACACCGATGCTTTGGCTTGATGGTTGTCTGTCCCGTCCAAAAATATTCCTTCTAAACAAAGACAACGTTGGTAATGGTCTACCTATCCTGTACCATAAAGTTCCACCTAATATAACTAGTAAAAATGATATTCCAACTGCCATACCCGTTATACCAGCTCGACTCCACTGCCTTGAAGGAACTGAAATTAAAGAAGAAAACAATATTTAGAGTCGAAACGTCAGGAAATATAAGTAGGTGAAAAACCTAACTATTAATCTATCGCGTTAATACCCGTTTCAAACAATCTAATATCCTAAGCTGCTTTCCACACCGAGATTTTCATACTAAATACAAATGTAAACTCATGTTTTCAAAGTATAATACAGAAAGATACAATTAATGTGTCTCACTAAGGTACTAAACCAAACGTGGCGAATTTCGGAAAATAAGAGAATAATTCAGAATGTGAGTGAGATTGACACCTTCTTCATTGTATTTTAAACCGCATCTTCATATAAACAAGACATATATTAAATTTTAAAATTTTACTGGCTGATTTGCTACATATCAACTTGATAAGTAGTAAATTAGAATTTTGTCTATTTTCCGGTTAAATTGCCGGGCGGGACATGTCATTTGAAACGTTTGGACAAGCACGATTGTAGTTAAGTACTTGAGTGTTTTTATGATCTAAAAAGCTTAACTGCGTACGGACACATACATAAATATAAGCCACTTAAAACTAAATGCGTTTAAAAATGACATAATTTATTAAGCCTACTAGATAACTTACCGCTTATCAAGTACAAAGTCGCGGTATCGCTAGACTCTACAACGTCAGAGTTAATAACAGCGGCGCACGTCCACTCGCCTATGTCATCCTCGTGAACAGATATTATGGACAACGAGCAATCGCCTTGATTCATGTAACGTTCAGGCGTGAAATAATAACGATCTAATATAGCTCTGAAATCATAACAAAAAAATACTAAAAAAAACAGACACTTAATAATCTAATTACTTCATGACAAAATAAAAAAAATGTATATTAGGGGTTAAAGTATGAAATTGCCATTTTATTGTAATAGGTTTCTTGAATTGGCATAGGATCTTCATTTGATCTTCGTTTGAGGTTTTCGAAAGAAACTTCTTTCACGTGGTTTCTATGACATTCTTCTTCAAAAAATAATTTGAAACATTTGAATATCGACTTTCAATAGTTTTTTTTATTCAACTAAGACAAGAAAGATGGATACTGCTAAAATTTGAGTGATTTTTGAATACGAGTTCCAACGCGGAAGTAACACGGCAGAAACAGCCCGCAATATCAATGTTCAATGTTTGAATAAGGATGAATTAAGATGGATTAAGAAGGTGGTGGAAGCCGATCCTAGTCAAACTGTGGCGACTGATACATAGCGACATCTAATTCATCGCAGTAACATCGCCACAACAATCGATAGCGAGAAGACTAGCATCGTCACAGCCATCGATAGCAAGACGAACTGCAATAAGTTTCAACAGCAAGTAACGAGATGGCGCTGTACCAATACAAGCAACATAAATTAATAACTACAAGACATTTAGAACAAAGAAACCTACATCGCACAGAATAAGTTTCATTACCAATTAACATAAATAGAACGTCCAACCTAGACAATTATCCTTTAGTCTCCCTGACCAGTTGTCTCCATCACCACAGTAGGGACCCACATATTCAATCTTACGGTTCCTAAAAAACTATCCAGAAATTAGCGGCATGGTTTAACGTTACATTACCCACAATATTGACTCATTTGCCTTAAATTAATAAAATTAAAAAATACGAAAAATGGGTGCCTCACGGTTTGACTGATCTGCAGAAAGAAACGCGTGTTGAAACTTGTGTTGCCTTGTTGAATCAGTACAGAAATGAAGAATATTGGATCGAAAATGTGACATGTGATGAAAAGTGGATTCTTTAAGATAACCGTAAAAGAAAAATGCCATGGCTGTCCCAGGTCAAACGGCACAACAGTATCAAGCACACAAAGCAAACTTATCAATAAAAAGATAATGGTTACAGTTTGGTGGTCTCGGCATGGTGTTATTCATTATAAGTTTTCTCCGATCTGGTCAAGCAATAACAGCAGATGTCTATTGTGCCGAACTCCGAACAGTGTTGGCCAAACTAGCAGTAAAATAGCCCCGACTCATGAATCGATCTTCACCATTATTGCTCCATGACAACGCGTAGGGTGTATATTGGGTCGCCTAATTTTTTACACTCCTAGTTGGCTTTGGCACGTAAACGGTCAGCCTAATTTTTTCGCACAATTTTAATATTCCTAATGGTGTTTAATCTAATATCATTTCGCGTAACTTTTTATCGCATGCAGCATGCAGGCAAGCATGCAGCATGCAGACAAGCATGCAGCACGCAGGCAAACATGCATCACGCAGGCAAACATGCAGCACGCATCGCTTCTGTCACGGCTCCGGCACTGCGGGGCTCCGGTGGACCCACGCGAGCTTATCGTCGCAACTCTCCTCAGCTCGCGGGCCACCTCGCCCCTCCGCGCCTACGCGGACTTAAATTACACACTAGGAATCGGACAAACAAGACTACGTAATGTCGGTTTTACGGCGGTGACGGTTTAGCTGCGATTCGTTTCTCAAGCCAACTTTTTTTTTGCACATTTAAGGTTAGAAATGCTAAAATGAGAGCATTTAATATTTAAGCAAAATGAAGATATGCCAATTTATTTTAGTGGATTTCATATTAGGAATTCTAAAATTAGGGCTTTCGATTCTGAGACCAAACTATGATAGTGCCAAAAAAACTGTTAGGCTAAACAATAATTGTACATTATAAGTTTAGGCCAATACAGTTCGGCCATGTTAAATTAGGACTTATAATTTTAGGCGAAGCAAGGTCACCCCAACGCGTGACCTCTTACAGCACGAGAAACAGTTTCAACCCTTCAGGAACTGCAGTTAGAAACCATTCGTCATCCTCCGTATTCCCCAGACCTTGCTTTAACGGAGTACCATTTTTTTCGTAATTTGTACAATTATCCACGTGACAAGAGGTTTTCTTCCCAGGAGACAGTACAAAATGCTTTCACACAGTTTGTGCAGTCTAGATCCTCAGAGTTCTATCGCTAAGGCATAAATGACGTTCCTATTAGATGACAGCAATGTATCGATAATAATGGTAACTATTTTGATTAAATTAATTTGTTAAAAAATAAACAATATTGATTTTCAGTACAAATCGGCAATTTCATACTTTAACCCCTATTATTAATATAGTATCATTTCTATAGTAATATCAATATAAAATCAATTTCGTAACGATTTTGAGCTTTAAACAGTTGAAAAGACAGCAAAGATGATTAATTTTAACGGCGCTACCGAATACTACCTACAAGTATAAATTTCTTTCGTTAATAAATATTAGCTAAATTTAGGTATGTGAAGTAAGCAAGATTTAATTTCAATTCTCTTTCAATAAAGTGTACCTAGAGCTCGATGGCGCAGTATAGGATGAAAGGCCTGTCATAGTATGGGTAACTAAAAACTTATTTACATGAGTACCTCCGTGCTTAAGAATGTTAGGCCGTTGATCCCGGCTGCATCTGTAATCGTTAGCGTCCACCAATCCGCCCTGGGTTCACGTGGTTCATCAGGTAGGATCCGCTCACCCTATTCGATTTCATCTATAGGGAAGGCCTATAGGGAAGTCCTCACTGCTGGAGCACACGCAGCAGTGAGGACACGCTGATGATAATGATCATAATAAAAGCATCTCTGATACAATCCCAAAAAAATAAATGCAATATACAAAACTCACTTTTCTTTAGTAATGGTATCATCAATATTGATGCCAACGAAATTAGGACTTAAAAATCTACAGTACTCCAACGGTCTGTTTCCATTCGAAGTGTGGCAGTGTATTATGGTATTCGCTCCAATGGCGGCGCCAATTTCTTTCTTGTTAGCGGCTAAAGGACCCGTGACGCGAACATTTACTTTATCCACAATTTCTAAACCCAATTTATTTTTTGCTCCCATGTGACATGTCCAATCGCCGGCGTCACTACTATGCGCATGAGTAAAGGTTATCCCGCAGTGACCAACTTGAAGACTTTGTCCCGAGTACCTAAATAAAGATTATTTAAAAAAATTGAAGCACTTATCACTCCGATTTGCAATAAAACCTCAAATATTACTTAAGGTTATTTTCTTATTTTTCTCTAAACGATATTTGAATTACAGCTGTATACAAAGTAGAAATGCTTAGTTTCATTATAAGCATGCTGAGCAATTACCTAGACCGGCAAAAACGATGGCAATGGGCAATTAGTGTCAGTGTAAAAGGTGGTAAAGATTATTTTTGCAATGAGAGGCTAAATATGCAACTAAAGTTGCAACTAAATATGTACCTAACTAAAGTCCTGAAAAATAACTGTCAGGCTAACTGATCTACTATCATCAGACCAATCAATCACATCTCGATAGAATCTAGACCAATCAATCGCATCTCGATAGAATACGACTTGCATTTACCATTGTACTATTTACCTAAAATTCGATATTATTTGTACAATATACATATAACAATATCAGACTGCGGGTCTTAAAAAGTACAATGGCAAAATACAAGTAGTTGAGATAAATGATTTGATTTGATTTGAGATTATCAGATTTATACTGCAAAAATGGTCGGGGATAAGTCCAACATAGATGAGCCCAACGTAACCTCATCCAGATCAATCAGGATTTCAGTTACGCGTTAGACCCGCAGGTACTGTCATACATACATTGTTTGATTGTTTTTGCAACTACATTTAGTACACTATTGTAACCATCTCACAAAAGTCATAAGAGAAACTTAAAGATATTCTACACAGAAATATATTACAGTAACAATTTTTTCAAATACAGAATAGAATAAGTGGATGTTTATTTCATATTTATTACCAAAATTGTTGATCCTCAGATGTGAACGGGAGTGGAGAGAACTGAGTTCCGTTAGGGTGCAAGAACCAACAGTATGCCAAAGACTCATCTGCATGGCATGATATTGTAAAACTAACATCCTCTTGTACGAATACAGTCCTCGGTAACTCGTCATCTGCACCTGCTACTTTATATGGCAACTTTAAGCCTAAAAGAAAATATATCGTAATTAGGTATTTGGTTATTATATTTAATAGATGGTTGCTGGTCATGTAACCTAAGTAAAATAGGACCATGCATTAAAAGAGTTTCCTAATTAGCGAATAACTTGTTCTTAGTACAAAAAATATAATATAATGCTAAAACATAAAAAATATAATGAACCAAGCAATAGAACGGCAAGACTTAACACTTCTCAGGAGTTGTTGCTGACCTGTGTTAAAGAGGTGGTTGAAGTTGACTAAGAGCGAGTTGGGCTCACAGAAAATGCCATTGAAGTCGGGCGCCTATCGTTTAATTAGGTAAGATTATTTATCACTTTTGAGATAAATATAATTTATTTATTTAATCTTTATGCCTATAAAATAAAAAAGGCGGACCTAACGCCATAAAGGCATTCCCTACCAGTGAAACATATGAAGATGTAAAGAGCATTCAAAAGACATATATTTTTAAAGCTTTGAAGTCGGTTTTATTTTTATAATAAAAAGATTTTCTTTTATCGAATTTGGGAGAAAATTGAAAATACTGTTCAATTTTCATCTAAATTCTTACATGAATGGAATGTAATACTTGAAAATTCTCAGTGATCTCTATCCTATAGGTCACATAATACACTTTGCACATTTTTAGCTGAGTACGGATACGCGCCGCAGCCCGCGATCGTTGTTGTTAAGTAACTTTAGCAAAGGTCGGTAACGGGATGGGTGATCAAAAAACTATTTCGAGCTCTTCCGTGCTTCGGGAAAGATGTTAAACCGTTGGTCCCGGCTGTATTTCCAGTCGTTAATACCCTCCAATCTGCATTGGGCAGCGTTAAGGGTCATGGCTCATTCTCCCTAACAAACAATAAAGTGACAGACAAAAGAGTAATCCTATGAGGGTAGTTCCGTTTCCGTTTGGTAGGTACGGAACCCTAAAAGGAGCAACACTTACCTTTCCCGTGGATTACTGGTACATTAATCAACGCTTGCATAGGTGCTTGTTGAACCAAATTATTACCAACTCTCAATTGCGAGCCGACTGAACATCGCCAGTTTCCAAAGTCGTTATCTGTTGGTTTCTCTATAGTCATACCACATTGTTTATCCGCAAATCCGTCACCATAGTAACTGGTAGTTAAAATATAAGAAAAATATAAGCGTATACTGGTCGCAAATTGGTCTCCTTATGTTACCAAATCAACCCAAATAGGTACAAAAAACATATATACTAACTATGGTTCATAACTTTGTAACTATAGTAGTTGTACATCGTGTTTTTAAAATAAGAAATTTTAATACCAAGGAGTTTCTTTTGCCATTGGCAAAATTTCACTCTTTAATACCTACATACATTAGTAACTACATTAGTCTTTTATTTTTTAATTATTTTTATGCGTGTAATTTTAATGTTTTGCCTAGGGCGCCTTTCATTAAGCCGGCGTCGATTCCGTATGGTCGAAATTTGCATACATCAATGAGCCACTTCAGTTGTGTCTTACTGTATCTATATTTTGGCACGCACCAAATTTGTAATGTATGTATGTTATGTTACTAATATTTTTAGTCTCCACCAAATATAACATAGATTTATTTCAAGTAATTGATAATTTGCCAAACTATGTATGATTAGTCTCATACTTTACCTGTGGAGTCCGTCACTAAGGCCCTCCATAACATTATAACCAACGTCGTTAGTAGTTTTTTGGAAACGACAAAATGTAACAATCTTCGCCGTGTGCAAAATATTACAGTAAAGATGTATTTTATTGTTATTGCTATCATGTGCATAACCGACATCAAGACGTTCAGCTGAAATTAAAATATTAATCGCAACTATTTCCAGAGCATTTAGCCAACATATTTTTCAGTTCCAGTAGTCGACGTGTTCGGAGTTTCGGACTGCAATTGTGGAGATTAGGAATTGCGAGTCCCACTAAAGTCTGCAGTGGTTCCCACACTCATCAATCTACATTAGGGTTGCCAACCGTATCAAATAAAATGTTAATAAATTATTCCTTTATTTACCTCGTTTCAAATCAGATATAATCTATTTCTTCTAATATTCTAATAAAGTTGGCAACTCTGATGACTGTGATCAACACTGATTCCGCGTAATGGTGATAACGTATTTCCGTATATGATTCTGTCCTTAAACAAAATGTACCAATAGTAGAGGTGATGGTCAAATAATATATGAGACACATAAGTGACCTCAAAATATCAATGACACAATTCGCTCATTTGCGACAAGAACGTGACAAAGTAAAAATCTCAATTTGTGATAAAACGCTCTTGAAAGTTTGAAATTCCTGTAACTTTTTAATAATTTTGTTTAGCCTATTCAGCTCAATACAACATAACTTCAAGGTTTTCGGTTTTTGGATCAAATTGCATTCAGACCTTTAAGTTAGTTATAAAATTTATTATGATTATTTATTTAAGAAAGGGTCCTCCTTGTTGCGTTATTCTTGTAAAAAAAATCCAGTATTGCAGAACAAACAGATATGAACCGATTTTCTTGAAAAAAAATTGGATAAAAATCTAAACCTTTACAAGTTATGTCGTATTGTTACGTTTTTATTGATAATCTGTAATATAAAGGTATGGAACATTTTAATTAAGACATGTTACTGTCGTAGAAATCTCTTTATTTTTGTATTTTGTTTAACAAAATGAAAGATATTTTAGCGAAGTTATTGTGTAACTTTCGCTGAAATACAAGTAATAATCGAAGTCAAAGTCAAAATAATCTTTATTCAAATATTATTATATTAAGTCCTTTTGAATCGTCCAACATTTTTTTCCCTACCACGCTTTCAGGATGTATTTTTGCCGAAAAGAAGAACGAGCAAGAAACTCACCAGTTCTAATAAGAGTTATCACATTTACAAAAACCATGTCATTACCAGATCAATACATTATAAACAGAGAGAGAAAAAAAACTATGGTCTTATAATTATAACATAATCATTTAATAATAATGAAAACAAGATAATGAGTTTAGAAGTAATCACCTATCCAGTTGCTGGATCATCTCAAGGCCAAGCGTTCTTATCTGTTATATAATCGGATACTTTATAATTAGTATTTTTTCTATAGTAGATTTTAACTGCATGAAATCTTATTGTTGTATTTTTACTTGGGACCTTATTGTAGAAGCCCACACAAAGACCCTTGAATGAGTTATTCATTTTTGCAGTCTAGTGACAGGCACAGTTAATTTATTTTTATTTCTTGTATTAAAATTGTGTACATCACTTTTTATAGAAGACAAAATAATATTTTTACGAACGTACTTTAAGTTCTCGTATATGTATTGAGAAGCAACAGTCATAATGTCTATTTCCTTAAATTTCTCCCTTAAAGAGTCCCTAATCCTAAGATTATAAATTGATCTAATTGCTCTTTTCTGAAGCATAAAAATTGTTTGTATGTCGGCAGCATTTCCCCACAATAGGATTCCGTACGACATTACACTATGAAAGTAACTGAAGTATACCAATCTGGCAGTATCTATGTCAGTTAACCTACGTATTTTCGTTACGGCATATGCTGCAGAGCTAAGTCTACTCGACAATTTATCAATATATGGGCCCCACTGTAGTTTAGAATCTAATGTTATTCCTAAAAATATCGTGGTATCCACAAGGCCCATGTTCTTATCTTTTATATTAACATTTATATCTACTTTTTTAACAATAGGTAGTACAAATTTTAGGCATTTTGTTTTTCCTTCATTAAGAAGAAGATTATTTACATTAAACCAATGTACTACTTTAGCGATAGAATTATTCAAATCGTCATTTAGAGGTAACGCTCTTCCAATTTTTAAAAAAAGTGAAGTGTCATCTGCAAAGAAAACTATTTCGTGATCATTCCTTACGAAATAAGGCAAGTTATTTATATAAATCAAAAACAAGAAAGGACCAAGTATTGAGTCCTGCGGAACACCCATCTTAACTTTCGACCCAGGGGATCTTTTGCCATCAACCCTCTGTACTCTGTCAGTCAAGTACGAGACAGTAAAATCCAATGAGTTATCTCTAAATCCATAAAAATGAAGTTTACTAATCAATGTTTCATGAAAAACAAGCCTTAGATAGGTCACAGAAAATACCTAACGCATCATGTGAATCCTCCCAGGCATTAAAAATTTCTTGTATTAACTCGACACCGGCTTCGATTGTTGAGCGACCCCTTGTAAAACCAAATTGTTGTCGATTCATAAGCATACTTGCCTTTAAAATAGACTCAGCGACAGTGGAAGAGGAATTCAAAGATTGTGTAATTAAGACTGGAATATCAGTAAATTAATTTTCAAAATTTTTAACATTTATAATGCAACATTGTAAGCTATTCGTTGTAAAAATGTATTATTTTTTATCAAGAAAGTGTTAATTTGAGATAACCAACATTAGTACCAAACATTTTGTACTTTTATTAACAGCTGTAACGGAATATCTCAAATTAATCAACAAAAATAATTGTTTATTTCAGCAATAACGGTACAATCCTCTGTAAACCATAGCATAACGATTACTATTTTTACTACAATAATGAGCCACATAAAAATGTCCCGTTATAGCTGCAAAAATAAATCACAAAAAAACATAATTTTGTATTTACCTTTTCAACAAAACCGTGACACCATGAGCTGTTACATTTTTGCCGCCATCAGGCACCACTTTCCTCTTCAAGCGAGCGGCGACAACTGACATGAACCGATCTTGCATTGAACTAAGGAGTGGAAAGAGATAGCGCTAAACCGATAGTCGCCATCCTTTTCCTTCATTACTCGGTCATTTTTGGCGCTAGAAATATCGCGTTTTAGCAGCAAGTAGAGCGCGATGCGCCGAATTCTACTGTATTATTATTCAATAACGATACATATTTGCGTTAACACGTTCTTGTCGCAAATGAGCGAGTCATGTACAGTGAATGACCGTACATTCTGCTAATTCAGCGTTTATGTAAATGTAATTTATTTTATAAACAAATAAAAATTTGCACATAGGCAATATTTTTCAGTTCACAATTAGCATTCATCGCGTGTACTCAATATTATAAGTAAGCATATCATTTAATATCAATAAATTGTTTATCAATCAATCAAATCTATTATCATTTTAAGATGTAAGGAAACACCATAAAACACAAGTTAAAAGTTATCAGTTTCAGATTCCTGATACAAAACATAAAAAAGGACACTAAATATACCAGAAAATAAAACTACGACCGATCTCACCTTCAACCTGCACATGCCTGTCGATATGTAATTCAGTTACCCGTCCAGGTAAACCAACAAGTACATTCCAGTTTCCCTGCACAGCCCTTGTGGCTTTATCTAAAGTCACTCTACAATGACCAGAAACTAAAGAGCTCTGCGAGAAAGGTTGGGTGACTAGACAATAAGAGTTATCGAGCGAAGTAAGATCCAAATCTGGATGTTGTTCCCCATCTAACAAAGATATAGGTGGAGCTTGGTATGATTTGATGTCATCTGCAAAGTAAAATGTAATTCAAAAATTATCTGATGCTAGATAAATATTGCAGTAGTAAAATGCAATTTAAAAAAACGCTATGAGGCCGACATTAATCACGTGATGTTTTTCATCATTTTTAACACCCCATCCCACTTAGTACATGGTGAGGTTTAAGACTGCACCCAAATCAGTGTATTTTTAGTACTTACTATTCACAGTGTAGAAAGGTTAATGGCAATTAAATGGTAAAAAAATTGTATAACATAAATTAAAGTTTTGCAATAACACATAAAATACAATCATTTTCTAGCTTACGTACTTTAACAATACGACAGATATCATGAGCAGTCTATAGTTGATGTTTTGAATTTTTCTTTAGGAAACTTAGATATCATTATTTCTTTACCTTTCTCTGTTATTTTTAGTTTTCCCCTTCCTTTATATTTCCCTTTGTTTTTACGGTAGTATTTTTGTTCATTGTTATCACTTTAATATTTTTTACTAGTTCCATTTTACCCTCAACTTAAAATTTCCATCTTGCCCGTACACTGGTATTTTAATTACAGTAATATATATAAGTAGCTCGGTGGCGTAGTGGATAAGCAACTTTCGCAAGGGTATTATCTCGAGCTACTCCGTGCTTCGGGAGGCACATTAAGCCGTTGGTACCGGCTGCATTCGCAGTCGTTAATACCCTCCAATCCGCATTGGGCTCGCGTGAAGGATCATGGCTCATCCTCCTTAACCATCCATAAGAAAAGCCTGAGCCCCTGCAGTGGGGACGTAAAAGGGCTGGTGATGATGATGATATCTATAAACCAAAAGATATATTGCTTTGATTATTGTATCTATCTATACACTTGATCAATAGTAAATATTTACTATCAAAGAAAAATAGTCTTATTTCTTACTAATCTTAAACAATCAAAGCAAAAAAGTCTGAAGTTTTTATAATATTTTGCTATCAAATAAGCATATCGCACCTTTTTCTGTCTGGTGCGATTCAGACTATTGATTTACCATATCATTCGTAAATCACACTGAGCTAGGTGTCTCTCTGTGGGTGGCGAGAGTAGTGCTCCCAAACAGAAGGCGGCAAGGGGGATGGGATCGCGTATTAGCGCATCCCACCCCTCTGTGGACCGGCGGGACGAGGGCTGACACCCCACCCTGCACCCTGGCGAGGCTAGCTCGTCGGGACGGTCCACCGTCTGGGAAAGGTTGTTATTCACCCAAGCCTTTCCCATCCCGCAGAGGGCGACTCCTCTCAACCCTCCGCGAGAGGAGTCCGTGCGCGAACGGAGGAAACCGGGCCCTTCTTGCAGGATACCGGGTTCCTCCTTATTTCGCGTGAGGTGAACCGCAGCGGGTTTTACCAGGTAGGGCTTCCACATTAACCTGCCCTTTTCAGGGCAGGGTGGAAGAGGAGCCCTGGTTTGAGGCTTAAGGTGCATTTCCCCTGCGTTAACAAAAAAAAAAAAAGGTGTCTCTCTGTGTATAGCAGCACCCGCGATAGATCAAATATTTTGTTTTTAATAAGAAGTCTCCATTTTGCCCACTTCTACCATCTTGCCCTCCCTTTGCTTATATTAAAAGAACTAGAGTTTTATCTCGAGCGTTTTGCTAAAAGAAATTTTTATACTGGATTTCTACTAACCTTCTACATAAACCTCTATCCAACCGGTGAAAGAATGTGTAGTATTAGTAGAAGTTAAACGCCAACGACCGGAGTCTGCACTATGGACATTACGAATCCTTAAACTGCAACTAGTGTCCCAAACTTCGTAACTAAAAAAATTGTCATAAAAGAATCATCGGAAACAAATACGGACTTGTAGCCAAGGTAAGGAAATTTCTCAAGTAATAAATTAATCAATACGTAAGGTACTGACTTTTAATATCGCCTACTGTTTTTGATAGCTGGGGTGCTAAAAAGTCAATCAAAATATTTCTCACATACATTTCTGCAACACCAGATAGATCTATTTCAGTTTGGTTTTTCAATTTGGGCAGTGATTACATTTTTGTATCTTTTATGTTGATATTGTTCTATAACTCACCGGTCTTTCGGAAGAGAAGACGAGGCGAATGTCTGCCCTGAAGGAGTTATAACTTCGCAAGAGTTTTGATTGATTGCGCTTTTGGTAAGCTTCATGAGAACCACGTGACCCACAACAACGGTCAGAGTGTGTGGCCACCCTAATCCTTGTTGCATTCGCGGAAGGTTTTTAAGTTGAATTTCGAAAGATTGCACCAATCCATTTTGTATAGATCCTGTTAAAAATATTTATAGAGGAATTAACACTAAAAATACGTTCTTACTAAATAATCAAAGTGATCAAAATCTACATTGCACGTCTACATATTTGCGTCATCACTTCCTATATCAGTCAAACTATATAAAATTTTAATATCTATTATTGAATATATGATGATGTCAATCTATCTACATTTAGGTAATCTAATCATACAAGATGGTATGTCGATAAATGCTGTAATAGTCATAATAATGAAATCAAACGTCTAGACCAGCCTCTACATTCTGTAACTCTGGTAACTTCTTAGGACACAGACATAAATTGTTCACAGAGCTCTGTGGGCAACCGCCGGTCATGGAGTGGTTTTGGTATTCCGTAACTCATTTTAACAGATTATATAATCTATAGCCAGTTGCTTTACCTGTATATATTATTAAGATGAAATCACTCACTGAAATTCAAGTATAAATAATAGCATAACGATACAAGATCAAGTGTCAAACAAAACGAAGTTCTAAGCTCTCAAGATTTACATCGGAAGAGCCACTTTTGGCTCTCGAGCCGCATGTTGCCGACCACTGAACTAAACTAATAAGAAAAATAAATAAATAAACTAAGGCACATTATCAAGCAACTGTGATTCAGTCGTTTTTAGGTCCCGTACACAAAAGGTAAAAACAGTGTGGCACATCTTTTTAATAATCTTTGTCGTCCACTCTGAGCAACGTAATCTGTGACATTTGTAATATAAATAATAATGCATTTGTAAGTTTTCATTCAACATTTAAGCAGTCTGAAAGTAAAGTCATACCGGTGAACACGATTATTCAATTTAACGACCCTTCGTAAAAAATAGAGTCAGATCGTCAACTTACCAATAAATTAAATATCAACCTATATACTAATAAATTAATACCCAAAATAAGGTAAAACGGAAACTCTATTACCAAGTCTCCGATATCTGTCTATCCATTCATCTATCAACATGTTGTATATTAAGAACAATGATGTCAAAAGGTTGAAATTCTTGAAAGACAGGTGTCGTAATTTTAATGCAATAAGGATACATCATCATATATACATCATAATATGCAATATAATTTTAAATGTATTAAATATAATTAAATATTTAATATTCTGATTAATATATATACTTACCAATTATATAGATTGCCACACAAATAGCAAACACTTTGGAAATCATTTTTTCTTTTCAATATTATATACGATTTACCACTTTCAGTATACGGTTATACTAAAGTAATCTGTAAAATGAATACTTTTATAAACCACTATCAATATCAAGATTCGAAAGTGCGCTTTGACTTGTCGATACATCCATTGATAAATACAAAGTAATTAAAACATTAATTGATAAAAAAACGTTTGAGGTAACTAAGTAAGAGTACAATGAAAATGTTAACTGTGGGTACCTATAATTATTCTAATAAATAAAAAATACCTTAGATGTCTGTATCAATATTTATTGTTGCATCTTATTTCTTACATGAGTATATATAATTTAAAGAGATCATGGATCCTATAAAGTAGGTTCAGTGAAAACTAATTTCTCTGTAACTTTTTCCTTCACTGCAAGAAATGGAATAACGTCATCTGCTTCTTTCATTTGATTTGTGGGCATCTGAAAAAGAGCAGGACATTAGTTAGTACAAACTATTAATTTATATTCAATGCAAACAAAGAGTGAGACCTGTTCTTAATTTGAAACTAAACTATATTCTTCGTTCAAAATACGCTAACAATACACCAGTAGCGCGAATAAAATACTTATGTACCAAATATTACCCAGAACAGTTTTTTACCAATATTAGAATTAGGTTTAGATATCCTGAGACATCTACTTAGCAGACACATCCTAGGACCCGGATCCTATTCAGTACACTGCTAATTATATAAAAAAAGCTTTATTTTTAAATTCACCTAGTCATAGGAATCATATTTATAAAATAAATGACAAAATGTGTGTCACCATAAAATAATTTGTCAGTATATAATAAAAAATCAAACCTACCTAAATAGTTATATGTAGGTCAATTTTCTAATAAAAAGACGATGTTTACAAGTGGTGAGATATACAAAGTGTAATTAATTATTTTGGAATATTGTATTGAACTTACGTGTAAGTCTTGTGCTTTTGATTCTTTGGCTGTATACTCTCTGAGTACATAATCTGTATTGAGCATGTGAAACATCCTGGTTTCATTAGATCTCACAAGTACGTCATCAACCCTCAAAAAGTATCTTAATAATATGTACCAATAAGATGGCATCACTCTCTGAAAACAGTTTATTAATGATACAATATGATTACATTGGAATGTCTGCGACAGTACGTTGCTAAACACTACTTAATTTGGAATCTAAGTAATGTATATGATAGTAGGGGAGCTGAAGCGGGGATTTCGGGATTTACTAAAGCGCGGCAGATTAATATACAGGGGGATACCTTGTACCCAGTTAAGTACCTGGACCAAGTATGAGCCCTATAAAAATGGCCGCCCGGCAAGGACGAAGGATCAGATTAGTAAAAAAAAATTGATAATCTGAAAATCTCGAGCGCGTCTGATTAAGGTAAGGTGAGCTTGTTACATGCTAAAAGGTGTACATACCTCTAATCTGACAATTTGAGAGTGACGTAAAGAAGGGGGAAGGCTACAAAGTTGCAAAAAAAAAACGTCACTTCGACATTCTCGAGCTACGTGATACCTATATTTCCTTCTCCGCATCATTATTTAACTCTCACTCTTTTTCTATCTATTACTCTCTCACTCCGTCCCCACTCTGGTTTCGGTTGCCATGACGCCATGACAGCTGATGACACAGACTCGTTCGTGGCGTGATATTGTTTACATCGTATTACCAACGTTTTTGCTTATTTTGTTATTTTAATGTAAATTTTGTGAATTAAACTTTTTACATATTTACTAAGAGAAGAAGAGGAAGATGATTCTAGCGATGAAGATGATAATTAATAAAAAATACTGTAAAAATAAAATTTTCATATAATAATTTTCTTATAAATATAAGTATTCTACATAAAAAAAACATACACTTTTTTATTTGCATGCTAACTCCGGTGCTTTTCTATTTAATTAAGCTCAATGATTTGAAGAAAATATTAAAAAACTTTTTAATTGTCAGTTAAGTAAATAAATTTAGTAAATAAATTTTGGCATGAATAAAGAATTATTATTATTATTATTAAATCCCTTCAGATAATCGTCAGATTATGAGATATCACGTCTGGGGCATAAAGATGAACAATATATATCTTAATCTGACGAATTTGACGCGCTTGAGTATTTCAAAATGGCGATTTTTTTTTGCACATTCTAATAATGGTCACGCGTTTGCGTCACATCCAAATCGTCAGATTATTATATGAGAGCTTTTTTTTAGGTTCACTTGACATCCCCTCAAAAAATCTGACGCGCTCGATAATTTTTTTTTTTTCATTTTCAACCCTTACGTATAACCACCCCCATCATGGAAACGATCAGATTAACATACGACAGTTTTGAAAAATGCGTAGGACATGGATGATATTAATACCTGACGCGCTCGAGTATGTCCATACAAGTTTTTTTTACATTTTTAAAAATCTATAGCCGCTTCCCCCACCGATGAAAGGTATATATTATATGACATTTTTTTTGTTATGATCTAAGCTTCGCAACCCAAATAGGTCTCTATGACGCTCGAGTAAATCCCGATTTAGCATCGTAGGCTCCCCTATTATGACGTTGCCTAATATAATTTGTTTAAGACCATTATCTTAAGGCTGGAGTTCGATGACCATCAGTTAAACATAGATTAAGAAATCACCAGGTAAATTTTAATCACGATTACCTAATCAGCCGAATATCATCTTTTAGAACGAATGTTGGAATAGTAATAGGCTAATCAGTTGCGTATGTAGTTCTTTTGTATTCTTCTTCATTTAAATTAATGGCGTCGCCCTTGTGATTTTTTTTTTGCTTTATGTTCGTTGCGTATTAAGTTCTTCCGTGTTCAGACGACACGGTCTTTATTGACAGTTCAACGTATCAACGTAATAAATATACTCGTACTAAAAATTTTAAGAGTACGGAGGACATGACAGGAAAGGTATTAATAGACGTATTTTAACTTTGATCGCCCTATAAGCTCTAAACGATTGTCTATTTTGTCTTGTTTACTTTTCGGTCTTGTCAATTGTTATTTCAAAACAAATTTAATATTCAAATGTCATTGCTATTCTCTATTATTATATTTGCTCAATTTTGCATTCACAATTTCATACTGGAAAATATTCTTAATGAAAAATGCTTAAAAAAAGCACACATGCACTTTCTTAAGTGATGAGCAGAGCATCCTATTCTAATGGAATTGGTTATAAAACATTATTGCAAAAATATATTGATTCTGGCTTCTATTTGATGCCGAATAGTGTCCCAGGTTGCTCTTAAAAGGTTTAGGAGAAAACAATTTAAAACGCGACGATCTAGCATGCTCACGTGGAATGTTAAAGTTAATTTGTTGTGAAAGAGCTGACCAATCTAAAGCACCATTAACAATTTTATATAGAAATAAAAAAATAATTGATCCAACAATCGTCTTCGATCTTGTAGACTAGATACGTTAAAATATAATAGTCGTTCTTTATAGGAAGGTAACTCTTTAGCCATATTTTGTTGCAAAGACAAATACCATAAAAATCTTTTTTCATCATCATCAGCCCTTTTACGTCCCCACTGCAGGGGCTCAGGCCTTCCTTATGGATGGTTAAGGAGGATGGGCCATGACCCTCCACGCTGGACCAATGCGGATTGGTAAATCTTTTTTATATCGATTCTATTCTTTTAATGTGTATTTCGTAACGAGGAGACCACACTACCATATTCCAAGGAAGACCTAATTAATGCGCAAAATATTTGAATCTTGCTATTAGGAAGCGTAAAATCTTTTGCATTTTTTATGACAAATCCAAGTATTTTAAAACATTTTTTGACAAGCTTGTCTATATGAGTATTTAAGTTAAGTTTTTTATCAAAAAAGAAGCCCAAATCGCGCACAGTAAAGCAAATATATTTACATTTGTTTATATTCAATGTCATGTGATTACGATCAATCCAATCCTCCTGTAAGCACAAGCAGTGTGATGGTATGTAATTTTATCCAGGGGATTCTTATATTTTTTATAGTAATCTGTATTTACTCTTTTCATTTAAAAGGCGTTTTAAATGTCTATTAAACCATATGGGGTATTTATAATGATGTATAACAAACTTAGGTACTTGCGCTGTTATAACTTCGTGCAAAACGTTATAAAATACATCATCATTTCATCCACATTCTTTTAATCTAAAAATTTTTTACCCCATTCGATTTTGTTCAAAATGTCAATTATACTATCATAATCGGACTTAAAAAAGTTGTATTTAAAAATTGATTCACGAGGCAAATTCGACGATAATGAGGCACAAGAAAGTGAATTGTAATGGCGGATGATGTAAAGCTATGCTAATAAGAGGGGTCTCACATCTTTTCAAGCCCCTTAACGGCATATACAAAGAACTAGATCCCGAATTTTATCACAGTGATTACTTATACAATTACACACATCAATATCGTCTAGAGATATTTTGTATAAAATTCTTAATTCAAAAAATACTGAACGGTTTAAAAATCTTTTGATGAAAACTTATTTTGTACGCCTTTTTTGATGATTCCAAATTTGAATTAAAAAAAAAATATTTCAAACAAAAGATTTGCGCGGCATAATTGAAGCGAAGTTCGAAGTTTTCAATTTACCTACCATAGTTTTTGAAGATTTTTAAGTTAGCTCTTTAATTTGAATTTGTGCTACTGTATGCATTATGCAGCGCCATTTAACAAGAGAGGAAATGTTAAGGGCAGTAGGCATGCTCCAAGCTGGGGCTACTCAACGGAGTATTGCTGAAGACATCGGAACAAAACAAAACGTGATGTCACGGTTATCGTCACATTATCGTGCTACTGGTGAAGTGGCTGAAAGATACCTAGGTGGGAAGCGCATAACCACCCAAAGTCAAGACCGATTTTTGCAAATTGCTGCGAGAAGGCAACCAAATGTTACGGCCATGGAGTTAGTTCAAAAATGTTAAGTCGGACACCAGTTGCTTGTGAGTGACCAAACTGTGAGGAGAAGACTGCATGAAGCTAATCTTCATGCTCGCAGACCGCTTCGTACTCCTGCACTACGCCGAGGAAACCGTGGAAGAAGATTACAGTGGGATCGTGAACATTTGCTCTGGATAGGTAAGCCAGTGGTCTGTAGTGCTGCTTACCCATGAGTCCCGATTCGGTTTCCATGCTGATTCGCGAAGAGTCCGCGTATGGCGAACTCAAGACCCTCAAGAAGTCCATCCATACCATGGCGGGACGATTATGGTTTGGGCGGGAATTCGTGTTGGTGGAAGAACAGACCTCATTTGGATCAGAAACACAATGATCGCTGAAAAATACCTCAAACAAGTGCTAGTACCATTAGTCTACCCGACTACAAATGGGTCCAGAATTCACTCTCATGCACGACAATGCTCGTCCTCACACAGCGCGAGTGGTCACAAACTGGCGGCAGGAGCACGACGTATCGGTCTTAGACTGGCCCGCGCAATCACCTGACCTAAATCCCATAGAACACGTGTGGGACATGCTCCTAAGAAGGGCTTTGAGGAATTTACCTACAAACAGTGTCACTGAAGAGCAACTTTTTTGGATCTTTCCAGGACCTGGGACTATGGTCCACTTATTGTCAACTTATCAAAGTCTAAGTCGGGAAATATCCCGCAGCAAGACTTTGATAAGTTGATTCGAAGCATGAAAAATCGTTGCAGGACCGTTGTTAACGTCATGGGTGGTTTTACTGACTATTGATTTTTGCAAAACTGCAAAGAACGGAATAATTTCGCTATATTTTTCAGGTTTTCTTAAAAAACACATTTATCATTATTTTTGCCATTATTCTACTTTTCGTCTTTACCTAAATATTTTATTTTAAGGTACAAAAAATATTTATGTTTTATTCTATAATCTTCGCTAATAAATGGGCTTTATAAAAATATAAACATGTTGTATGTTATTCAGAAAAAAAACTGAGAAAATTAAGAATAATTAAAATATCCCTTGACAATGTTGATGTGTGTATGTTGCTTTAGATTACAATATGATATTAAGTCCAAGATTAAATTACTATATCATATTAATAGCAAAATGATTATCCATACTAAAATCTAAGATAATTTGATATCAACAGATTGCCTATACTGATTGCTTAGACTGACTATTACAAAAATCAAATAACGCTTAATACTCACAATTTTTACAGACAATTTAGATATCCCATGATCATGCAATTCATCCTCAAACAATGTAAGATCATGGTAAAAGAGGATTTGGTCTTTCTGTTTTAAGAGATCAAAGTTAATTGTTTCATTTGTGGACTCCACAGCTATGTTGTCTGAAAGTGTTCCTTTGTAATCTGTAGAAAAAGTCCAATCGAATGTCTTCTTTTTTCTCTCAGCATCAGGACTGTAATTATAAATTATAATACAAGAACTGAAATATATAAAGGTATAGCTAAAAAATAACTATACTTCTTTATATTTTTTATCAATTTTTATATTCACAATGCTATAATGGAAAATGTTATTAATGAAAAATGCTTACAAAAATCTGTTTTGCCCCAAGATACTCTGAGATGGGACTCGACCCTAGAACCTTCGCAATCTGGGCAACTACTCTAGCCACTGAGCTACCCAAGACCTTACAGGACTGACAAATCCTTCAAGCATTTTTTTATTTTTCACTACTAATGAGCATATTTTCATCAATGTGCAGGCAATCCACCCAAACAGCCGAAAGAAAATAATTACAAATATTTTAAGCTTTTGATTGAGGTGAAACCTCATTTTATTTGATCAATTTTTACATTCATAAAGCTATGTTGGAAAGCTTTATTCTTAATGTGAACATTGATGATAATTTTTAAGCATTTTTCATCAAGAAGTAAATTTCTATTAAAATCATCAAAATTAAGTAGTAATATGTAACGTATTATTAATAAAACCTTTTTTTTATATTTTGGGGTTCCACATAAGTAATTGGTTTCCAAATAGGATAAAAACTACAGGACTATAAGTAAAGTCAGAATTGATCAAATAATCAAATATGATGATATTGATGCCCCCAAGCAACAACTCGTTAATCGAAAAATTATAATTTTACAGGAAAAAAGATTTACTGATTTTAACGAATATCTTTTCAACGAGTGGGTCTATTGGAGTCACTGATGTATCAAATGAAAGCAAATTTTTTGCATAATGTAACTGTGCTATTAATATGAATACTCATTTATGCAAAACCTAGTTATTTGTGAAAAATCATAATACCTTTAATGTTATACGTGAAATATTACGGTTAGAATGCTTACGGGGTTATTGGAGTAAATTTGTAGAATAAAATATTTCGTAACATTACATTATGGACTTCTACGGCGTTATTTTTTATTGAAGGGATGGTGCATAATGTGTTTTTACGGAGTTATTGTGGTAATATTTTGTATTATGGTAAACGGTATTGATAAATAACATTATTACTGCTAGGAAATTTCGAACAATAGTGTTTTTGTAACCACTCAATACATTTTTTTTAAAGTGTAATTTTAGAAGATACAACCGAAAAGTATATAAATTTAGGCGATATTTAATTAACTACAGAATGAAATTTGACCCTCAATTTAACACAAACATTTATTGATGAATATAATCCAAAAAATAAATACTGAGATCAACTATTAATCATATAAAATTAAAATTTATTCATTTTCAGATACATTTTCTTTCTCAGCTTCTGAACAGGACAAAGATTGGTAGAATGAATGGTAACTCTGAGGAACAGCTCCAATTTTACACAAACTTAAAAGGTTGGTGAGCAAAAGCTTTACTTAAAGGTATCGGTTGTAGGTATGCACGTTGCAACTGCACATTATCCAAGTACACAACTAAGCCTGTACTCGAGGAGAAGCTGGTATGCTTTCGCCCTTGTTGTCTAGCTAAGGTTTAATGAGTGTAGTTTAAATCAAGTTCTAAATAAGGGTCTTCAAAATTATATTTGAAAAATAACTTATTTGGTTGTGAATCCACAACATTGACCTCCATGACGTCAGTCGAATCATATTTCTAACTTTGTCGCGCCGCCAATACTAGTCTTCTACAAGTGGTTTACAATAGTAAGTTTCTTATTTTTATTATTCTTTGACACGGTATTTTTCACCAGTAATCTATGAATTTAAGATAATACTTAAAATTTGGTCAGGGGTATATAAAACTTAATTTTTTTAATTTATTTCTATGCGTGCATGCATTGAATCTCCCTCGTTTTGACCGTGTGCTCTTTCAAACAAACAATGTGTAATCGAAATTACAAATAGATTGGCGGCCTATATATAAAGGGCAAAAATTAATCGATTTTTGTCCAGCCCGAATATAATAAAGTGCCATGCCTAATAATACCTTATTTTTGGAATGACATCAAAGACAGTAAAATTTTCTCTTATAGTGGAATATGCCTACTTCTGATTGAAGCACACTCAATACTTTTTGCAAGCCAAATATTGCAACTGTCTCATAAGCATTGTCGGCTCTTTTTAGCTCTCCTTTTTTTAAGGCTCTTATTTTTTCTTTTCTCTCTAAATGTAGTTTTGTTTTTTCCTCTAGGATGGCTGTTATAGTATCATCTGATTGTTCATAAATGGAGTATGAAACGCTTTTTTTTGGTTTGAAAAATGAGTAATTATATCGAGTGCTAAAAATGGTTTTGTATTGTCGTTTTGTTGCCATTACTGCATCTGTGTAATTTTGTTGTGTAAGCTACTCGGTGTAAATACTGTACATTTTAAAAATATTGAAGTTTTCTGAAAGATATTCTCGGTTTAAAGTTGCCCTAGTATAATGCGATTGTACTTTAGGAAATAATTCAATGTGCTTTAATAGTGGCTTTTGTTATAGTGCTCATTTTATTAGGCCTATTATTATGTCTCTCCCGCTTACCTTGAAGTCCCTCATCTGCATGCATAGTTTCTTCTATTGTTGTATAAACAATATACTTTTTGATTTCTAAAGTATTATAAAAAATGTTTTACATATATGAATATTTTCTTTATTTGAATTTGTGAAAAAGTAGTCCAAAGTTTTGCGTGCGCTTGTTTTTATGGTCTAACGTCATTCGTTTAATAGTTCGTGCTTTAACATATCTACTAATATACAACCATTGATGTTCGCGGTCAGTCAGACTATAACTTGTCTATATGACTGACTGAATTTTTGGCTACAATCTTTTCTATATCAGATTCTCTATTTTCTGTGTATTCTATATTGATTTATAAATTATGGGCAACCTCGACCATATCCTCATGATTACTTTCTACTGCCTCATTATGCAAGGAATAGTTTAAAATTCTATGAGCCAGTGTTTTATCAGTGTTACTTTCTGACTGTTCTGCTGGTTTTAATGTTTCACTTTTTTCTTCTTTGCTACTTATCTGTCATATTAAGCTTGTACTGTTCTCATTAATTTCCTAATCATTAATCTTACAATTTCCTTAAGATACAAGCTTATTGTTTAGAGTTCTATGAGTTAATGATTTATTGTTATTAATTTCTGATTCTTCTGGTTTTACGGTGTCATCTAGAACTTCTTGATTGCTTATCATACTTCCTACATTAGAAATTGAATGATTATCCTTTTGAATACCTGGTTGAGATAAATCTGAGTTAACTATGTATATTTCTGATAAAGAAGCCACGAAATCTGCGTTGGTTTAATACAATGAAAGATTTGAAATTATTGATGGAGTGCTAATTTAGAATAAATTTACCAATTGAAATGTTGCATATAATCATGAAAAAACACCAAACTTAACTAACATTGTAAATGTATATTACGGAATACGAATATTTAAATTCGTTCAACAACAACCCCTTACTGACGTTTACCAAAAACTTCGTAAAAATATTTACGCCAATACCCAGTAAACGCAACTTACCAAAATAAAATATAAATATTTTTTTGTACAGACCTAAAGTAGGGTTTTTGACGTCATATTTTTTATTCAAAATTGCCAACAATAAAATTGTATATCATTATATCTTTGTAAATATTGTTAGGAAAAATCTGAAAAAAATTGCCAAGGTGTAAGGTGTCCACAGATGCCAAATACGACATAACAGCATAAACCCCATAATAGCACATTACCGAGTTATTGTTTGGGGGAGTCAATATATAGTATCTTTAATTAATATCCCTTACTTTAGAAAATTTATAATGAACAGTTTATCTTTTTATTAATAATGTAATTATTTGTAGTATTTTACAAACCGAGCTTCCAACCAGGCTTCAGAACAAGAGACTTCTATAGCTCTCACAGTGTTAGCCACATGCTTTAATGCATGCAAAGGGTTAAAGCATATTTTAGCACAAGTCTTATATTGCAATGTCAATATATTTTTAGGGAACACCATATCTGGGAAATGGGGTATTTGAAGTTCCTTGGAGTATCTAAAAAAAATTAAATATTAATTCATTATAATTTTAATCAATAAGTGTAATTTTATATAAAGTTGTCAAGTTAAAAACTTACATACAAAATTGGCAGAACTGATCATCATCTCTCTCACAAACAACTTTCGTGGAACATACACTTGGCAAAATGCAACTGACATCATATGATATATGCCAAGGACCAAATTGAATAGATTGTGAATTAGTAGTATACCGTCGGGCATCGACATTATTTTCCTGAAAAATTAAATAGAGCAGAAAAGTGAAATAGAGTTCGGAGATTTTGAGTTCAATATTTTTATTTATTATAAATTCTCCACCTCCATCAGCATTGTTTGGGAATTCACAAGTTACTATAAATTTAGAAATAAGTTGAGAAAAGTGAGTTATCTTTGTTGATTAATTATTATCACAACTCTCAAACGTTTATAAAAATCGCCAGCCGGTGGAACTCAGACTCAGCAGACCAAATAGAATAGCAGAGCAGGACAGACCACTTAACTGTCAAACAAAATATAAGAAAGAGAGGGCAATGGAAAGAGGGAAAGAGAAAGTAGGGAGAGGTCTAAAAATAATCGAGTAATAATAATCTTAGAATAATATACTAAAGGGATAGGTAAGCACCTTTCATTTGATATCATCTACTAGCCGATGAATAGCTGTAAACCATACTTTTATAAATATCAAATCACCCTGCATATATATTTTAACATAATCATATAATCCATAGTATTTTATAGGATCCGTTTTAAATTAAATTAATGCGTAGCTTGGCATATCAATCAAATGATGCAAATTTATAAAATAATAATATTACATTTTTATTTAAAAATTGAAAAACCACAACAGACACTTAAGTGTACTAGACACTTAATGAAATGAGCAAGTATTTTGAAAAAAATAGTTCTCGAAATCAATAGTTCCCGAAACCAATAGTAAAAATAGTTCCCGGTACGTTCTTGATTTCTCCATGAAAACCTTTCCGGTTTTCTTTCATGTTTAAAAGTAAATCAATTTTCAAAACTCAATAAACAATTCATATTTTATTTGTACTTTTTCGTATTTGTATTGATATCTAAGTTTCGAACTTTTCTTTCAGTTTTTTAACATGTTAGTTAAAAGAAACGGAAATTATTGTCTTTGGTCCATTTATTTCCTGCAAAAATCAACTTTGCTAGAGTCGTCATCTAGTGGAAATTCTTTTTTAGTGTCAACGTTTGTTTTTATATTCTTCCTCATTGTATCATTTGCTATTTATTGAATATTTTGTAAATTATATTCACCTGGATTAATCCCTCATCCCTCAACTCATATTTTATTTGTACTTTTTCGTATTTGTATTGATTTGTTTTTTAATATGTGAATTAAAAGGAACAGAAATGACTGCCTTGCAAAAATCTACTTTTGCTAGATTCGCCATCTAGTGGAGGTGCTTTTTAGTGCTTTCGTTTTTTTTTTTTAAATACTCCCTCATTGGTCTACTTAACTATGAATTTCAATATGGCTGACTTTTACCGGTCGGTTTGACTGTTTTGATGTAAAATTGATTTTATATTTAAAAAAATCATAAAATCTAAAACATACAGTTTTTGCTTACTAAACCGTTAATATATTAATTATGGAAGCACTTATTCCAGTTATTAATAAGTTACAAGATGTTTTTAACACGGTAGGAGCGGATGCCATACAATTACCTCAAATCATAGTACTAGGAACTCAGGTAAATACTTATAAGATTTATTTTTATTAATTAAGCTTGTAATATTGTTTTTAATGAGGTATGTAGCGGAGGCCGTTTTGTTTCTGTGTCCCAAAATGGTTATGTAAAACTATGTCACAAAAGGTCTTTGTCCTCAATCCAATAAATTGCACTACCTGTCATCATTGACCATGCCCCCATTAATGTTTTTGTATAAGATCATTGTTTGCATAAATGCACTTGAACTTCGCTTTACCTGCATTAGCGATAAATTTCATAAAAATTATTGTAGTGAAAATCAAATTTTAGACTACAAAACTGCTATATAGAGGTTTATTGAATTAATTCCTTTTAAATTATATTCACAACCTCATATTTTTTTCAGAGTTCTGGCAAGAGTTCAGTAATCGAAAGCCTTGTTGGACGATCATTTCTACCTCGGGGTCCAGGCATTGTCACCAGACGCCCTCTAATCCTACAACTGGTATACAGCCCTAAAGATAGCAAAGAACATCGTTCAGCTGAAGAAGGTTTGATTAATTAGAATATCTGATAAGATTAGTCATTGGTGGCAATTCTGTTGTATCACTCTCTAAAGTAAACTAAAAAAAACTACTTTTTATTTTAAATGTTATTCCATTGTTACATTAGAAAATATTATTCTTGTATACTATATGAATAGTATAGAGTTCACTTCTCTTATTAAATATACAGTTCAGTATAAAACTTAATTAAATCTAATTTGTGCAACAGAATTGATAGCATTGTATTTATACAATAATTTCAAAAAGCAACTGCACATACATCCAATAAATGCTTGAAATATGAATTATTAGTTTATCTCAATTAATTAAATATGTTGTAGTTGCTATATAAAAATAAGATGAAATTTTAGTTCCTAGATTTTCATTTGTTTATATTCATTTCCTTATTTTGTTATTATTTAACTAAACAATATGATAAATACCTAAATTGAAGAATGCAATTGATAGTAAAGCAATAAACATGTTCTAATAGAACTGTTTCTTATTGTATGTTTCCTACAATAGTCAGTCAAGGTAACCTCAACAAGAGTACATTGATCTTACTGTTGTAGAAATTACTTATCATAATTTAAAATGATTTTCAAAAATGTTGTAATATAAAATTGCATATCTTTATTTTCTATCATTTTTGTCATGTTAAATTATATTTGATAACTTTATTTATTGAATGACCAATTGAAATGATGAAATGAATGTCACTCAGTATAATAGATATATATTTATGCAGACTGTTGATTAAGTAAAGGTGAAGAACAATCTCAACTTGTGTTTGAATATAAATCAATTGATACATCCTTAGCTGAGCGGTTCGCACACCAGTTTTGCTATCTCTGATGTCCCAGGCCAAGGTCTGGTTGGGTCAATGGACTTTTCTACATTGTGTCTGGTCATAGGCCCTACATTGGTTGTCTCAGATATCCATAACACGAATGTTATCAAAATAAAATCCAGCAGTATTCACGTGGATTGAGAATGAAAATCTTGATAGTATAAAATAAAAATAAATTAAGAATGTTGTGGATTTGGATACAAACTCATGTAAATTACCAATATTAAAATAAAACATCCACTTCGTCAGCCCGCGATCGTTGTATTATGCAACTTTCGCAAGGGTCGGTCACGGGATGGGTGACCAAAAAATTAATACTTCGACCTACTTCGTGTTTTGGAAGGAACGTATGGCCAGGGTGGAGGGTCACGGCCCATCCTCCTTAACCATCCATAAGGAAGGCCTGAGCCCCTGCAGTGGGGACGTAAAATGATGTTTAACATATATGCCTTGCGCTCCTCCAAATATCCTTTCAGTCAATCATATCTCAAGTTTTTGTTCAATTTTTATTTAGTTAATGGCATATTTATCTAAATCTTTAAGATATTTTAATTTAATTTTAATTTTTAATCTGATATACCTAGTTATAAGTATTAAACTTTTTATATGTTCTAGGTACTATTAACTTAGAAGAATGGGGCAAATTTCTTCACACAAAAGACAAAATCTATTCAGATTTCGATCAAATAAGACAAGAAATCGAAAGAGAAACAGATCGCATGGCTGGCAGCAACAAGGGTATTTGTCCAGAGCCTATAAACTTGAAAATTTACTCAACCAGAGTAGTCAACCTGACACTTGTAGATCTGCCTGGTGTTACTAAGGTAATTACTAATGTTATTGAGATATTTGTAACCAGTTTTATGAAAGTATTAATAATCTTATAGCAACTACATTTATGTGAATTCTTTGGAGGTTTTCCATCATTTTATCCTTTCCATTGACAGAAGTGTCAAAAGCAGTTGCAAACAACCTTTTTTGCTTTTAATTGATCACATTTATCAATTTAAATTTTATAGGATTTGTGAAATAGAAGAACATTTACACACATATGCCATTAGTAACTAATAGATCTTATCCTAGATGGGATCATAGTGTATTTTTGACACTCTTAAATGGTTCCTTAAGCCTTCCCTAGCAGATCAAATCCCCAAGATCACTCAAACGAAGTTAGAAGTACAAGAGTATGTGAAGTGCAATTTATTACTTTCAGATATTTTCTATTATAAACTGTTTTATCAAATTTAATATTCTTAATCAGACAGCACTAATCAATTTTACTTTATCAATAATCAAATGCCTATTTGACATAGCATTATTAGTACATAGTTGTTAATTTATTTCAGATAATTATTGTATAATAATTGTGTCACAGTCATATTATTAGCAGGCTAAATGATGAATGAACTTATTCAATTCAGTTGCAGAAAAGGTTTAAAACTGCTATAAAAGATTAATTTCTGCACAAACATATTTTTTCCCCTATTCCACATATTCCTACTGACAAATCGCCACTCATAGGGATACTAGGTTTTTTTTCCAATTATATCTACTGGTAGGGATATATGGAATCTGTTACTCCACATATCTCCACCGATTTGAACAGTTTTACTTATTTTAATTAATTTATTAAACAGATTCCCATAGGTGATCAACCAGAAGATATTGAAAGCCAAATTAGGAACCTTATAATCAAGTATATAGCTAATCCAAATTCTATTATCTTGGCTGTGACTGCTGCCAACACAGATATGGCTACTAGTGAAGCAATTAAAATGGCCAAAGAAGTAGATCCTGATGGCAGGAGGACATTAGCAGTTGTAACTAAACTTGATCTCATGGATGCTGGTAATTATATTTTAGATATTAATTTGGATTGGGATGACAGGTTTTATAAATTCTCATATGTATAGGGATAATATTAATTATTGTTAATAGAGTTGTTTATAATGTGTGTGTTATTCTACATAAATGAAATGACTTTGACTTCTAATAGAAATGGTCATTTTATTTGTTTTCATAACATAATTATTCTACCATTTTCATTGATCTTGTTTATTGTCGGCCTTTTCTCTCTAATCAAGCCATTGATGGATTAATATTTCTATCATGGGTTTCCAAACTATTTTTTTCCGAAGCCAACACCTTGGCACATAACCAAATTTCTTTAAAAATATCACTAGTTTTTAGGATTCTGTATCCAAAGGGTAAAACGGGAAACCTATTACGACAGATTCACATAAACTATACAGATGCCTCATCCTATAGAACAAAATGTGTCTCGGGCTATTCTTCTTGCTATTTGCAAACAAAACTCGGGCTATTCTTCTTGCTATTTTGTCTTACTTGAGTCGGCGCTAGATATCGCAAGTGAACAAGCAACACTTAGAATTGAACTTGACTGTTCTATGGATTTTCACATAAACGTCAATAAATGGCATTGATTCATAGCACACCATAAAAGAACGTTAATATAAATTGAATTTAGTTTTATTGTCTTTTATTTTTGTTTCAAGTTGTCAATTAAACACTAAGTTTTTTTTTTTTTGTTAAATTAATAATAAAAACGTTGCCATTTACAACGCCATCTTTGTATAGACATTTACGGTGCTTTTAATAAACAAGATTTAGCGTCAGTAAATTAACGCCAATTGAGATTTTAGAATTAGTCAAAAATTAATATTATAAAGAGTATAAGCAAACCTATTTAAGGAGTAAATACTACTCCTATAGAACCTCGTTCTAGGTTAACCTTTACTAAATCTCTGTTTAATAATATGAATTTTGACTAATACTAAGTGCAGTCTCAACGTATATTTACCCCAACACTAAACCTTATTTATTAATAACACTGTTAATATTTAAGGCATACTTTTACTCTAAAATTGTAATGACTTGTAATTTTACGAAAACTAGATTAAATAATCCTTTATTTATTTTTCCAAGCTTAAGAAGTTTTTCCCTTTAAGAAATTATATATTCTGGATAACGACTTAAAGGGTCGATATCAATGTTTTTGGGAGTCCCTGGTCTATGCTAACGTCTGTTTTCGTTGGAAGTAGGCTCAGTGTCGTAGGTCATCGATGACTTTTAGTTATCATTATACTTATACACATCATTCTTAACTTAAAAAGTTGCAAGCTATTATATTGACTCAACCATTTTATGGTATCATTATAATAAAGATGATGATATACATACATAAGAGGATGTGGTCTACAGTATCATTTCACTACATTAGAATATCATATGTATGTGGTTTTTGTTATTGATGTTCAAACAACCACAAATAATTACAACTTATTATAAGCAATTATGATACTTTTACAGAAAAAAATATATTAAAATAGTAAAAATACACAATGAAAAGTTTGTTTGTTAACATACTGCTTAACAATGGTAGTGATACTGTTACACAAACTAGACTAAATTTGCTTTAAAACTTATTAAAAAGCGTTTACATTATAGTATACAGGAGGAGTAAATGCATTTGTTTTAGGTACTGACGCAATCGACATATTGTGTGGAAGAGTGATTCCTGTTAAACTTGGCATCATCGGCGTCGTCAATAGATCTCAACAGGATATTATAGATAAGAAATCTATTTCGGTGAGTCTTAATATACATATGTATAAATAGTAGTAAAGAAATGCTTAATCAAATATGCAAAATAAGATTACAGCTCTGCCCATTAAATAACCATAGCGACGTCGACAGCGTTGCAGAAACTTTATTATGATGGCTCCCCCCTCCACATAATCTTATACATCTAACTATTTTGTAGCCTTGGATTAGATAGATAGATAATTTATATTTTTGCTACATTCTTTAATTTATCAACTATTGACACATTAGAACAAGTGAGTGCATCACACCCAGCTGTACACAATGGTCCATACTTTAATTATTTACTTAATAGAGTGGTTATTATAATTTTTTATTTCTTAGGATGCATTGAAAGATGAAGCAACTTATCTCCAAAGGAAATATCCAACGATAGCCACAAGAAATGGTACTCCTTACTTAGCGAAAACGCTGAACAGGCTTTTGATGCATCATATCCGTGATTGTTTGCCTGAACTAAAGGTGAAGATTGTTTTGTAATATATATTTTATAGCATGTTATATTTTATACTGATTCAATTTACATATTAAATTTGATATGATTGTGTTGATGTATGTTTACAAACTTGTTATTTGTTGTGTATGAAATACTTACTGTTATTTATTCTATAGGTACGCGTCAACGTTATGATCTCACAGTTCCAATCTCTATTGAATTCTTATGGCGAAGATGTATCTGACAAGTCGCAGACGCTTCTACAAATTATCACTAAATTTGCTAGCGCCTACTGTTCCACGATTGAGGGAACTGCAAGGAATATAGAGACTACTGAGCTATGTGGTGGCGCGAGAATTTGTTACATCTTCCACGAAACTTTTGGTAGAACACTCGACTCTATTCATCCTTTAGTAGGTATGCATAATCTGGTTTTCAGTTTACTCTATTTCGAAATATGTATTTAAAATACAGTTTCTACTTTAATGTACTTGGAACATTTGTGGTTATTTGTTTTTTTTTTTTGTATATATTTTTAACCAAATTGCCAAAAAGCTTAAAACAACATGAATTTGAATCTGTTGTGTATTTTGCTACTTTCTACGTAGACGTTCTTGCATTGTTAATAACATTAATAGTTCATTTTCATCCCTATACATAGACTTCGTCCTCACATTCGCTTTGACAAAAAGTATTGCATTTGAATATTTTGAATTCACGGCATTTTTTTATTTTTCATTTTTTAATAGTTATTTTTAGAGGTGCGCCGAATTTTCGTTTGGTATTCTGTATTCTGTGTTCGGCCTATTCGGCATCTTTTTAACTATTTGCATTTGGCCAAATTATTCGATTTTGTTACCGAATATATTCGGTTCTAGTATTTCTTATTTCTTGGCTACATGACATGGTATAGAACTGAAAAACAAAACTACTTTTGTTTATGTATATTAATATTAATGTATATTATATAATAGACATTATAATAGAGACACATATAAAAATATATTAGAGATCAGAAATGAAACAAAAGATAAGCAAACATAAAACATACATATTCGAATAATTTTATAATTAACTTACCGGTACAAACACCAAGTTATCGGCTCTCTCCGGCAAAAGTCTTTTACGTTTTTTTCATATATGTTACCTGCTTCCGAAATAATTCGCTATACACACGCTTTACTACCAGGAACACTGAGAAAACTTAAACCGAATACTCTTCGGTTATATTAACTTTTCATTATAAAATATATTTAACGCTTTTGAATCACGTGAAACTATTCAATTTAATAGATCCACAAATTTTAGGATTTTAAATTTCTTATGCTATGTAAAGTAATGAAAATTATACTCTATGGTACATTTTGATATCAATGTTTCCATTTGAGAATTGACTCTAATGAAATACCACCATGAGGTTTATTTATTTTATTACGTCATACAAAAATGTCTAAATAAAAAAGTTTTTATTTTAGGTTTAACTCGCATGGATATATTGACCGCTATACGGAACGCAACCGGCCCTCGCCCCGCCCTGTTCGTGCCCGAGGTCTCTTTCGAGCTACTAGTCAAAAGGCAAATAAGAAGACTAGAGGATCCATCATTGAGATGCGTAGAATTGGTGTGTACTGACAGAAGTATAATGTAGACAATCTTGTATTAAGTTATTGTTTATAATGAAGTTTTTCTCATCAATTAATAATGTGAATAATTTTTCTACTTTTAAATAGATATATTGATGAGTGAGCATCTGTACATTTTGTATTGATGTAAGTTCAATGCTGTAAACATAATTTTCATATAATTACTACTTCATATAATTACATTATAAATAATTTGTTATATATTAGACGACCGCTGTAGCCGAATGGTTCGCCATCTCTTAGGTCCCGGGTTTGATTCCCGGTCGAGTCAATGTAGAAAATGCACTTTTCTTTATTATCTCGGGTCTGGGTGTTGTGGTACCTTCGTTGTCTCAGATGCTCAATAATAAGAAGGCTTTAGCTACTCATCTTGGAATCTGAGCAATGTATGTTTTTTTTAATATTTCGTTATTTATTAGCGAATAACACATATTTATCGAATATTAATATTCATATACGACGTACGAGCTACTCGATCATGGATATCGTAAAGTATAAGAAACGTATTTATTCAAAATTGAACGTAACGATAATTATGGTTTGGTACCAAGTATGTTTGTAGTACAAACATACTAGATAGAAACATAGTAGATGTACAAACTTTGTACATCTACTGAACATAAGTTTGTTCTATAATTCTTGTGACATATCACTTTGAGATGTCAGTCATCATCAAATATAGGTTAGAGTTGGTGCAGTATGGGTGTAGAATTGTATTTTTTTTTTCTGGTATTGTTTCTTATAATTTAAATTGTAGATTTTTATCTAATTAAATGTTAATAAAATCTGAACATATTATAAAATGTAACAACTTTTGTGCTATTACCGATAATCAAATTTTTATGCTTATTATATATTTATAATATATCCTAAATTATTATGAACAAACTAATATTTTATGCTCGTTTTCACGACGTGACCGCAAATAGCGCTTGACGTCAGGCCCCTCTTACTCGTATCAGACCTTAGAGGATTTATCTTTATGCATAAAGAACGATATCAGTTTTAGAGGGGCGTGACGTTATAGCGACGCCACGACAGTAGCTGGCGCTTTTGCGCGAAATTTTGAAAAATAAATTTATTTTAAGATTGAGTATTTATATGAATGATACTTTTTTCTATGGTTTTAAGATATATTTTTAAAATACAAATATAAATAAAAAGTTGTCCCCATACATTATTACCTCGTTGAATTATTTGTATATGTTATGAGTATTACTCGTTACATAATTTTTGTCTGCATAGGTGCATGAAGAGATGCAGCGTATAGTGCAACACTGCGGTACTGAGGTGCAACAAGAGATGTTGCGGTTTCCACGCCTCCACCAACGTATCGTAGACGTGGTTACACAACTGTTACGCACGCGTCTACCAGCCACTAACTCTATGGTAATGACACAAATACCGTATCAAGATTAATCTCTAATTGACCATTTAAAGACCAGTCCAGTAAGCCAGGCCAGTATTGGCTTTGTGTAAATCCTCAAGTCAGTTGAATAATAAATAATAAATAAATAATAATATATTTAACAACATCACATACATTGCTCAGATTCCAAGATGAGTAGCTAAAGCCCCCGTATTATGGAGTATCTGAGACAACGAAGGTACCACAACACCCAGACCCGAGTCAATATAGAAAAGTTCATTTTCTACATTGACCCGACCGGGAATCGAACCCGGGACCTCAGAGATGGCGACACCTTGAAATTTTCAATTTTACTGTATTATCTTTGTTATACTGTAAATGGTCCACAATATCAGCCAATTTTTGTGACCTTTGTTTACCTAGAGTAAATGCGACGCAGACAATTTACGTGTAATTAATATTATTATTGAATTGACGAGAACTTCTCTCCAAGGCCCTCTTGTTATATACTTGCCGCTTACGTGTGATTCTCTGCTTATCTTCTTAAATTAATATATTTTGTTATTTTAAAGAAACAGATTATTCATGCCAATATAATTAATAACACCGAATATCAATAAATGTTTATTTTAATTTCCTTTCTTTTATCATCATCAGCCCTTTTACGTCCCCACTGCAGGGGCTCAGGCCTTCCTTTTGGATGATTAAGGAGGATGGGCCATGACCCTCCATTCTGGCCCAATGCGGATTGGAGGGTATTAACGACTGCAAATGCAGCCGGGACTAACGGCTTAACGTGCCTTCCGAAGCACGGAATACCTCGAGATAATAATTTTTTGGTCACCCATCCCGTGACTGACCCTTGCGAAAGATGCTTAACGACAACGATCGCTGGCCGCGGAGCTTATATACTACGCCATCAAACTACTATATGTACTTACTTTTATAAAGGTGGAGAATCTAGTCGCGATCGAGCTCGCTTACATAAACACAAAACATCCCGATTTCCACCGCGAGGCGGCGCTAGTGTCTGGATTGTTGAAGAGCACCGATGGATTAGAAGAGAACAGCCCCATCTTCCGACAGAAAACACCCCGGGCCACACCCTCGCCGGTATCCACAATGTTCAAAGTATATATAAGCTTGTTTTTTATTAGCCCGTTGCATGTTGGGAACTAACTCACTAACTGGCTAAGGTAAGCTCACTGTGGAATGTGGACTGTGAAATTAAGGTATAACAAATATTGTGAAATCGTTTGCACAAGACACGTCTAAAATATGGAGCAATCATTACTGTTGATATATTTTCTCAGCCGATATCATTCTGTCTCTATCTTCATGCTGAATCCCTTGCGAGTTAAGCGGTGTATAAACTGCCAACTCGATTTGTATCATAAACTATTGATGTTTTAAAGTTATTGTATATTTTCACCGGTTACATTGGTAGAGAATGCATTTTCTGTATTTAGTCCACCATTTGCTATTTTATAAGGAAAAAAGATTTAACAAATAAAATAAAACTGTAATTATCAGTAAATGAAGTATAAAATTTTCGTCATTCATCACATACTGTGACTACTATCTAAAACCAAAAATTAATTAGTGTCATGTTCCTTCATTTTTCATCTTCTTCAAACAACTCACTACTATTCTTCAAAGATCATTTAATTATTCATTTTTTATATAATCTTTTCAAATAAAGATCGCTTTAGCAAATCTTATACCAATTACAATTTCTGCATTAACTATCGGAGTAAACATCGTCGAATTAGTTAAATATTCGTGTTCTTTGTAGCTTTTTCTACGTGAAATGGGTGAAAGAGGGTCCATACTCGTATACTTTGGACATGTATGGCAAGCATACAACCAGGTAACACGTCGTAGTGTAGCGAAACTGTGTTGACTAACGCTGTATTTGTTCTCACGTTAGATAAACATAAAACATATAATATTGTAGCTTATGTTTATGTAAAAAAGGCTCTCTTTCACTCGTGCTAATAATGTGTCATTAGATGATTTTCTAATTTTGTTGTAGTGTATGTGCAGTGCATGTGATGGCTAAATTTGAACACTATTGTTCTGTGCTTAATGTGATTGTGCTATTCGTTTTACAGCATGTAGCGGCGATTACTGATGGCTCTGAGAATAAATCACCACCTCAAAACGCTTCCATGGACTCTCCTGCTACGCCACAGGTATGATTAGAATTGTATGTTTGTCATAATAGTTTCGGTAGTAAAAATAAGTAAAAAATTTACACTGTTATAAACATTATATTCTGATTTAGAGTCATAAAATCGCATCATTATCTTATTATCTACGACCCGATATGGTGTGACGACGCTTTGGCAACATCGGTCAGATTAGTTAGATGTCATATTTATTATAAATCAAATCCCTAGATGGCGCTATTCTTACCTTATTTATATCTTCTATATTTTTTAGTTAGACCTTTACATGGCACTGTTCTTGTCAGATTGACATCTTTTAATCTACAAAATAATTTGTGTCTGTTTTTTATACATATCGAAATCAGTAATGAATATGGTGGATAGCATTTTCGTGGGAATAAATTGCAATTTTGATTTTATTTTCAGGCAAGAACACTTGTTTATTTTTCCGACATAATTTTATGACTTATTTTTTAAATTAAAATAAACACAAGTACTATTTCAATACCCTATTTATTTATTTTTGACAATCGAGTTTTTAGTGAAATTTCTTAAAAAAATTATCCAATCCGAATTGGGATTTCATTTTTTATTAAAGTTGTTTATCAGTTAGTATTGTGAATATAATAGTTATATTTTTTTCTTAATATAATATATCACGGAAAAAGATAAAGAAGAGGCAAGGTCATGAACAGGACCTGGATTTACGTATATTTAGTTACTTGAATAACATTCTAGATGAACGGCACACCAGACAGTAAAGTGATGACTCCGCAGAAGCCAGTCAACCTTCTGCCGGAGGTGCCCAGTCAAACTTCGCGCAAGTTATCCGACCGAGAACAGCACGACTGTGACGTCATTGGTAAGTCTAAATGTCGCCATTGTATTAACGTGTTTGTAAAAAGTTTCAATCATATTCATATACTTACTTACCACATTTAAACCGCTCAAAAGCCGCCTGGCATTATCTCGTATTTTTATTACTGCTACAGGTAACCGTGAGTTACGAACTATTATAATAATAATAATAGTTTATTTTGCAAAAATGTGGTACAGTAAAGTTTTTATATAAGTTTTCTAATCGGCATATTCTCCCAGTTATGGGCATACAAATATATTAATATTTATTTCAAACCCACTAGATCAATTAAATTATTATACATTCAAATTAGAACTAGCAGTATATAATCAAATAACAGATAGCTAAGTAAATTATGTCAATTTTAATTTGATAAACAAAATAATAATTCAAATTAGTAACAACAATAATCAAGTTATATGCATATTATGATCGTGAAGTTTGTCCAAATAACAACCGTGTGATGTCATTTGTAAAGAGACAGTACATATAGCACAAAAGGCAACAGATAAACAAATTAATTATTAAAATATATAATGATCCCGAAATATTAGGGTAATAATATTTGATTAATCCTTAATTTGTTATTCTTTGCAAAATAATTTTCGAAAAAGGCTTATTATTATGCTAATATTGAGATAAAAGATATATAATTTGTAATAACGCTAAAACCAGAGATGACGATTAACTAAAACATTATCAAAAGTTGCGTTGAAATGAGAGATTTGTTTTTTTTAAATAATTAGTGGTCATCCTTTAAGATAATAGCTAATGATATAATGTTTAATTTTTGCAGATTACCCAAAATAAAACCAAATATTTTTTTACATTTTATTTGTGACGTAAATGCCTCGTATGTAGTTGCAACTCCTATGTCGTCACACGCTAGTAAATACGGCTTCCTGTTGACTATTTTAGTTTGATGGGTTTTGTTTATTTACTTGCTCGTGACGTCATACGTGGCGTAATGGCGGAATTTAAACTTTAACTTTGATTTTTATTGTTATACAGTTTAGTAAACTATTTTTCATAATTAGTTACTTTGTAAAGTTATTATTACGAGTAATTTGACGTTTTTCATTTATATTATTTTGATTGTTTATTATGAATTTTGTAATAAATACATTGAATGACTATATCAAAGTCGATGTATCTAATTCCTAGCGATAATAATGTTGATGAGAGTATTTTGTGATATAATCAAGGTTGCTATGATACCCTCATTATTCCTAAATGCCATAATGCTAGTGTTGCAGATCTATTTGAGGTATTAATCCAATGATTACCGAAATCCAAAACTTTTTCATATATTCGTAAACATGTATCCACATATACCATTAAATTTTTTTTCTGTAAATTCAATGTTTATGTGTTCATAAATAAGTTAGATTATCATTCGCGTGTTACAAAAATGTTGAGAATTGTCTGTTATGATGCTAGGTGGACGGAGCGACCGACCGACGTTATATAACGTTAACAGAAAAACCATTGAAGGCATCTCGATGATGCACTTGAACGGAATGGGTGATTTAGTCGGTGAGGAACATAGAGGCGATGATGTCACGCGACGCTTATGATCATTTGCTAACATTCCGACCACCTATCATTGTTGAACCTATTCGCTTGATGCCAGGGCTTTTCTTGCAAATGTAGCACTCGCTTCTTTACTCGCAATCACGGATAAGATTTCACAAATGCGAGGTAAATAAAATTGTTATACATATGAATATTCTTAATGAAAAATGTTTAAAAATCCACTTGCCCCAAGGTACTCTGAGATGAAACTTGAACCCATGACCTTTCACAATCTGGCGTGCTTGAAAAGTTCGTCAGTCCTGTTAGGTACTGGGTAGCTCAGTAGTTAGTGCAGCCGCCCGGATTGCGAAAGGTCGTGGGTTCGTGTCCCATCTCAGAGTACCTGGGACAAGTGGATTTTTTAAGCAGTTTTCATTAAGACTATTTGCAGTATAGCATTGTAAATGCAAGATTGATCAAATATAATAATAGGGGTGTAGATATATATTTTTAATAGATATAAATGAAAAAAATCCAAAAATATTTATACAAGTTAAAATCTAAAAATAAATTTAATTTACTAGATTTTCCGCGAAAACGCCACTTCTCTCATGGCGTCGTTATAACGTCACGGCAGTTTGAAAAGAATATCGTTCTATATATGCATAAGGTTGAATTCTCTTAAGTTCCGATATGAGTAAGAGGAGCGTGACGCGCTGTTTGCGGTCACGTGACAACGAGCATAAAAAAATTGTTTTTTCATAATTAGTTTAAGCAATATTATAATAGAAGCATAAAAGTGTGATTATCGTATATCAGACACTACCAGAAAAAGAAAAATATTTCTTTTCGTTTACTGTACACCCGTATTGTTATACAAATTACATATTAATAAATTGAAAACTTTTAAATTGTTACATAACACGCTTATAATGGTGATTGGATTTTTAAGACAAATTTATCATTATGCAAGAGAAGTTCTTTGGATGTGATTATTTATTGCGCATAATTTTAATGTTTTCTTTCGACATTACAACACTCATTTGCTTACAGGTATTGTTAGTTTCTTGGTATTAAAAGTTATCTTAAAAAAAAATCTATTGTTATTTAAAATAAAATATACTATATGCCTTACAAATTCGCTACTACTAGATGAGGATTTTTAACTTTTATTAAAATTGTTTTATGATCAATATTTTTTTTCATCCAAGAAACTCGTGATGCTTTATCATAGCACATTGTAACTAACCTTAGAAAGTTATAATAATACGAGTCGAATATGTATTTTGTATAATTGTAGTATTTTCCATCAACCTGAAAAAAATGCGTTAATGGACAACTATGGATTCTGTGTTTAATTTAAATACAACTCAACGTGAAATCATAACAATTTAATTTATCATCCAAAAACTAGGGAAAATCAAGTTTAAAACATTTTTAGAAGATAGTAGTGAGGGAATTATACGAAATAACTTACCTCAATATTTTATTAATTATTAAAAATCAATAAGAAATTCTATTAACAAATTCGTGTCGAAATAATTTAAATTGTTGTTTGCATTATAACTGGTAATGTTTTCTCTCTACTTCAGACAATTAATCAGCATTTCTTTTTCCATTTTGATCTCTTATAGCACATGTTCAAATACACTTAATGAGAACCATATTATTGCTAAAACTGAATTTGTTCATCGAAACAGCTGTTTATTTGCACTCTAGCGAAAAATATATTTTACGTATCCACAAACAAATATGTTTAAAAATTGTCATGAATTGTTCAAATGATATAATTATGAATTTTTAATTCTAATAGAACGGCTGATCAAATCTTACTTCTACATCGTGCGGAAATCGATCCAAGACTCCGTGCCAAAAGCGGTGATGCACTTCCTCGTCAATTACGTAAAGGACAACTTGCAATCTGAACTGGTGACGCACCTGTACAAGTCTGATCAGGCCGAGAGTTTGCTCAATGAGTCGGAGCACATCGCTCAGCGGAGGAAGGAGGCCGCTGATATGTTGAAGGTTCGATAGCATTTACTCTTTGTACTCTGATAAAGGAATGTCCCTCATATTCCTTTATCAGAATACAAAGAGTAAATGTTCAATATTTAATAACTATGTACATAATGTTATATACACTGTCTTTTTCAATATCAAATTGTTAGAAGTGATATACAATAGCTAGGAATGGTTGGCGCGTTCGGATTGCGATGATAAAATTAAGCAACTTTTGCTATCCTTTAACCAACCCCGTTAAAGGATGGGTAACCGAAATATTATCCTGAACTTTGGAAGGTATAGGAGTTGGTCCCAGTAACACCAGCAGTCTTTAATTCCCACCAATACGCGATGGCCCGCGTGGTGGGTGGGTCATTAAGTTCTCCTTATTCATAGGGAAAAATGTATCCAAAAAGTAAAGACATTAAAAGACTGGTGATAAACATTAACTGTATTTTGATGCATTATAAAGAATAATAAAAACAAAGCTCTATTTTGTAATTGAAAATTATTATTATTTTTTTTTTTTTGTTTTCTTTACAGGCATTACAACGCGCCGGACAAATAATAAGCGAAATTCGAGAGACGCATATGTGGTGATTTCTTCCCGAGCGTAGAGACTCTAGTCTGTGAATTAGTGAATTCGAGCCTCAAGCTCTGTACATACCTTAACATAGGCAAATTATATGCATTAGGCTTATATACTTATGGAACTTTAAACATTTAAACGTTTGCGTTTTCTAGCATTATTTTCTGTAGCTCTCTTGTAAGTATTAAGCGGTCAGACGATATCTGATTGCGTCAGATTCGTGAATTGAGTTTAAAAATTTTTTTTAGAACAAACTTCCTTTTGGAACCAAAAATGTTGCAGAAAGTGAATGCTTGTTAGTGTTTAAATCGACTGTTTTTAATGATGCACTGTATGCTTGAGTCAAATATTTTAAAGAGAAGGAAATACGGGTGTTATACTCCATCATAGTATCACCACGCTAAATATTATGTGAGTAATTGATGTCTTTAGTTAAAGAAACTTAGTTGTTCGCTTTGTGTTGGCCAACGACGACCGTAAATAAATGACGTTGCCACATCAAATGGTCATAATCATCGTAGCGCTCAAGATGATCAATAGTATATGAAGTACAGAAGTTCCTTATATCTAGGCAAATAAAGTTGCATATTGATCGAATCAGACAGAGATCAAAATATTTTAACACCTTTTATACAATTTTAGCTAGTAACAAACAACTCGATTCTATAAAACACTATTACACTCGAACCAAAACGGTTCGAAATAAGCTCTTAGTGGATAAATTTAGAAAAATCCCAATATGTTTTTTCACTTTTGTGTACTTTGTTTTTCGATACGTTTTATTTTTTTTTTTAAATGAGGAGGTATTTTAAAGAAAACATTAGTTCCCGAAATCGAGTACGTATATCGCTACGGTACTTTCTTGATTTCTCCATGGCAACCCTTCCGGTTTTCTTTCATGTATAAAAGTAAATTAATTTTCAAAACTCAATAAACAACTCATATTTTATTTGTAATTTTCGTATTTGCATTGATATCTAAGTTTATGATATCGAACTTTGCGAATTTCAGATTTTTAATATGTTAGTTAAAATAAACGGATACGACTATCTTTGGTCCATTCGTTTCTTGCAAAAATCAATTTTTGCTAGAGTCGCCATCTGGTGAGGTATTTTTAGTGCTCTTTTTTTTTCTTAAAATACTTCCTCATTATGATGTTTTTTTTTTGTGTGAAGATTAATCTCGATGTGCGTATTTACACGTTGAGTTCGTATAAATTGAAGGGACGACTCTTCTCCACCGCAATCATGTACTTCGGTGGAAGGAGGAGTCCTGCAATGTGATAGCATTAAACGTAGAGTGTTAAGAAGTATATAAAAGTATGCAAACGAAAACAAATGGGAAAATCAATATTCAACTTTGGTTGCCTAACGAATGGCGCCACTATCAAAAGATGAGGAGTAGTGAAGTGGATTGTCAACTCGAAGCAAACGACAAGTACAGTAAGAACCAACCAATGTGGCGTGCGATTACTCTTCGTTCGAGTAGAACACTTACTAATTACGACGATGATTGAACGTACGTTTAAAAATACAGTGAGTCTTGTTTCTATAAGCATAAGGTGTAAAATATAACTCAATATAACATGCCCGTCTCACTCACACTTAGAGGGGGGTCAAGGGTGTGGATATAATATAATAATAAAGCGTTGTATATATTGGTCGATCGTCCAATGACGTGGTACTTGAATCATTCTGATTGGTCGACATTTGCCAAACTTCGAAATTTAGCCTTTTGCGCAGGTTCAGTGAGCCACATCAGTTGTATCTTGCTGTACGTGTGTTCATATTGGTAGTACTTTAATGAGAGTAAAACACGCCAGCCATTTTAGCCAATATTCATAAGTAAGCATTTTAATAGTCTACTTACTAGGCAAGGTGATTTTTCTGGTCTATAATAATATGATACCAGTCGTTAGATATTGAGTTGTCATAGATAATTGTTTATATTAACATAAATAATGGTTTATTGCACAAATTTGACACTGTTGGACTTTGTTACCATGTTCACCGTCGTTGTAAGTTAGAATAAATATGAACTGTACTCGATTTTATAGTAGTTTTATCCAGTGATATTAATTGTAACCTCACTGTAACGATATTAGAGTTCTTCACGTAATGTGTATAATTTTATTTAGCTTCATCTGGGCGAGTTTTATTTTGATTTCAAGCTTCTTTGCAAACAGGGTTGGTTATATAGATAGTGTGTGTGTCCTTATGGGAATGAATGGTACTTATTAGACCACGCATGTTGTTTTATTTGATTGAGTTCCTTAATTTTTTATTTTCAACATACTGTATTATAAACTACAGTCGTCATTTTTGAAACTACGATTTATAAAATATAGACAATGTAGTAAATAAAATATAGTATGTCAATGTTGCAAATATATTTATTGTTAGTCCAAGGTGTGATTTGCTTTATGTATCGATAAAACCAATTGAATGTTACGTTAGGTAAGATTGTATTTAAAAGTCTTGTTGATAACTAAAACATATTGTCATTTTAAATTTGTTTCATTTTTTAATGATTCCTCGACAGGTGATAATACAATAATAATACACAATGTTCCGATTGCCCTTTTCCGCCCATTTCTTCTTATATTATAATGTGCTACTCCACCAGCAAGTCGGTAATAACACAACAATAGTTTTGGCAAATTTATTTAATGTTGCTTTGTATGCCAATGAAGTAACTAGCTATTAAGAGCAATTTCAACGTCACTGTTCATATGAAATAAAGGAAAAAGTAATACAAGTTTATGGCATGGTTACTTTTCGTCAATCTTAATTCTGCTAACTACGAGTACCTGTAGGTGACCATGAAACGATATAAATAAATATAAACCAAAATAAGTCTTCAGGCGTCAAAACAGGATTAACTATAAACTTTATCTCGTTTTGGGTAACTTCTAGGGATAATAAAAAAGACAAAAAAATTCAATAGTTTAACTTGGATTTATTGCAATGAAAATAATATCGATAGTATTTACACTCAATGTGTTTTTAATTCCAACTTAACAATCATTTAAATCCTGTAATTTATATCATGATAGCACATCCAACCTTTAAAATAGATATTTTATATTGTACAGTTAATTGTTTATTTAGACATCAAGTAAAAGAAAAACTGAAAATGCTTCTCTAGACTAAAAGTCGTAACATCATGGTGAAAATTCACATTTTTCAAGAAACAGAATGATTAACAATGATGACCGATATCGACTTGTTTTTCTAAATCCCTTGATCTTAAGTATCAAATATTGAGAATACCTATTAAACATCTTATAAACACCCAAATATATTATTTGTGATAAAATGCACAAGATTGAGATTCAGTTTGCAGTTAAGACATTAAACATTTATCTGTATTACATACAATAATGTAAATTTGATTCCATTTCTATTAATATCAAATGATTTTGTTTTATGACAATATTTTAGGATAGTTTATGAGTCGCTTATCTCGTCGTGACAAACAAATAACCAAATAATAGTATCCAAATAAATCCGTGGTGCGCGTGAAGAAGTTAATAAGTCGAGTTTAATGTTTTCCTTTTTATTGCATTAATCGCTTGCCTGCATTTACTACGGAAAAATTGACTACTCAAAATGTACAATATACTTGAAGAGGTAACATCTGAATAACATTTGAGTTACTCGTAACAACCAATATTACGAGTAGTTATAATAAAAAAAACAAAGACCAATCGAATTATACTTAATCATTGGTAGTTATTAGTATCCACATTCTTAAAATCTTGGGCAAAAATCGACTACAAGAGAACAGACGAAAGCGAGAACGGTATACCAATTTACAAAAATTTCCAAAAAAAAAAGGTAAAAAATTTATTTGAATTATCATCAATTCGACATAATTAAGCATTCAAATCATATCAATTATAATATAGGTAAAAAAATATGTCCAATTGATGATAAGCATGTAAATAAGTTTTCAAAAATTTTCGTTAATAAAAATAATGATATTATTATTTACCCCACGATATTTATTCCATACTCAGGTAGTGAATAACTTATAACTGTTTAGTGAATAAATAGATAAGTCCATTTAATTTACAAATAAAAGGATTTACCAAGCGAGCTTAAACTTTAAAATAGCTGCATTGTATAAACAGTATTTAGACATATCAACTTCTTCACGCGTACCACGGAAATGATATAACTAGTCTAGCTCACAATCACAACAGACAACAAAATGGCACAACTTCTAACAATAATGCAAAGAATATCTGGGCTTATACAATTATTTGGGCTTATTGCGCACAGCCATTATAAATCTAAAACAACTTAATTTTAATAGGAAGAGAGTAATTACTTATTGGAAGAGTATGGCTGGTATATTATTGACTAACAATTATATTAAAGCAATGAAATCCTTCAGTTACATGCCACATAATTCGTTTTATAATATTTCATCAGCTTCTTCCAGCTTAACTCACAGAAGGTGGCGATGAAGAAACTTGGATGAATACCAGAAAAAGTTCTCTAGTGCGAGGGTTTATTATGACCTTTGGGTATTATGACTAATCATGGACACTTCTTTATAGACTGATAATTACGATATTATAAGCATTAATCTGTTAACATTTGGGTTCAAAATTGATTGTACAAATTTTACCTTATGAATGAATATGATGTTCTGCTGTATGTACTTAGAATTATTTACTTTGAAACAATATCCATAGCATCTCGTGACGATGCATTTGAAGGAATTATTGCCACCTACTTGAAATGTTACTTCTGTTCTTATTCCGACCTAGCTTTAAACTACTCACCTTAATGATAATCACTACGTAAATACAAGCGTTCTTTAAATGTTATTGCTGGCATGATTACTACACATAATAACAACCTAAATGCATGGCATGGCAATACTGTAAATTTACACTTATGGCAAGGAATGAGATTGTCATTCAAAATTCTAAATACCTACTTTTAATAGACTTCAGAAAAAGAGGAGATTTTCAGTTGGTTGGAATATTTTTATTAATTACGAATCGTTCTCAAGAGAAATGATGACACATGTAAAAATATATTTCACCTTATACAAATTAAGCAATTTATTCAAAAACACTGCGTTAAAATCTACACACTTTTATTCAATTTCGTAGTTAAAACCATGTTTTTGTGTTTGAGAGGCTAAAGGGTTTCGGCCATTTATTATTTCAAAATTACATAAAATAAAAATTGGACCAGTACCAAATACATAATACAAAAATACATTAAGTATTATCGACTTCTATCAGAATGGACTTTGAATACAATAATGTTACAATTATATAAAAATATTGTTAAAATTGTGAATTTCCATAATCTAAGATTAATTTGTACTTATTTAAATTATTGAGACTGTTAGTGACTACATTAATTGTGACATTAATTTAGTGAGTATTCGATTCTATTATTATTATATTCAATTATGAATAAGATTTTTATGAGTAAAATGGTATACAATATTTTTAGGAATTCTGTTGCATATTCTAAACTTAATTTCAGTTAATACCTCTAATAATCTGTGAACGTCAAGGTAGCTGGCACACCAATGAGTTTGGGGGTCTTATGTTTGTCAATAAATTGTGAGTAAATAGGAACAATTAGTAATACATAGCATTATAATAAGTGACACTCTAAGTTATAGAGATATTGGAAGATCTTATTGCTTGCTCCCTTAAACAAAAGAATCGCAACAAGTGCCAGAATGGCGGCACACGCAATACTTGTGGATGAAATAGTAATACATAGTTCTGGTTTCTATGCGTTTGCCTATTACTGAAAATCTTGTTAACAAAATTACGTCATCAGTTGTTAATTATGTGTATTACGTGCTATTAGCAAACACCGCTAATATTAGTTGTAGTTCCTTCCGTTCAAGAAATTTACCTTTTATATTATGTAATTATGACTTATTTATATCTATTTTTAAAAATATTATAAAATCTGTTAATTGTACTTAGTCCAAAAAAATTGTTTTACCTAAAAATTAAGATTTGATTTCCATTTACACTTCTTGACTCGATGATAATCACCATATCACTAAAATACATTTGAAACTTATTGCAGCGCAAAAAAATTCATCGCAAGCTTCCATGGATATTTAGTATGAAGAAGTATCTTTTTAGTTTTAAATAATAATAAAGAGGATATCTTTGCGTAAAAAATAAGCATTGTTTGTAATTGTTGCTTTAAGCGCCAAGTTAGTAGGAATTCTATTGAAGTTGGTGAAATGAAAATTCATGGTATAGAAGTCACAAATTTAGTGTCATTTCTTTGACACGTAATTCAAACTAATTAAAATTCTATTTCCAGTGTGCCTGCTACCTAGACGTCTAGTTAGCAGGCACACTAATATCTTCCAATAACTTTTAATTTAAAGAGTCACTAATGATATGCTACGTATCATTAACTGTCACACTATTTGCTCACAATTTATTGACATACATAAGACCCGTAAACACGATGGTGGGCCTGCTACCTTAACGTTCACAATAATCTTTGCAGTAATTGTGTAAATAACAACGATAACTCTCAAATTAAATTTAATAACTTCTAAATACAGAATTTGTGAGAAAAATTAAAAAAACCATGGGGAATGTGTTTTATAAAACACAAACTATATTGCAAATTAACGAATTCAATAAGGTCGACATTGAAATAGTTTCCTGATTTTTAGTTTATATCCTCATGCCCTGAAAAGAAAGAAAGAGATTATAATAATAGAGTAGAAAAGAGTGGAGACCCATGTTCTTTCGATTAATGCTTGATTACCATGAATAACAGACGAGGGGACATTTTTCTTAATCATATCTTGGAATATTTACTCATATTATAAAGAGGTAGTTTCTGACTTTATTTGTTTGTAAGGGGTAATAATCTTCGGAAATACTGATCCGATCATAAAAATCCATTCACCTATAAAGAAGAAAGATTTGATTATTTGTTTGCATCGAATAGACTCCGAACTACTGGAGAATTTTCAAAATTCTTTCACCTACGGGATGCTACATCATAAGCTATATTTTATCCCAAAAAACATCAAATAAAGAAATAAAAATGACTCCCATTTTTTTTTGTACAGGGAAAATTTAAGTAGAAGTTTGTATAATGGTTACTATGGTAACATTTTAACGTAAAAAAGGTAACCGCTATATAAACCATCACGTGATTAATGGACGGCCCCTAAACCCTAAAGACTACGCGGACGAAGCCGATAGCCGAAAGGCCATAATTTACTTGCGGAAAACAACTAGTGACTAATACTAAGAAGTTAGTACTAAAAATATTTTCATTTATTATATCTTGCTAGCTGACCCGACAGACGTTGTCCTGTCTTAATTATGAATATTTAATTCGATAATTGTTTTTCTTCTTCTTCTTTTTTAAAATTGTTTTTATTTTGACGATATTTGCAGCGCGCATTCTGTCAATTCTCTGTCAAACGCTTGAGGTTACATTAAAAAAGTTATAATATCCAAAGCGGTTAGGTTAGGTAAAACTAGAAATAATTTTATATGGTGGTTTAATATATTTCAATTTTCAAATATTCCTCAATATTTTATTATTTAATAAGAAGCGTCTCCTGACATTAACAAACGCGAGAAAAAATCATTAGCAAAATCGGTCCAACTGTGTAATGGGGTGACCCAGGGAAATGGTATTAATTTTTACTCCACTGCAAATGGAGGGTTATGTTTATACGCGCGTATATTGTATGTAAGTAATATTCTTGATAACGTCATATCTTCGAATCGCAGAACGGATTTAGATAATTGAGGTTTAGTTACATTTGTCTCAGTAGCCCAAGTGTTCTTAAGTAGGTAACGTTAGAAAATCAATTGTGCCGACTGTGCGAAGCCATTATATATATTTTGTATTTTAAATACTAGAATAAGGCTATCAAATTAAAGGGCCCAGTACAAGGAATCCAAGAACTAATAGCATTATTATCGTTGCCATAATAGTAATAAAAATAATATCTACAATGATAAAGTTTAAAAATATGGACTTTGGTCTTTCAATTTCCGGACCAACCTGGTAATTTGTCTAACTTAAAAGACATAAATAAAATTATAATTAAAAGAAAAAAAAAAACAAAAACCGCCTGCATGAAAAATAAGAAACTGAAAAGACTGGAGCAAGATAAAAAAATGCAACATCATACATAACCGATGCAGTCGGAGGCATTAAACTGAATAAGTCAAATCTTTCTCTCTTTGTGGCCGCGGCCCGCGGTCGTTGTCGTTAAGCAACTTTCGCAAGGGTCGGTAACGGAATGGGTGACCCAAAAATTATTATATCGAGCTACTCCGTGCTTCGGAAGGTACGTTAAGCCGTTGGTCCCGGCCGTATTTGCATTCGTTAATACCCTCTAATTCGCATTGGGCCAGCGTGGAGGGTCATGGCCCATCCTCCTTAACCATCCATAAGGAAGGCCTGAGCCCCTGCAGTGGGGAAGTAAAAGGGTCGATGATGATATATATTACCGTGACCGTGATATCCGCGGTATCAGAGTGTGACGTCACACGGCGGTGACGCGCGCCGCTCGCCGCTAGGAGGCCGCTTGTTTCCTGTCGCCATCCAACAACTTGTCGTCAGCGCAGAACTTCTCCAACTGCTTCACGTAGTACGTGTTGAAATTCAACCTGCGTGGAGATGAAATAGTATTTCCTTATCAACTCATGCACCCGAAGCGTTAGCTTTCTTGTACAGTTAAATTTTCTTCAGGTATTTTCACTATTTGTTTATTAATGAACACATGTTCGACTTAATAATGAGAGGTGTAGTAACCAAGTGTTCACTTGTCAGACGCCGCAACCGGCATCCAAATATTTATTATCATATATTCTTATAAAGAGTATTGTCCGTGCATCAGTGGCAGTGTTCTACCTCCGTTGCACTATAAATTATGGAAAACTTCGTGTTTTATTCGAAACTTCATATTAGCATTTCGAAAATAGACAAAATTTTGTTTTCGGAGATATAGAATAGGTCTTCAGGTGTAATGTAATTCGTACGAATAGTAGATAGAAACGTTTCATATTGAACTTATCAATGAGTGTACATTTTATTGTTTATTGTTTCTTCCAGGCAACCGTGCTTTAGACTGGATTGACAGAAATAATTATGCTAGGTACCTTGCGGATATGTTGAGAAGTTTATTGGTGTTATTGTCCCTCGCCATACGCTCTATGATCGCCAGTACCGAGAGTAACGCAGCAGTGAAGCGCAGCCCGTACCGAGACACGGAACGAGCGAACGAATCCGCTGACCCGCTGCTACTCACGCCACCGCCACAACCGGTACTCTACACCCAATTATATTATCTAATTAAAAATATATTCTTTTTTCAGCCCAATACTACATTATCTTGTTTTCTTTAACAAAACTAAAAGATAAACAGTCATATATTGTATTTATGTATAGAAATTAGACTACGATATATTATTACATTCCGTGAAATATATGACTGATAAATTTAACTCGATTTTATAGGGTTTATTAATATAGATAGACGTTTTATTTTAATATTAAGAGTTATTATATATAGATAATCTATTTATTAGGAATTTGAGTGTGACAATACTCGTACCAACCTCATTTTCACATCTGAAGGAAACTTTAAAATAATATTTGTGGTATTTGTACCGTGTCATAGTAAAAATGCTATCAATTAGATCTAGAAACTATCTTAGAAACAAACTCCGCAGTCTACTAAATTAGGCCAAGTAAAGCCACAATCAATTGGCAATATAATATTATAGGGTACTACGATATTTATACAGTCACATATGGCAATGTAATTATAATTTAGTCACATTATAACTGAGATTATCTGTATTAGTAAACGATAACAATGAATGGGATAATGTTATTATATTATTGATCGGATATGTTATAATATTGGTTTAAGAATAGAGTGTCATTAGAATATGGTATTAGCACGTAAGTATTGATTGACACGTGAAATTAATACTAATATGTAAAATGACTAAAAAAGTTATCTACATTTAAGACAACTCACTAAAATACTTACCTAAGATGCATTGGTAAATCATATATTTTCTGTTGACAACAGTATGTAAGCAAGAGTTAGAAATGCGGTACTTTTACATACTAACGCAGAATGAAATATGTACAATACGCACGCCTGCATGTCAGGCTACCACCATATATCAAATTTTCTCGGCTGATTTTAAACTCTACGCACAATAATTAAGTTATAAAATCAAGTGGAGAAATTTGAAAATGTTGTATAGTCTGACGCGCTGTTGGCTGTAATTAATAATTTGGTATTATAACTATATCAATACCATACCTGTGAATTTCAACTGTCACGAAAATAGTGCAGAAAGCTGCTAAAATAATTTAAGTGCTCACAAATACAACATGGAAGCATAAGACTTATGGCTGTGTTCAAACAACAATGTAAACACACCCTTATGTTGAACTATCAAACGCAGTTATTTCGACGAATCATCGTAATGTATACCAATATTGCCAGGATTGGTCGAAATCGCTGCGAAAAAGTTCACTGCTAAGGTAGTGTATATATTTTATGTAAGTCTCACGATGATTTTGTGCTTTAACATTATGTACTTAATGTTGATGTGCGCGATTTTTAACTGTTTGCGATATACCTCAATATATTCTGTACTGTCATATGTCGATCCAAGCATACTGTTAAGCTCTGCGTCCACGAAGTACTTGTGCATCTCCTTTGCCAATTAACGTGTTTCGGTAGCGTTAAAAGGAAAATACAAAATAAATTATTGTTAAAAATTATATTATAATATATAATAAACGCAAAAGCATTGTTTAAGGAAAAAAATATATAAGTACAACATATTAAATAACCACAGAACATAGAGAGAGAATAGAAGTAGTAAGTGGGCGTGGCAAGCGTCGCTGGCATATGCGCTTTTACTCATATGACGCCCTTTCCTCGGTTTTATATTTGTTAGTCGTTCGTCAATCGTCGAGTGGTGATTTTACTGATTTTTTCTATAAAAAATACCGTTTTGTGCTATTATCACTTGCAAAAAGCAAAACAAAGTATACAATCTAACTAATGCAAACATTTCCTTTCACTGGTAAGTACAATTTTAGTGCTAAAATATAAAAAACGTAATAATTTGACACAATTTCAAATAAAATATACATTGTTTGCTCAAACCAACATTAATGTTTCTAACCCCGTTTCTAGACAGCAATGTAAATCATATTGTGCACTTTTGCAAAAAATAGTGCTGTGCCTCCTGAAAATAAAAGATGAATTGATACTGAACAGATGAAATAATGAACTATTCAGGCACTTTTTTACGAAGATTCGGTTAATTATTTACACGCAGATAAATATTAAAAAATACTGATGTGCTATAAATATCTAAGTTACGAAGTATATCAACGTTTTATGAACAATATATAAATCAAACGAAACTTCGTGAAAAGCTACGAGTGTTGGCCTAATAGGTCTAATTAGAAACTGGTGAAACTGGATTTCACTTATTTTGCATTACTTATATTTCAGTCAGTGCCGGTTTTAGCACTACTGGCGCCCTGGACGAAATTTCTTCGGCGCCCTCTAACTGCAATTCAAATTGTCTTTTTTTCGCCGACCCGGCCTACTTACTTGTGATCTTCCCTAAATTTAGGTAGATTGTTAAGTTGGCAGCATTAGAATGGAAAGTAGTGTTCAATCGGTTTAATTTCTCGGGAATCCCCGACTTTCCAACCATACAGAAACAATGTGTTTTTCTATAATCGGGAATTCCCTAGATCTATCTCTTTTAATTTTTGACGAAGAAGAACACAATCAACAATTATCTTCTTGCTCGACATAAGTGGACGCTCTTAAAACAATTATTCGATTATTTTAAAACAAACAAACATAATAATCAAACGTTTAACGCTACGTTACGATGTTCTTGTTCCAACTATATAGTGACATTAATTTTATTTAAAAAGTAGACATATAAATAGCGTATAAGTAGCTGATTCATTTTTGAGGGATCACATCATTAGGTAAGTACAGATTCAATTTTACCCTAACAGGGTGTGACATAATTGTTATCTATAACTTTGTGTAATTGTTGTAACTTTGTGACAGTGAGTTTGCAGTGGGCCACTACTTATTATATAAATCAATTATTTTGCCATTTCAAATAAGTGGACAAGTAGCTGGATCCGCTATATTCGGGACAACAGTATCAAAATCATCTAGTACATGTATTTGTTGTACATCAATAACAGATTTATCCTGAGCAGCATCTGTAATCATAGCACAACTTGCTCCCTTACTTCAGGATTTTTCATCCACAATCTCTTGAGTAGCTATTTCATCTGACTTGCCAGACAGTGGTTCCACTGCCGATGCATTCGTTTGTATTGCAGCATTTTAGCTTCAACTTAACGTTTAAACATGCTCAAACGAAAATTTTTATTAAATGACCGAGCGATAATGCCCGCCAATGTACGTCATATTACCTAATAAATACATATCTTGGTATTGGTAATCGGTATGTTGTTCTGTTTTATCATAATATAATATTTTTCTTGTTAAGTTTCCTTTCAAATCATGCTGAAAGTGAGGCAACTTGAAAATAAAAAAAAATCCTCAAGGTTCTCGTTCTTTTTTCGCCGACCCAGTAGGCCTTGTTCAATGAGGAAGGGAAGAGGGCGTCTGTGGGAAATGAGGAAGTATTAGAAAAAAAACATTAGTTCCCGAAATCAAACTAGATGTCGCTACGGTATGTTCTTGATTTCTCCATGACAACCCTTCCAGTCTTCCAGTTTTCTTTCATGTTTAAAAGTAAATTAGTTTTCAAAACTCAATTAACAACTCATATTCTATTTGTACTTTTTCGTATTTGTATTGATATCTAAGTTTCGAACTTTTCAAATTTCAGTTTTTTAATATATTAGTTAAAATGAACGGAAATTACTATCTTTGTTCCATTCGTTTCCTGCAAAAATCAACTTTTGCTAGAGTCGCCATCTAGGTGGAGGTATTTTTGTAGTGCTTTCGTTTTTTTAAAATACTTCCTCATTATACAGAATCAGAAAGAAGCGCCGGACGAAAAAGGGGCGCCGCGGCCTGCGGCGCCCCTTTTTGCCAGCGCCCCTGGGCGGTCGCCCAACCGCACCCTACCCTAACGCCGCTACTGATTTCAGTTTCCCTAATAACTTTACAACGGAATGCCCTGTTTACATAATTTATTTTGTCCTATCCGTTTTAGACCTAAACCTATCAAATGAATTTCAAAACAACATATTATCTATACAAACAAAAAATCATGTTTTCAACTAACGTAATATTGTTGGTGGTGTGAATTTAATTTACAAAATTAATTTATAGGCGTCAATTTAATTTACTTTATTATGCTGATTCATAATCGGAAACCATTATTATAGAAATCGAGTTAAGATAGCCACTTTAAAGAACCGCCCACAGAACAGCTTTTATCAGTTTTTTTGTTGCTTCACATTTGCACATAAGTTTATAAACGCATGTCTCAAACGGATGTGACTTTATATGTAGATTGACGTTTGTACGTACTTATCGCTTTTGTGTCTGTCTTCAAACTCATACTTGACCAGCGATTCCTTATTGTCCAGTCGTTGCAATTAAAAATGTAGGTACTATTATTATTACAGTTATAAAACTTAGAATAATAAAGTAAAACAAACATGGCTATGATCAATTTATTATTGTAATGATCATATTAGTTATTATGAATCGCTTTTGAATCGTCCAAAAATTTTTTTTTCCCTACCATTTGTTCAGGACGTCTTTTAGCTGACAAGAAGAACAAGCGAAAGAAACTTACCAGCCCTATGATATTTACATAAATCATGTCATTTCATATCTTATCACAATAATAAATACAACTTTCAAAGTCTGTAGAAAATAGGTTGAACATATAATTAGTCTTTATAGAACAAAGCGATGGCTATTCATTCCATGCATTGCGATTCTTAAATAATCATCAACTTTATAATAGCCTTTACTCATAAGTATGTTCATTACATGAATTTTAAATTTATTTATGGGTAGGTCAACTACATTTTGTGGAACTTTATTGAACATAGCAATGTAAATGCATTGATCCTCTGGTTTTCTGAAGTCTGAAGCTTGGAACGGCAAGTTTATTTTTATTTCTTGTGTTATGATTATGAACACTACTTTTTTTTGTGAAGGAATCATAATGTTTTCTTGCGTAGATAATATTTTCATTGATGTATTGAGAGGCAACAGTCAAAATATTTATTTCTTTAAATATTTCTCCGAGAGATTCTCTAGACCGTAAATTTTATATAGCATGGACAGCTCTCTTTTGTAGAATAAAAATATCTTGAATGCTAGCCGCAGAACCCCACAACAATAGATTATACGTCATTACACTATGAAAATAACTAAAATATACTAATCCTGCCGTTTCAACATTTGTCAAGAGTCAAATGCTGCTGAACTCAGTCTACTTGACAAATTATCAATATGAGGATCCCATTGCAGTCGGGAATCTAGTGTAATACCAAGGAACTTTGTCGATTTCACCAACTCAACTTTTTCACTATTTACATTTATAAGTGTATTAATATGCCTCACATTAGGTAATGCAAACTTTATGTATTTCATTTTATTTGAATTAAGCTTTAAATAATTACTATCAAACCACTGTAGAACATTGTCGAACTGAATTACATTTTACTGTTTCATAACAAAATTTAAACCTCTTATTTCATCAACTACTATTATGTCACATCACTAATATGCACAATCGGAATGATACCGGTAAGAAAAAATTACAAATTAGGCTTAATGTAATAAATACAAAAATTCTGTTGGTTTCTTAATTTTTGTTTTTTTTTACACTTTCGCTCGCTTAATTATATTACTCCACAGACATATGATAGAGTTTATCATTAAGTTTTCTTAGTTTTTGTACTGCGTTTTTTAAAAGAAGTTATATAGGGAAAAGCGTTATTTTTTAATATTCACTTGGTTACAGCAAAATCTAATCTTTATTAAGATTAGATTTTGTTCGCACATAAAATGATGTCCCCAATTTTTTAAAATGTGCATAATCTTAAAATATTTTTTCCCTTCTGGTATCCCCGTATACAGCCACGTGACAGTTCAACATTCATGTTAAAGTAAATTATTTATTATCACGTTGAATTAGAGTTTGTTTTTAATCGTGTGATTTCTTAGCTTAGTATCTTTTTGGGATTCTGTTTATGTTATCACGAACGAATCGCGTGGCAGTTTTTCATGTAGTGAACAAAATGATCATTTCATCTAATCTGTATTTGTGTGCGGAGAGGCGACACTCGGTTCCCATACTAAATCAATATCATTATACTTCTATTCTATCTCTATGTTCTGTGTAAATAACCTAACTACCCGTTGAACCTGTGAAATATTATAGTACATATTAAATATTTAGCGTAGGTATATTCTATAAAGAGTAGATTAAGTCGGAATAAAACCAAAACCTATAGTAATTATATAATTGCATGCGGATTTATACCAAAGTATATTAATTAATTGTAAGAAAGATAACATAAACACAAATATATAAATACGTGCTGCAGAATTACAATCAAATATACAAATAACTTTATTTTATAATACTTTTAAATTTATTTGCGGATAAGTTAAACAGTAATAATTTTATACATAACTAAGAATAACATAATAAGTAATCCATATTTTTATAATATAATCGTAGAGTCATTTTTTGTGGTCTGTTGTATTAAAAATAAATACATTTTTGAAAGCTCGTAGGCAAACAATTACTTGTGCAACAAACGTGTATTATTAAAAACCCCTACTATACTACTCCCCAAAAAATACTAAAAAAAAATACTTATCCCTAAACGAATATGCCTTAAAGCATACCAAACAATATCAGGACAAAAGTCATTAGCTTAAATCTCCCGTCGTATGTTTACAAGTAATGGTGTAGGTTAGCTACTATCACAAGTTCTTTAATAGCTTTAAACTACCCCATATTTAAATTTAACTTTTGAACGACCGGTATAACGATTGTGCTAATGACTGTTAGATTGCATTCATCGCTATCCCAGCTTCGGGGAGTCCCCATATGCTGTATTAACCTCTTATCGAACAATGAAAATTAAGCCTTTGGATTACGTATCATGGAAAGTTCGAATACGTTTTGTCTATACCGAAATGTCACTAATCTCGGGTTCGTAAAAATATTTCAATTTGACCTGATAAAGATAGACTAGACTAACAGTCATATCTATAGTTAATACAAGTAAAATTGCATAACTTAAGCAGATATTTTTAACCAATAGACGAGCTTGTTAATAGGTAGGGGAGACCGAGGTGAGTTGTGACAGAGGTGAGTTGTGACAAGGAGGATTTCTCTCTACCTATTATAGCAAGCGAGATGGCTTTAACGCTTGTTTGTCGTTCTCGACACGCGCTACACGACTCAGTACCTGTCGACGGTGCATATGGCACAGTTGCGTAAATATATCGTCAGTGTACAAAAAATTGCGAAAAGTAAGTTTTTCTTCAAAATATTATTTGAATATATATCATATCTTAGTATATGTGCATTGATGTGTTATTTTTTCTTAAGTTATGTAGTTATTTAAGTCTCAATACGTGACACTGATCTTTTGTATGCGCATCGTGTTTAGAAAATATGAATTATTATTCGGACCAAGACGTCATTTTGAACACCTAGGCGAGTTGTGACAGCCTGTCACAACTCTCCTATCTTACACCATATTTCTGCTGGGCTATTTTTACAATGTTTTTTATTAACTTTAGATGTTTGTTGTTGTGTTAGTAGCTACTTAAGGTGTATAATGGCATACCGCATACTTATTTTACACACAAATAACTATACAGAGAATGAAAATCTAAGAATGTTAAGAAGCATGTCTTAAGCGAAGAAAAAATAAAGAAACCTAAAAAATCAAAGAAGACTAATAAGAAGAATAGAACAAGTGATGAAGAAGATGCAGAAAATAATTGCTTTTATTTGGTTTGCCTTAAAACCGATGCAGACAGCAGATCGAATGATCAGTGGGTCCAAAGCCTTGAATGCAAAGGCTAGGCACACGTAGATTGTACTGGGGACGAGCTGCATTACGTTTGGCATAATTGTGAATCTGATTAGATTAAGATTTTATACTAATTATAACAATAATATGATTGACCTCAAAGCGATACCATATTAAGTTAATGAAAATATTATAATTACTTGTTATGAGAATATTAATACTATGTTGTTTTAGTTGGTAGGTATTAAAAGATGATTAATCAAGTCAAATCAAATCAATCTTTATTGTTGATCGCAGGTTATATAAAGATATTGGATGCAAGGACTGAATAGTTACACCGTGATCTGCCTAAAAGGCATACAATATTAGTAGGTTAGTAATTGTCAACTAATCTAATCAATAACATGTTATGTCAAAAATTCAATTAATTCATTAAGTATTTATACATTTACAAAGTACTGTCAGCTAGATAGTCGTTTACACTATAATATGCTTTAGCTACTAATAATTTACAAAGTTTTCTATTAAAAACATTACAATTATCCAGATAACGTATTGTTTTAGGAATTTTATCAAAAATTTTTGGAGCCATACAAAAGATACTTTTGTTCAACACAGCTGTCTTAGAGGGTATCGTACACAATTTGTCTCGATGACGCAATCTCGTCTTATTTTCAAATAGTTGTTGATTCTGTTTGACAAAAATACCAACTTCGAATATATAGATTGATGGCAGGGTCATAATATTTAGTTTAATAAAATATGGCCTACAGGTACCCGTACTCTGTAAATGACATATGCTCCTAACACATTTTTTCTGGGCTCTAAAGGCAGTTACAGAATCAGTCGAATATCCCCAAAATATAATGCCCTATCGAACAGTTGAAACTACGTACGCGTGATAAGCTGTAAGGACCGTGCACTGATTCGCGATCCTACTAAGTTTGTACAGTGCACAAGAATACTGGGACAACTTTTTGCAAACATGTTCAGTGTGTGTTTTCCAAGTCAAATTTATTATTATAGTACTGATTAAAGTACTGATTTGATAAAAAAACGTGCTTGATTTATTTATGTCGTATATAATGGTATTTTTATATCTTATAGCTTAAATACAATGATGTCACAACTTACCTCGGTACCTGTCACAACTTACCTCGGTAGTAGGAGAGTTGTGACAAGGGGAGTGGACTTGAATTTTGTTATTTTTTTCAGAAACTATTATACTTTAATTAATTTTAGTGATGGTTTTGAAAACAGAAGGAATGGCGCTAAACTAATTCACATGAGTCATAACTATGGAATGTTTCTTAAGCGAGATAGAGACCCTTATGTAAAAATTGTCACAACTCTCCTAGGTCTCCCCTAATAATAATAGTATTCTTTCTATTGACAGTTATTACTTTACTCAAATTCTTGTTTATTTGTAAAAATATTTGCTTATATAATTACTTTTACTCGACTATAGATACGGGTGTTAGTTAGGGCGCGCGTGCAGAGCTTAGTACTAAATCCCACACGATATTATATCAGGATAAAACTAGAGTAATGATACGTAATACTATAAAGGATAAAACATATAAATAGCACATTTATTGAGAATTAAAACAAATTTGTTTTGAGGATAATAAATTGGTCAGTTCAAATTAGTTTCCTAATTTATTTCCGCTTCAATTTTCCGTATTAATAGTGCTAACATATATCATGCATTTGTGAAGGATAATGCACCTAATGTTTACCTGTATGAAGGTGCAAAACTGCACGCAGACCAGACAGAGCGTGGTGACAGCTTTCAGTAGTTGCGGGCTTGTCAACATGCAGTCACCTAGGCACGATTCAAGGAAGTCGTTGTGGCGCTCCAGAACCTCGTCTACATTGTTCACCTGAAATATATTTTATTTAATGGTATGATTGAGGAACGAGGATGAATATACGCTCTGTAGTAGCGAAAAGTAACCCGTAACTTGGAAATTCGTCAGTCCTGTTAGGTCCTGAGTAGTTCGGTTGTTAGAGAAGTCGTCCGGATTGCGAAAGGTCATGGGTTCGAGTCCCATCTCAGAGTGCCAAGGACAAAATCGATTTTTTAAGCATTTTTCATAAAGAATAAGCCATTCTTTTATTTTACAGTAAGACAAAATAAGGATACATCTAAACCTTAATAAGTATTAAAACTGTTAATCGGTTATCAATAGGGATGACGACTAATTTTTATTTGTTTCTCCATCAGGTAGGCTACCGAAGAATATTAAACACGTATTTGTTATTTTTTGCGTACTAAATAAATAAATTAAATAAATAAACAACGGCAATAAGTTGAAATGTTGCACGACGTCACACTTTTGTACATTTTCTACAAAACTGTGACGTAGCGAGCCTCCACCCCTCAACTTTAATGACTATTATTTTAGCCATTTCTTGGCAAATTGAATAAAAAAAAAATTTCTATTATCTGACTGACGGACTAAACAGAATATATTTTTTTACCCGGACACCATCCCTATTACTTATATTAATAACACACAAAATTATAACGGAATTTACGCAACACTTCATGCATTATGTCACGAATCATATTCAACCCTTCAGCTTCTACCAGATATTGTATAAGTGAAGATCAATGTAAGGCGAATGAGTAATACAACCTTGTGACGTGATCTAATGGCAGCAGTAATATGGAACGCCTACAAATTATCAGGTAAGTCTAGAGCTCCGCCCACTGCAAAAAGTTTAAACTTCGCAAAAAAATATAACAATATGGCTGGCTATACGTATCTTTCAAGTATTACACTTAGACATTTATATATTATACAAGTAATTATAATGCCAAATAACTACTTATCATTTGCTAGTATATTTGATTGTAACTACAATAAATGTTTTTAAAATTCAATTTAGAATAAACAGATAAAATCATTAACTAATAACTTATTAGTTAATGATTTTATCTACTAACTTATTAGTTAATGATTTTATCTGTTTATTCTAAATTGAATTTTAAAAACATTTATTGTAGTTACAGTCAAATATACTAGCAAATGATAAGTAGTTATTTGGCATTATAATTAACCAACAATAATTTGAACGATCTATTACAAACTTTCTATTAAAGCAAGAGGATTTAGTCCTGCGCCAAAATAAATACATTTAAGCATATCAAATAAACAAAATAATACGAGATACACTTATTTAATTTGCACATCGTATAGTCTGACCTAGCGTTTATTCAATGTAGTTGTACCAGTATCGGTAATTGAGTTTGGTCAGCGCAGGAGCGGAGCGTACGCCTCCCACACCAGTCTCACTACTCCGCAGCATTCGACTGGTGCGCCCGCGCCGCGCGATGTGACCAACCAGTGAAGTGAACCAAGTGTACCAAGTGGAAAACTTCATTCAGTGATCCTCTCAGTGCATTTTCAGGTGGGTTCAAAATCTAAACACGACGTCTGGATATGTGAAACCGTGTCACACGGTGTCATAATTTATTAAAACGTCATACCATGTTTCCCAGTAGCATTTGCGTTGTTTATACGTATCGAAATCGCAAACGAAGTGAATTATTCGATTAATAGTTGGTGAATATCAATGTGTGTGAAATTAAGGATGCATATGTTATTTGCGCAAACTTTTTAAACTAGTTAATCGAATTTATAGGTATTAGCTATAGCTTTTCGTGAAGAGACAAAGCATATTCCGTAAATTGCTTCATGGGTGACGACGATTAATCATTTCCCCGATCTTTATCCGATGTCACAATGCGTAATACCAACAACAATCGACTATAGTGAACCAAAACATATGTAAACGCAAACTTTGAAAGAGATCATGTGCATTGGACGCCTAACCCTGACACAAGGACGCCGGGTGACGTCACCGTGATATGATGGTTCAGGACATGTGGGTTCCTACAACAAGGACAAAAGATATCCCTTTATTAAAAAACAGAGTTCAACTAAGGTCGCACATACAAAGGATACTATCACAGAATAATACGAAAACACGTAATCTGATTCAATTCTTTGTCAGCAATCCTAATTGTTAGTTATAATCTTTATTATTAGAAATTAGTCAGTTTTAATTAAAATGAGTAAATGTCGCTATATTGATTTAATTCATCGTTCTGTTACTGATACTTAAAGATATCCTTGCCTAGGTATTTATCAAAATATTCGGTTTAGAACACCTATTTTAGATAGGAACATACTTTTTACCAGTTAAGCATAACTCAATTCCATCGGTACAGTCGACGCAGGATATTGTGTAGCGAGTGTAATTGATAATAATGCAGACGTACGCGTGAGCGACCAACTGACTATTATTGAAACACAACAATATTTCCGGCGATAGTTTAAAAACATTATGAAGTAAACAACAATATCTAAAAGAATTTAATTGCTTAGGAAAGCATGTTTCGTTGATTTGGCTCATCAAACTATTATTGTTATCTAAAAGTTCATACATGTTTACTATTTGTCCATAAAATTCCACATTTATCGAATAGAATATCTTTAAAAAAATTATGTAGATATATAGTTATTATTTTTAAAAAATTTGGTAAAATATGGTCAAACATTTAAGTGGAACGAGTTTAGAGTTTGGTGATCGTTTACAGGTTTTGTCTAAAACGTGGTCTATGAGGAAGCCACTATGAGAAACTTTTTAGCAGGATATCTACATCTGCATATTAATAAACAAGGTTTAGCGTTGGAGTAAATTGACGCTGAGACTGCATTTAGTCTTCGTCAAAATTCATAATATTATACACAGACTTAGTTAAGTTTAACCAAGAACGAGGTTCTATGGGAGTAATATTTACTTCTAGAAGGTAGTATGCTTATTCTCTGTATAATATGAACTTATACTAAAATTTCAATTTTAGCATAAATTTACTCTGACGCTATAGGTACCTTGTTTATTAATAGCACTGCTAGAGAATAAGTTATACTATACATGTTTATTTACTACATTCAAAAATATGTTTACTATTGTTGCAGAATAACCTACTTAAGGATCATATACCTATACTTCTATTATTTAAAATATCAAGTCTGTTTCAGAAATTCTATCTGGAGTAATATTTTCGTCCAATTTAATTTAAAAATGAAAGAATTATTAGATACATTTATTGCATTCACAAGAAGTTTTCTTGATATTGTACCGTAATTCATAAAATAAAGGTAGACAGTTGTAATAATATTTTCTTCCAATTTAATTTAAAAATGAAAGAATTATTAGATACATTTATTGCATTCACAAGAAGTTTTCTTGATATTGTACCGTAATTCATAAAATAAAGGTAGACAGTTGTAATATTATGGAGTGATGAGATAGTCTACCACTTCCTTATAACCAATACGAAAGCCTTTGAAACAATGAACCCATCAGATTGCAAATTGACTTGGAATAACTTGTTAAGCTTACAAGCCGAAGCTTGTCATGCAAACTGGTTATTCTAGCTTTTCTGTTTTAAACCATAAGAAGTATTTATAATCTTCGACTAAGCCAATCATTGCTAGAATGAAATACCTACTTACATATTAATTAAAATTTCACTGCATAATATTATGTTGAATTATTTAAATTTTAAACTTATTCGTGTTTGGTCGATAGCGGAAACGGCCACCTTGTGAACGAACGTTACATCATAGAAAAGATAGCTGATAAACAAGCTATATGAAATACTCTATTCAATATAAAGGATTGCGTATAGTGAATATGACAGACAGGCAGTAACCCTCCATTGAACTTTGCATCAAAGAATTATCAATTTTCGTTTCGGTCATTAATTACTACCCGTATCTGAAGATGGAAATAGCAGGTCACCCGAACATTTCTCACGTAAAAATGTACTTAGGTGTATTTATTAGCATTCAATAAATACTTTTTGAATTTTGATTATGATAGACTTGGTAATGTCATGCTTTGCGTATAATCTCGTACAAGATTTAAACTTTCTATTGGAACACTCAAGGGCTGTCAATCCTACATCAAGTGGCGCTGAAAATGACTAACTTTCAACTGGGTTTTTGTACAAAGATATAACGTCCGAATAAGCTGTACGTGAAACTTTAAAACTACGTCATATTTTAAAGGGATCTGTCATAGCCAAACGTTAATTAATAAAATTTTATTAATACCAAAAATTCACAAATTCCCCCCTATTATTAACTATTTAGGATTCCCTTTTTTATAGAGCAAATTAATAAAAACGTGAGTCATTTTTACAATAACTTTTTTGTAACAGTTTGCGACTATTTAATTAATTAAATTTAACACTTTGAAGCGTCCTTTGCCCCTATCCGTAGACGAGAACAATAATTAAACTTAACACAACTCTTAAAGGAAAAGAAAGAGGAAGTTACATCATATAATTCTTGTCATTATAAAACGACAGTAACCCTTGCACATTATTCATCGATCACGAACGATACACAAACACGGCCGGTGCAAGTTGATGGTCGATGACGACAGTTCGCCCACGAACCCGCATCGCGCCGCCTAATATGGACCTTCGCCTGCCAAATAACTTTTGCATAAATTATCCACGTAATGGAAACAGAACGGTAAACCTAATAGAAAAGTGAATTGCAATTATTTGCTACCTCACGACGAGGCCTTTGCAGTATTACAATGGACGACAAATTAGACGACTCAATATTTGGATGTGTCAAACAAATAAAGCACATCACCTCGCAATAACACTTTAATGACCGTACAAACGGAACCCAAATGGTCATTGGAATTTTAAGTAAGTTGAAACGAAGATAACTAATAGTTATTCTATCGGATATACTGCAGTGGCTGAATAAAGGGTCATGTCGTTTGTATTACCTACAATAATCTTATCGTGCAAGTTTTAAAGATATAGAAGAAGTTATACAACTCAAAATGCCAAGTATTTATAACAATAGAAAATGAGGTCTAGTGCAACAAATTAAGATAAAAAGTACAATACCTATAAAAAGCGTTAATCGCAAGTGGAGTGCGCTCGCGCCGCTCCAGCGATTCGAAATAGAAACTCAAAGCGAGAACACTCTTTACCAGCACTTCGGGGTGTCGTAAAAGATCTGGCGTTTTAAATCGATCTTTATGGGCAATTTATAGGTAATCAAGAACTGCAGAGTTCGTTGAAATTAAACTCATTATTACAGGGTACATGAAACGAAAATATCAACTTGCAATGCAACGGGAACACTAACCATATTGCCGTCACAAGAATCTTAAATGCTGATGATACATATTTAATGATGCATAAATGATTCATATCGAATGGAATTTATACAACCACTGAAGTACTCGAATGCTTAATTCATGGTTTGTTTGTACGAAAGAGAAAACTTTGTTTTTAGGGCGAAGCAAATTAAGCACAAAGTTGACAAAAAGCGACGGCGATCACGGTGCTGGCGAGACGAGAGTTTCAAATTGAAATGTCGTGTGCGGAACGGAAGGCTTTCATCTGACTTGTCGGTCAAGCACCGGATATGTGGCAACCGTACGAGCTCACTTGCAATTACCATGATCTGGCGCCAGAATCTTGATACGTACCACACATAAATACATATTTAACATTATGGAAAGTTCTTCCTCTCAACTCAACAATGCCGTCACGTTTCCGACATAAGTTTCTTTATAATTATATTTATTTTTTGTATGCAGCAAATCAAGATGTTCATGATAAACAATATTACTGAAATGTTCCAGAGCACGATTTTAATTATATACAGAGTACATAGATACGTGGTTGAAATTTATAACAGCTCTAAATGCCGTTATTCCGAGACGAACGATCAGTATTTTACTAAAACTTGTTTAATTTTACATCTAAATGAGCAGAACCATACTTGGCTATGAAATGTAACGTTGTTATTTATCATTAACATACACAACAAACGTATTAAACATTTAAACATCGATAACGTGGTACAAAATCATTAAAATTCATGTATGATTTAAGCTGTGTTGTATTATGAAACACTTCATTTATAAAGTTATCGATAATAACTTAAAACATATCGTATTGGAACTGAAACCACAATATATCTGCGGTTAGTATACTTGCAAAACGATACTAAATTCTTTCAATAAGATGATACTATTATAAAAGAAAATATATGAGAACTTGGGTATTATAACGAAAAATATGAGCAGAGTGAAATAGTAAAGTCGAAATAAAGTAAAAAATATTTGGAACTTTAACTCGTGCTATTGCGGCTAGCCGCAGAATGTACAGTTTGTCATTTTGCCTTGTATAAGTAACTTGAAAGTAATAATCCAAACTAGCGTCTTATAGAATTATCTTAAGTCACCTGTTAATTTTTAGGTAAAAGTATAAATTACGTAACGTCCTATTCATACTTATTGGATCACGTAGACAATTTACTTTTAGAAAACTTTATTGTAATATCTACTAATTTATTGTTAGCTCGCATGAAGTTTTTCTTATCATTATATATAATCGAACTTTCACTTAATCCAGTAGTAGTTTTAATAAACGATAGCACCGACATGACATATAATTTTGTAATAAACAGCGTGGTTTACAATTAAGCTGACGGATTACCAAAAACGTGATAGTAAAATAACTGATTGTAGAACAGAAGCGGTAGTAAGTCTACAAATATTAAGTAGTAACTTATTAATTACTAGCTCAGTCATAGATGTGCGGTTTATTTTACTTTTGTGGAAACTGTCTGGCAACAATTAAATGTAAAATTGATAGGATTTGAGTTGATTATTATTTTAGTGATTTATAATGCCAGGTCATGAAAAATTATAGAGATATCGATTGTTTTTTCAATACCGAAAATAAACCGATAATTATTTGATCACGAGAAAGTTAAAATGCATAACATCGAGAGCTTGATCTTTGCCATCACAGAAAAAGTGATTTATATACCAGTTGGTAAACCGCTACTGAATCTAGAAAAAAAAATTATATGGCATATATTTATGCCCTCTTTTTCTCTAAGACAGCTAATAGGTGAGCCTCAAGATTGGAAAGTTTTGTTAGATGATTCGGAGCGAATCAATTTTGGGAACCACGAATCAATTTAATTTATTTAGACGTTCAACGTCTGTTTATCATATGAATCAAATCGTAAACAATAAACATGCGATGGGGGTTACTGATAGTTAAATGTGAGTAAGTGCTTATTGACATGTTAAGGTGAGTCAAGGTCTAAGTCAAGAGGTATTTCAAAAAATGCCTTCCAAATTAGAAGTCATATGGTGCCGACATATAACATATGTATATAATTGAAGTAAGAACTACCTTCATTCATATATAGAGTTTAATAATTTGTGATTTAAAATACGAATTTTTCATCAAACAAAAAACACAAAATAACTGAAATGTAAAAGAAATTACGATTGACAGTTTGCAGTTAATAAATATAGTAAGAATAAATGAATACAATTTCATATACCTTGAACCGTGCACATTTTCTAATAAGTACGACTAAATGTCAAACGTGTAAACACAGCTTTACACACTCCTATTAAAAGACAAAATGTTAAGAGGGCGCTTATACCAAAAAATACACGAACTTTAAACTGGTTTCGTACAAAGAAATAATGACCAAATAAGATTTATTTGAAAATAAGAAAACTTCACCACATAGAAAAAGACCAGAAAGTTACAACCACTTTTCCATTTTTTTTTTGTAACTAAACACTTTTTATTGACTTTTATAGGGAAAATTATTAATACTTGTAACCGATGGCCTTATGCAGCTCTTCTGCAATAATTTACTAGTAATTAACAAACAATGTTTTTGACGCGCTATTCGCCATTCTCTGTCCTTGTCTAGTTGCCAGGTGACAGGAACAGTCCTTTATTATATAGGAAAAGTATTAATACTTGTAACGGATGGCTTTATGCAGCTCCTCTGCAATAGTTTACTAGTAATGAACAAAAAATGTTTTTGACACGCAATTCGCCATTCTCTGTCCTTGTCTAGTTGCCAGGTAACAAGAAGTCTTTAACTTTACGCCCCTCTTAATAACTAAAATGACAAGGTAGAAAAACGTTATGTTATGAAGTACCTAACACCATGCGCGCTTGAACTTTCTTATCGTGCATGTAAATGTCAGGGTTATTAAAAGGTAAATGCGATTAGAATTAAAGATAAACTTTCGGTCAAACAGGGCCTTTAAACTGTAGTTGGTATAACTACTACAAATAAAAAACAAGAATCTATTATCGCTGTATTCACATATAATTGTTAACTCCTTATCAGATTAGCATCTTTTGTATGCAAACTACCAAATTACTGTGTTTAAATATGGATAATAAATAATTGGTCCTGTATTATACCTATAAATCACTCTATCTGGTATTGAAAATTGCATTAAAATCCGTAGTATAAAAAGTGTCAGCGTAGAGACAGCGCGAAGCGTCTTTGTTTTTTACTATGTATATATATTTTAAATATGTAATATTATAGACACAAAAGTTACCGCGTATGCTTGTTTGATAGATATAACATTTAAATAGGTATATGAATCTATGCGGCTAAAAAGGTAATGAAACTTAGCGATGTTATAAAACTTCCCGGACGCGAAAGTATTTCCTTTTTTCTTTACTTCTTTAATGTAATACGATTAATCTATACAGACTTAATGAATTTAAGAATTTTAATGAATTTAATGTACAAATAAAATGTAAATTCCTACTATATTCCTAGTACCAGGTATGAATTATTTCTAGTTCCCACTTATACGAAATGAAATATAGAGGTAACTTTTTATCTCAAATATTTAAAAGACATAATGATATTCATGGATTTTTCGTAGTACTTCGCTTACTTAAATTAAATTGGGTTTCCAACATGTGGTATACGCTTGAAAACTCTTTTTGCCACTCTTCTAAGCTTAAACTGCTTTACAATTTAACATTCCATCCATCGTCTCACAGCTGATTTAAATTGTATTGTAGAACTGACCAACTGGACACGAGTTTCTAAAACGGCTTCATTATTCATGAATTGATCTCGTAAAAACCTCAATTAATCAATGTTAAAATACTGAATGTCCGCTATTCATACAAAGAGTGAATTATCGATGGTTACGCGAATGAGTTCAGATCTCTACTAATTAATTATAAACGTTTTATAATTCAACTTTAAGAAGAGTAATAAAAACTTCCATTTAGAAGAAAGGTATGTTGCGTTTTTCAAAGTTATTCAGAAATCAATTTTAGTGCTTCTAAAACACTGAAGCTCTACATCTACAATAGCAGCTGACATGTTATTATTAACACATTAAAATAGGTGTTAAACTGAAACGCAAATTTTATGTTCAAGCATATTGGCCCGTCGACGTAAGGCATACAACTTGGGAAAATGTTTCCGTTTAAAACATGTGGAGTATCTCATCGCGTTCCGCTGAACGAACACTGCTATTGTTTGGTGTATATGGCTCTTTGAACTTTTTTGTTGATTTCCCTCTATTTTGACGGTGAAGCTGTGCCATTTGGCTGAACGTAGGCGTCCAGATACATTTGAATAAGTAAAATGTTGTAGGAAGTAGGTACTTTAGAAAAGATTTCGACCGATACTGGTTTTACTTGTAAATTCAATCGGTGGAGCTCTACATTAAATAGCTAGTCTAAAGTAGTTAATGTTTAAAACAGTAAACATTCAAGGCGAAGCTTAGTAACGGCGTATTAAAATGACATTCGAATTCGAACATTTTAGTGATCGTTGGACAAGCGTTACTAAACGTATAATACACATTTATCTATATAACTAAATAAAGATTCAAAAGGCAGATGCGACTTATAATTTATTTATACAATTAATGTAATAGTTTGATCTCTTCATTGTTGTTTATGTGATTTCTCGAACAACAGCGTTCATGTTACCGTTAGTAATTAAACAGCCAAATTAAATACCCGTAACATTGAGTTTGTTCAGCATGGAAATTGTAAAACAATAATGCACACAGTGCTCATACAAACAACAATTATACTGCAATAAAATCGTGTACAAATTGGAATCTATAAAACTGAACTCGATGAACCATAATGGAAGGTAACGCCGTTAAAATATGGTGTATTCTTCGAGGAAAAATAAAATGGAAACAAAAAGCTTCGTTGTGCAATTAAGAATAACATAAGAGAGCGTAAATCGGTCCAATTACAACGATTCCAGTGAGAGGGGCGTGAGGCACGCGCGTAACATTAGTTTTATAGCGGCAAGAGAAAATCGGAATAATAGCCCCATCATTATAGCTACTGTCAATGTAAATATTGTATTAAGTGAGCTCATTTACTACAATGACATCACCATTGTAACAAGATTATTCTGGGGGTTTATGTTTCTTTGATATAAGATTATTAGGATTTTAATCCTATTTAAAAAATTGCTTTACATTTATATAAACGGATTAAATAGCGACTCGTTCTCTATGGACTATCAAAACGTATATATTGTAAAACAGTAAAACCATTAAACAGATTAACAAACAGATAACGGGAATCGTACCTCTCGATGCCAATCATGATGGTTTCTCACGAATGCTTGTATGATCGTTTAGCGATTTTAATTAAATCAACATGTTGGCTTAACAACTTACGTATTCGTATAACAAAATGATTAAGAGATTTACAATTATATTAACAGTTTATAAATGAGAAATGTCGACCAGATGTTTTCTACTTATATTGTTGTAATTAAAAATAATTGGACAGTCAATATAACAATCGCTTTTGGTGTGCTACAAACTACACAAAACAATTGACCTTAATGAGAAAATTGTACGTTAAATATTTTTTACTCTTATTTTCAGATGCCAGTATAGCAGCAGCCATGACGCGCGACAGTTACGAGATGAACACCAACCGTTTGTCGCGGGGTGGATCACTCTTCGGCACAGATCCACAAACGCAACTCAGAACAGCTCTACGCACTAATGATTATACGACTTTCAAAAAACTCCTTAGCTATGGCGCGGTCGATCTTGAACACGTTTATCAATATCCAGATTATAAATCGTGCCTCGATTTGGCAGTTTGTGAACCTGGTAAAGAACATTTTGTGAAACTTTTGCTTCAGCACGAGGTAAATGTTAATAGACTTAACGAGACGCATGGTGCAGCACCGATACATTTTGCTGTAGAAAGTGGCAATTTAGAAGCACTCAGAGAATTATTGGACGTCGACGGTATCGATGTTAATATTAAGAGTAAAGGTAATACAGCTTTGCTGTTGGCCATAAAGAAAATCGAAGATTTGGAAGATGATCGCGAGAATGAGTTGGCCGTGTATGAAGATATGATAGAGTTACTTTTGAAAACCGGATGCAACCCAAATTCCCCGGATTTAAAAGGTGTAACTCCAGTTTATTGCGCATCTAAACAGGGTTTAGAGAGGGTCATAACTTTGATTTTAGATTATTCCAAAGATCCTATAGATCTAGACACTTACAAAGACAGAAGAGGTAAAACAGCACGTCACTTTTTAAAGGAAGCTTTTCCTCATCTTTTGGCACGATTCGAATCATCTACTGAAGTTGCCGATACAATTGATAATGATAAATTATTTTCATATTTAAGCAGACACGAGGAAGATAATTTTATTCGTGATTTTACTAAACTGGTTAAAAAGAATGAACATCGATCTGCGCTTACGGCTAATAATGGTATGCACACAATGTTACAGCTGGCAACAGAAAAGGGTCTGGAAAAAGTAGTAGTTAATTTACTTGCGAATGGTGCAGATCCCAATGCTACATGTGCAGGAAATACATATCGCCCGATAGCTATTGCTTGTCAAAACGGATTCCTCAAAATACTAAAAAAGTATGTTGATCACGAGTCGTCTTTATTCGATTCTGTTAATGGCGAATCCTTACTTCAGATTACAATAAAAGGAATGAGGTCTTACTCAGATCACATCAAAAGTGATCACAAAGGTTGCCTTAAATTGTTGCTGGAAAACCCAAAAATTAATATTAATGTAAACCACCCAGATATAAAAGATAACACAGCACTTCATTATGCAGCGAGAAACGGTGATAGTGATACAGTGTTAGAATTATTAAGGAAAGGGGCATGCGTGGGACTTAGAAATAAGTTTAACGAACCACCTCTAGCAGATATAAATGCAAAAACATTGGAAACATATTTGGACGAATGTATAACAACGAACGGTGAACGACCAAGTGACGATGATTACGAAATACATATGAAATATAGCTTCTTAGTTTACCCTAATAATTCACTTGAAAACGAACTAAGTAAAGTACCTCTGATGGATAATGCAAATAATAATGGAAAAGAATATGAGGCTATATTAGCACCTGAAACTGACGCTCTCTTGTATATGACACGGAATGAGGAGCTGCGTCAATTATTGAAACATCCAGTTATCACTAGTTTTTTATACTTAAAATGGCAGAGAATAAGTTGCCTGTTTTACGCTAACATTACATTTTACTCCCTACTATGGCTTTGTTTAATTCTCTATATTATACTTGGTTATGGTGTCACTAAGAAACAACCAGATACAATAGAGGCATTAAACGTGGTAACTAGAGTTGGTGCCATTATCGGTTTAATACTTTTGATATTGAGAGAAACATTTCAGTTACTTGTTTCACCAACAAGATATTTACAAAGTATTGAAAACTGGATGGAAATAGCGTTGATAATTGTGACAGGGTGGATTTTATGTTATGATTCGGCACAAGAATCAACAAAGCAACAGTTATCAGCAATAGCAATTTTATTATCATCAGCGGAATTAGTTCTCCTTATTGGGCAATTTCCAACACTGTCAACATATATTGTTATGTTGAAAACAGTTTCCTGGAACTTCTTCAAGTTTATGTTATGGTACTGCATTTTGATAATTGCATTTGCATTAAGTTTCTATACGTTATTTAGACAAGTGATTATAGAAGATCAAGTGGCACCAAATCCTAATAAATCTGAGAAAGAAGAGGAAGAAGAAGAGGATTTCTTCGAAGATCCAGGAAGATCTCTTTTCAAAACTATTGTTATGTTGACAGGAGAATTTGATGCGGGATCAATTAAATTTAGCACCTTTCCAGTGACCAGTCATATCATATTCATCGTGTTCGTATTCATGATCCCTATTGTACTTTTTAATTTACTAAACGGCTTAGCTGTCAGCGACACACAAGAGATCAGAAATAATGCAGAATTAGTCGGACATATTTCTCGAATAAAACTGATATCATATTTTGAAAGTATACTCATCGGAAATGCTCGTGAATATGCGAGGTCAACCAAATGTTGGTTCTGGCCTTCGTATTTACAAAATTTACAAATAATCAAGCCAAAAATGCTATGCATCAAACCTCTCGCGAAACGAGTAGCTTTATTTCCGCATTTTTTACCCAAGTACAGAATTATTGTGAAACCGAATAGAGATAACCATATAGAAATACCACATCCTGAACCATTAGGTAAATTCGGTGACGATTATGAAGACATTGAAGGTGGTGGATGTTGTTTTGAACGCTGCCAAAATTACAGACTGGATAGAAAAATAGTTAAAAATGCAAAAATTATCATCAGTAAAAAGTCCCACGTTTCTGAATTTGACGAGATTAAGGAGAAATTCGTGAATCTGGAAAATACATTGAAGAAGGTGTTACAAGCTATGGAATCGTACCATAAATAATATCTTTGCTTATATTTAGTGTTAAGCTATGAATTCCGATTGCTTAAAACAGTATTAACAGATATATTTTTATATAGTTTATACTTAATATTAAGCTGCATTAACATTTACAAAAACTTTGAATATTATTGTATAAGTTATGTGAATTTGTGATGCAATTAATGATTATACTGGAAGTTTTATATGGAATGTTAAGCTTTATATATTAATGTCTGAAATAAATAAACATGTATAAATTACATTCTTTGGGTGTTAGCGAACTAACATGTTGAATGACATACTTGTGTAGTTGTTTATTTGGATTGTATAATCGCAAAATCAACAATCCAAATAATAAGATGAAATTAAAATTCCAAAAAGACTGCAGAAACTCGGTATTTTGTAGTTACTTAACATATTCATGACATATTAAGTTGAATTTACTTACTTGTTTCACCAACTATATATTTACAAAGTATTGAAAAGTGGATGGAAATAGCGTTGATGATTGTGACAGGGTGGATTTTATGTTTTGATTCGACACAAGAATCACCAAAGCAACAATTATCAGCAATAGCAATTTTATTATCATCAGCAGAATTAGTTTCCAAATAACAAGATGAAATTAAAAATCTAAATAGACTGCAGAAACTCGTACAGTACAGTATTTTGTAGTTACTTAACATATTCCTGACATATTAAGTTGAATTTTCATTTTATTAAGTTCAATTTTGTTATTTATGTTTATTTTATCAAATAAATAAGTTTCTTCTGCACCAAATACTGGTACAGACTGAGAGCTCGTGACCAAAATGTCCAAGAGCTATCTAAACTTTGATATTTCAGCAATTTGAGTTCACCTTGAACACCTGTGGTGCGACCACCTAAATCTTTAGCCTTGATTCTAGCCATAAGCTACGACATCTTAACGATATTATAATGATATTTCAATTCACTTTATTGCTTTAACATGTATTTAAGTTATTTATGTTTATGTGGTGTTAGTCTTTTATTTATTTATATATACTAATAGTTCTCTGTGGGTACTCAGTATTTAGTTCAGAAGGTTATGGTAAAAATGAAACAAAGTATTATATACGACAGCGGGTGACCGGAGCCGGCGCGTCATGACAACTATCTTTATTTCAATTTGACTTTTATATAAGCTGAATAAGGAATTTACCATTGTGTACTTTAGTAACGACGAACGAACGATAAAGATGATTATGGATTCGATAGCAGTGTTACCATTTAAGTCATATATACTAAATTTATCCACCAAACGACATATCAAAGTAGTAACATGAAACCAAATATCCTTATAACATCGCTAAGATATTGTATAATATGGCCAAAATAAAGGCTTAAAAGTTAGGCGTCCGCTGTTCTGGTGGTAGCGGGGCAATGAATGTAATGAATAACGAGGAAATCACCAGTTATAGGATGGGTAACCAATTTTTTTTTTTTATCTCTAGGTCCTCAGTGTTTCTGAAGATACTTAAACTGTTGTTCTCGCTGTCTGTGCAGTAGTTAATACCCTCTAAACCACATTAGGCCAGCGTAGAGGGTCATGGCTCATCCTCCTTAACCTTCTATATGGAAGGCCTGAGCCCCTGTAGTGGGGTCATAAAAGCGCTGATGATGATGATTATGGCATCGTTAAGATGTACAATTTATAAATAATGTAGTTTCTAAATAAATAAAAGCGCCCGTTTATATGTCCTCACATACAACGCGTATAGATGCTGCTCTTTTGTTAAAGCAACCGTGTGGATGATGTAGACTAAGCGTGTGGTTGTGTAATAGTTTAAAAAAAAGCCATTAAATAGATGCGAGACACATTCCATTTTCCGCGTGAGTATTATACAAAATCTAATATATTTAATGGAGAATGCTTAAAAAATCCATCAGCCCTACCCAGGGCTGGTACCCAAGATGGGATTCGAACCCATGACCTTTCGCAATCTGGGCGACTTTTCTAATCACTGAGTTACCCGACACTTATGACGAATTTGTTATGCACTTGTTACTTTTCGCTACTTTTATCAATGTTCAGGCAATCCACTCGAACTGCTAAAAGAAATATTTCTACCAATATTTTAAACTTTCGAGTCCCATCTCGGGGTACCTGAGGCTGGTGGGTTTTTAAGTATTTTACATTACGAATATTTACTAGCGTAGCATTGTGAATTCAAAATTGATAAAATATAAAAGTAAGTCTAATATAATTTAGCATCGTAATAAATCCCGTACGCCTGTCCCTCAGTATACAGGACTATGGCCAGCCTACATTATATTTAAGTGATCCTTTAGAGCTTGCTCTCTTTCCTAAAGTTATCTATTCCAAAGAACCTAGAAATATTTTGCAAGATGCATATGTAGGATAATTTTAATACGTCATTATTGACCAAGATTTCCAAAGCAAAATTAGAAATTTGTGTTAGATGCAAATTTACTACAGGCATTGTTTAAAACATTCTGGTTGTGTACATGTGAAATAGCAAACACCCTTTTCACCACTTCAATAATTATAAAATTATGATATTGACGTTCCCCTCCCCCCGCGACCTAGTGGTCAACGACACTCAATGACCTGAAAATATCAAAAATGCCTATAGAGACAGGACACCCAGGACAGAATCGCCTTGCGCAAATATACGAGGAGACTCGACCCCAAATAATGGGAACAGGGAAGATGAAGATAGTGATCGGTTAAAAAAGGAGCAGCAGTGATTAATATTAAAAAACTTACCTTATCGAGGCTTTGTATCAGTTGACACCACGAAGGTTCTATCACTTCTACACACATGTAATACTGTAGATGTTGTATGCAGCTCAACATGCGCTGGCGTAACGCGAAAGCGTCTGCGTACAAACGCGCTTCGGAGAATCGTTTCACTACCTTGTTGTACAGCCACACTCTATTGAAGACAAAATAAACTTATGATCATCATAGAAAATAATACAAAGTAAGACAACATTTAATGTATTTTATGGAGGAATAACTTTAAATCATAAAATAACAGACTTGAATAGACTTTAATCCATTTTAATAGGGTTGTGTCCTAAAATACAGGTTTCTAGTTACATAATACATAACAACTTTCATTATGACCACAATAAACATAAACACACAAATAACAAAGATTGCCCAAACGCCCATACGTTATTTAGTGTTTGTACGAATTTGTCCACAAACATAACACCATATCTTATATCTCCGAAACTATTAATTGCAGACATGCTGTCACTTCTAATACATTATTTCTCAGATATTAATGGACTATTTATTTATAAAATAAAAAAAGTAGTTAACTAGCCTATTTGAATAAAAAATATATTATTATAAAGCCATCATATGTAATAAAGGTACAAAATAATAAATAATGTGTTGAAAATGGAAAAGCTTATGTATTTCTCTGTATATTTTTTAATTAGTTTATTATTTTACACATTGTATTATCGAGTATGTGCTTGAAATACCTATTTATTATTTGAATCAGAGCAATGTAAGTAATGGTTTTCTAATAATGTGTATTAATTCGGGATACCTTATTTTAAGATAATGTGTTTTTCCTAATATACATCATAACTTTTTTGCTATAATTATGTTTAGTATAATTATTTCATGGGCATTTTGTTTTGCATTATTTTATTTCACACATGTTACCAGACATTCTCAATTGGTTGGGTAAATTTAGAACTAGGAGAGTACCATTTACAAGTTATTAAATTTATGCTTTAAAATGTTGTGCAAAAATACTGTTTGCGTTAAAAGCTGTTATATGTAAATATACTTAGTACAAACGAAAGTATTCCAATAGAGAATCATAATATTAGTACCTACCTGCATAGTAGCCTCTCCACATGTTTACAATAAAACAGGTGTCGAAATATCATTTGATAGCAGGCGATGGCTTTATGGTTGAGTATAAGTGACACTGGCCATTTCACTTCCATTCCAAATGAGAATGTCTCGATACCAGTAAGCGGTGGACAGTCCTTATTTTGCTTATATTCTGCAATAAAATTCATAATTATTATAGAGAAATATACTATAGCTGTGAACTAATTTTTTAAGTACTATATAAATTAATTAATAATTATTAATATACTGAAACTGAAAAAAAAATGAATTTCTGTTCATCATAAAATCGAAAAAATAAGAAATTTTAAATTTTAGGAAATCTTAAAAACACCTAATAATAATCCTATATAATCAAAAATAATAAGTACGATTAGGATAACAATACATTTATTAATTGTTACTGCACACATAGACTACGAAACAACTTAAGAGCTACCACGAAACATTTACTTTATTAGACTTTGGACTTTACTTTCTATATAATAAAATACAATTACTATTGGAAAGATTTGATATTGGATATAAAATAGTGAGCTGTTTGTTAGTTAATAAAGTGAAAATTATAACATACATAGCTATATGGGAGACAGCTATTGAGTGGTATTATAAACATAAGTGGGCAAATCTTTTCAAATTGAAATACCATTGATAAAATCTCATTTGGGAAAATGGATTCAAATTCTATGCTTTGTCACTATTTTTCGGTTAAAAATAGAAAGTTTCCGATAATTAGACAAAAATTGTTATGTTTTTTATGATCTGAATTTTTTATTGATACTACTCACCTTTCTCATCTTCGGTTTCGATCATTAAAATCTTGAACATTTGAAATTGCAAATCATATGGCAATAGCTCAACCCTCATATCTTCATTGTAAGGGTCGTGACTAGCTGCAGAGAGTCTAAGGAAGTAAAAACAACACATTAAGACACAGATAATAATTATATTAAATTCATAATCAAACAAGCTTTTATGAGATAATAGTTTATTTAAAGTTATCGGAAAATATATATATATATATATTTTTATTTCATTTTTTTTTTGCGCGTTTAACATTAGTGTTATCTACTGAACACGCCGCAACGGTGTAAGAACACCCCGCAACGGTGTAAGTTTTTATTATTGGCTACTTGACTGTTTTGGGATAAGTTTTTATAAACTTTCATATATTAAATCACTATCAGAATTATTTTTCTCCAAAACTTGTTATTTAATAAAGGAAAAACATGATTTTATTAATTAATTTAAATGAGTCAACCGCGAAAACAATCAGTCACATGATCGAGCCGTGACGTCCCATTTCAATAAACACGAGTATTGGTTGCACTCACAACAAAGACGTTGACGTTTAGTATATTGATTCACAGATTATAAGTAACAATTTCGCAAACCTAAAATATACTTACAATTTATTTTACAACTAAAATACCACATAAGTTACCATTTCCAATATATTTTATAACGATAACTGTCAAGTTGGCTACTTGACTATTATTTCTAACAAAAAAGAATCATTCCTTACTACGAAAAGATATCATTTAGAATAAGTATACTTAAAATAAAAATATTTTACCTTAAGCAAAGTCCTAAAAGAGATTCCAACTTAGAGGGTATAATATCATCAATCTTTTTCGAGAGTTCTTGTTCTGTTGCATCCATATATTGCACAATAAAGTCACCTTGACTCATTAGGAAATAATTTTTGACAGATTTCAGTCTTCCCATCAGATCATATTCTTTGAGTAACAGTTCTAACAGAGATTTGCTAGCATATGCGTAAGCTTTCTGTATAATGGCACCATAGTTCTGCTCCCTCAGAGAGTATTTGATTTCTTCAGTGTTGGTTTTCGTTATTGGCTTACCTAAAAAGATTCGCATTAAATTAACAAATCAATAAAAATCGTTTCATTTCACACTTAATATCATATCTTATAAGTCAGGAATTTCCAAAATAATCGATATGCAGCCAGTTGCACAAACACCCATAAAATTTTAATTAGTTCAAAACGACATAACCCATACAAGTTTGACATTCATTAGAGCTTATAAGCGTCATTAAACCTAAGTGAACGTTTGTGCAACTGACCAATAGACCCCTTGGTATAACAGTTACTCAGGGGTCAATAAACGAAAACTGGTTTAATTTAGCTTTTGATTGATATTTGAAAAATTTTATTTGTATTTTAATTATTTAACCAACTGTTTTAACTAAAGTTTTAACGAAGTTCTAGTATTTTTAATATAATTATAATTGTTTGAAAAAACTAGAGCTAAGATTTTTAAAATAATTTTGCTATGCGAGTCTCACTCAGCTAAACTTATGAAAGAACGATAAATTATCTGTGATTGTTGATCCCTTGTTTATTACTTAAAATAACTCTTCATGGAATTCTTTCTTCATTCTCGTTTATAACTTAAAGTAACTCTTCTTTCTAAGAGAAGAAAATATATGTCTAGAGTACAATAGTATTAACATCTTTCAAGATAAATTCCTTAAAATTAGATAGCAAAATGTGAATCTTAGGCATCAGTTCATTTGGAGAAGTTAAAAAGATTACATAGGTGGGACCGACTCGCCAATAGACACAAGCAATTACAAACTTTTATACTGGCACAAAACGAAGTTGATACATGTAGGAATTGTTAATTGGAATTTTTAAACCCTTTCCTGTTATGGCGTTAGCATACTCACCACACTGACTGATTACATTAAGATACTTTCCAGTCCTGAGTATGATGTCGGTAAACTTTTCAAGAAACTTAGGAACTCTGTCTCTTTGGATACTATAACGCTTCTCCCAATAGTCTGCAGAATAATCTACGGGAAGCTCCTCTTTATTTATCAATTCATTATCTTCAATCATAAATTCCTAGAAAAAAACATGTCAGTATTTTTGGCTGTTTGGGTGGGTTGCCTGAACATTGATGAAAATACGCTCTGTAGTAGCGAAAAGTAACAAGTGCTTGAAACATTTCCTAGTCCTGTTAGGTCTTGGGTAGCTTAGTGGTTAGAGCAGAGCGGATTGCGAAAGGTGGATTTTTTGGGCATTTTTCATTATTTCTAAAAACTGTTTTAAATTAGTCAGTATGGCTTATTCTCACAAAAAATGTTATTTTATGTAAATAAACCTTATTATTTACCTACCCAAAACAATTTTTAAATAAACCGCATAAACTGCGATTCTGAGGACGTGACGTCATTTTTCACACTAGTGTAAAATAATGAAATATAGTAATCAGCATGTATAGTTAAACTCATAAATAAATAATACAGAAGACTGATGACTTATTTTCCAGCGAACGAGTGAGGTATCTACGCAAAGAAATCTGAACCTTTAGATTTGTATTTAAGGCATATTATGTTAGATTGATGAGAGTCTATTTCACTAATTAGTTTTTTAACAGATAGGGCCGTATTTGAGTATTAGTTTAGTATGCGAGGCGTCGTCTAGTTGTATTGTTGATCGAAGATATAAATACTACAAACGATAATGCACAGACTTTCAAATTATTGATTGCATTAAATAATAATATTTACCTGAAATGGGTCCACAATAGTGCCTTTATGTATCCACTGGTCCAGTATATCTAAGTAGGGTCGGCAAGCACGTTCTGTTAAAAACAAAGATATTTCCTGAGCTCTGGCATCACCCATTAATGTGTTCGTTTTATCATGAAGTACCGTTAAAACTGCGCCACCACGTAGTTCACTCTGAAAAAAATATATTGTGTGATAAAATGGATATGAAAATGAATTTGTGATACTAGCAGTCCCATTTTGATTTGTGAGATAGGAAACCCCTACACAAATTTAAAGGTGCATTATGAGCGAGTAACATAAACTATCTATATTTGATTTCGGCAATACGACGACAAAAATTCACGATATCAAACAATCATTACATTATTTCTCACCTTTCCAATGCTAGTTATAATCGCGGCAAGAACCTGCATTGTGTGTTTAGTAGGTAACACAAAATACCAAAGCTTTTGTAATGTTAAATTCGATGCCATATGTTCAGTTTCCAATTGGGCTATCATAGTCTGAAAACATGAAATTTACATTTCAATTATTTAAAGATTTCCTAAAATAAGAATTTAATTATACATGCTATTAAACACTTCCATGACACCCAGTTTGGTATCAATATTTCTTTCTATTTATTACAAAGAGGAGTAGTTCGGCAAAATTATGTGAATAAAAAAGGATACATTTTTAAGATCATAGAGTCCACTTTTAGAAACCATATTGGGTAAGACTTTGTAAGTTCTGTTTTAAGCATTTTTACTACACTGAAAATGCATTCTGTGTGTCTGATTGACACCATTATATACAAGAAATCTCTCTACCATCAGTTCTTAAGAGAAGGCCTAAAGCCAAGACTCTACTCCCTCTCTCATTGCATCTCAATTTGGTTAGATTAATGTGGACAGAAGACTACTCTCAAAATATTAAGATTATTATAAAATTGCTGCATAATCAGCTACAAAGTGATTTCTATATTATATAAATATTTAGCGGTAACACTATTATATTTTTGTATAAATTCACAAACAGTACACATGAAAATTGTGTAAATTTACATATATGGATGCTATTTCTTCATACAAAACCAATTGAAGGACAGTCAGTTTGAGTGTTAATTACAGTAAGTATAACGTCTACCATGCTGCATGCCATGACCATCATGAGATGACAGCCAACATATTGAAATTCATTATTTTGAGCTGTGACAGAAGTGTAGCTCAGCATATACATTTAAGTAGCATAAATGTTTTAAGAGCTTTGTGTTACATAAATCATTATAATTTTTTGTCATTTGCACACAGTGAGAAAGTAGTGTAGTCGCAGAATGAAAAGCTAACAATACAGATGACTAATTTTTTTTTTGTCTATCCATCAAGTAAATTAAGGTATATAGATACATTTGAATGAAATGTTGCATAATATCCACCTTTGTACAATTTTCGCTCCTCCTCAAATTTAAGCCATTTTTGTTAAATTAAGGCAAAATAATATATATCTAATATTTTACAATTAACTATTAACTGGCAGATTAAATAGAATTTTTTTATTTATTAACAGGTTGACATTCTGTTAATAAAATACTTATTAATATAATAGTTATACTTACATAATAATCTTTAAGTAATATTTCAATGGCTGCAACTAATGCATGCAAAACTTGACCAGACCACATATCACAATTTTCAATGAATCTTCTAACAATGGAATAATTGGAAGCAAGAGGTAACATCTGCTGAACTATTTGTTTCAAAGCATCATCCAAATCATCACATATTAGAAATGTTCGAGGATCAAAGGTATCTTTCACTGGTTGATGCACAATGAAGTCACCAGGAATTCCAGAGAACAAATATAGTAGCTCATTAACTATAATATTTTCTTGTGAAGAGACAGGTACACCAGCTGAAAAATTATAAAATATTACTGAATAATAATAAGATCAAATAATTTAAACACCAACTCATAGCAATACATTACAGTATAATTTTAAAATAGATTTTATATCATTAATTATTTATTACATTTAAATCATCTGTAATTAATCAAATAAAAACATTTAGTAACCAATTATGTAAAAATTACTCATCTAAGATAACAAAATATAATAGCACGATAACTTTTTTTAATAAAATCAAACAAATTTCTTTAACCATATAAGTAAAATATGAAATTACTCACCCAAGCTAGAAATTATTGGCACAGGTTCTTTTGGAAAATCCCAAGACATTGCTGGATGATCTTTTTGCCAACTGGGGAGATCTAAGCTGCTATACCAATTAGGCCGGAGTTTAGCTTCTTTCTCTTCAAATGACTTCATCACTAATTTTTTGCTCTCATCTACAGCTTTTAGCAATTTATCTTTAATCTTAAAAGCACAATTTTCTTTAATATAGTTTAAAGTCAAATTTAATTAAAACTATTTCAACTATTATAATTGAAAACACCAATTACCACTTTTATAAAAATGTATTTGCAAAGACAAACAGAATAAATGTAGGTAGTTATAAAACAACACAAGATTTAGTATACTTACTATTTATAAACAAGATTGGTTTCATATTGTCTTAATTGTATTAATAATAAACTTCAAAAGTTTTTACCTGTGGCAAATCCTCCTTAGTAATTTGATGTTTATTATCACCTAGTATAGGCTTAGGAGCAACCTTTGGTTTACTAATTTTCGACTTCTTATCATCACACACCAATTTGTAAAATAATGATATAATATCTGACAAATTATCCGTGCTGAAATAAATAGATGATGAATGTGGCTCTAATAAAATATACCATGACATATATACTGATTTGTTTTGTAATGTAAAACAAACTTCTTGCGACTTTACATTGGTCTCACAGTATGAAAAAGTAAAGTAATTTTTTACATTGTTTTTACTTCTTAAATAAGCTTCATTGTATAATATAATAAACATATACATGTATTTATGACATAGCAAAGAATTGATGTCAGATAAATTTTAAAAGTAGCAGAATCAGTTTTACTCACTTGTGGTTCCTCAAATCCTCATACTTTTTTAAAAATGCTTTTGCGTTCGATGCCTTTAGCGCCAACCTTTGGGCGTATTCGTTCACTTGTTTGGTAGACAGATTACAATTGCCATAATTGGGATCATTCTGGATGTAATCCAATACAGTATCTGCCTCTAAATTGCATCTGTAAATTGAATTATAATTTACTTGAACCGTTTAGAATAACAATACTCCCAACTTCTGTATTGATAAACATTAGTAGTAATATATCACCCTAAAGCGTCCAACAAATCTTTAATTGTGCTTTGCATTTTATCATGTGGTAAAATCCAATTTTGATACATTTATCAAAAAATACAGATTTCAAAATTAGCTACACAACAACAGTTCCATTCATTTATTCTTTGATTTGATTTGACGTTTGTAAAAATTTTCTAAACTTTATGAACATTTGTCAACATTTTCAAGGACATAGTACTTATTTATGACTTATGACTTTAATGCTATAGTTTAAAGTGTATTTTTCATTGTTCCTTCTATAGAAGCCACAAATTATAAGCTAATCCAAAGCGAGAAAGATAGTCACAACAGAGGCCATGTGTTTCTTTCTTTCATTTTGCCATTTTACCTATAAAAACATCGTTTGTTAAAAATGAGGAAGTATTTAAAACTAACTAATATGTTTTTAACTAACATATTGAAAACTGAAATTTGCAAAGTTCGAAACTTAGATATCAATACAAATACGAAAAATTTCAAATAGAATATGAGTTATTTATTGAGTTTTGAAAACTAATTTAATTTTATACATGAAAGAAAACTGGAAGAGTTGTCATGGAGAAATCAAGAAAGTACCGTAGCGACATCTAGTTTGATTACGGGAACGATATTTTTTAATACTTCCTCATTTAAACTAAAATAATCTGAGTGGAAACACTTGTATTTTAATGGTAACTGTTTTAAAAATTTAAGCCATTATATAATAACATTAATTTCGTTAATATTATTACAAAAAGATACTATTTGATTACTTATTTTCTACTGGTACCTATTTTAAGTGCCATTGCGGTGACATAGATACGTTGAACAGTTTATGCATATGATTTGGTATTTCTTTAATTCTGCAGTTTCTAGAGATGCAAGTTTCATAAAAATATCGATATATCCAGTTCAATATAAGTATATCGATTACAGTCGATATCGATATTTATAGATGTTTTTGTTTCTTAATTAAATTCTAAAAGCATTTACAATATATACTGGAAAATATGCTAAATGAAAAATGCTTGAAAAAATCTACCAGCCATGGGTAGCTTAATGATTAGAGTAATCACACGGATTCGAAAGGTCGTGGGTTCGAGCAGAGTTCCTGTGGCTGAAGGATTTTATAAGCTATTTCATCGACAACATTAAAAAAAATCTTGTTTGTAAAACTTTATTCAAATGAAACACGCTTGTAACTGATGAAAGTGCTTTAGCAATACATCAAATATTTTCTGCTCCAATATTCTTTTTGGTAATCTTAAATTAAGTATATTACATACAATAAGAAAACTATCAATATACGATTACCGTTAAAAAAAATTCTAGATATGTAAACAAAATTATTTATAAATTAAAATATTGTGAAAATAACCTAAAAGAGCATTATTTTATATATATAGAACATGCCAAAGCACGATATCGATTTATAAAAGCAAATCTTTCAAGAATAACTTACTTACTGCTGTCAATATTGTTTTACCAAGAAAGTGTTCAACTTACCTGTAAAAGGTAATATTGCTCGAATAGAGCTATTTTGATTATGCTCAACCAAGTAAACTGTGTCTAAGCAATATTTTGCTTATATAATTTACAATTTTGCTGA